CACGTGACACGTAAGTAAATAACCAATATGGCGGCTACGACTGTTATAAATTCTGTCGTTCTTATTTCCTGCTGGAAGGAGACAGTTGACGTAATTTTGAGATATGGATCGCGTCTGTTTGGAGAATACGAATTATTAAAAGCAAATAAGATCTCGAGGAGCATTGTGTATCGATCGGATATCGTAACCGGTGTGAGAAAGAACATCGTGCATATCTCTCCACAATGACTCGTGAAGCGCTACTGAATATAACTGTCACGTGACACGTAAGTAAATAACCAATATGGCGGCTACGACTGTTATAAATTCTGTCGTTCTTATTTCCTGCTGGAAGGAAACAGTTGACGTAATTTTGAGATATGGATCGCGTCTGTTTGGAGAATAGAAATTATTAAAAGCAAATAAGATCTCGAGGAGCATTGTGTATCGATCGGATATCGTAACCGGTGTGAGAAAGAACATCGTGCATATCTCTCCACAATGACTCGTGAAGCGCTACTGAATATAACTGTCACGTGACACGTAAGTAAATAACCAATATGGCGGCTACGACTGTTATAAATTCTGTCGTTCTTATTTCCTGCTGGAAGGAGACAGTTGACGTAATTTTGAGATATGGATCGCGTCTGTTTGGAGAATAGAAATTATTAAAAGCAAATAAGATCTCGAGGAGCATTGTGTATCGATCGGATATCGTAACCGGTGTGAGAAAGAACATCGTGCATATCTCTCCACAATGACTCGTGAAGCGCTACTGAATATAACTGTCACGTGACACGTAAGTAAATAACCAATATGGCGGCTACGACTGTTATAAATTCTGTCGTTCTTATTTCCTGCTGGAAGGAGACAGTTGACGTAATTTTGAGATATGGATCGCGTCTGTTTGGAGAATACGAATTATTAAAAGCAAATAAGATCTCGAGGAGCATTGTGTATCGATCGGATATCGTAACCGATGTGAGAAAGAACATCGTGCATATCTCTCCACAATGACTCGTGAAGCGCTACTGAATATAACTGTCACGTGACACGTAAGTAAATAACCAATATGGCGGCTACGACTGTTATAAATTCTGTCGTTCTTATTTCCTGCTGGAAGGAAACAGTTGACGTAATTTTGAGATATGGATCGCGTCTGTTTGGAGAATAGAAATTATTAAAAGCAAATAAGATCTCGAGGAGCATTGTGTATCGATCGGATATCGTAACCGGTGTGAGAAAGAACATCGTGCATATCTCTCCACAATGACTCGTGAAGCGCTACTGAATATAACTGTCACGTGACACGTAAGTAAATAACCAATATGGCGGCTACGACTGTTATAAATTCTGTCGTTCTTATTTCCTGCTGGAAGGAGACAGTTGACGTAATTTTGAGATATGGATCGCGTCTGTTTGGAGAATACGAATTATTAAAAGCAAATAAGATCTCGAGGAGCATTGTGTATCGATCGGATATCGTAACCGGTGTGAGAAAGAAAATCGTGGATAACTCGAAGTTACCCAAGAGCGGAGAATATTACGTACACGTGCTCTGCGACTTCCGCGTTGCAGGTTGATCAACTGCCGGCCGGCACTCTCCTTTCTTTCACCAATCCTTTCGTTATGCCCTGTTCCACGGTATCCGACGATGCCTCGTCGACGGTTTAGACACAGCGATGACTCAATCGCGATGTCCTCTTACCAAGTTGAAATACCTCGCCTTCGGGCGTGCACGCAAAAGGTTGCACAGTACCAGCGTCTTCCTTTTTCTTTCGGTGTTTCGTACTCGATTATAAATTATTTTACTGACGAAGACGATCATCGAAGAAAGTCTCATGAAATCGATTTCTCCTTGCCTTCTTAACCTCTTCGCGTACGATTTAATCGGAAGCCATTTTTCAAATGTTTTAATCTGATAACTTGAACTAACCTAAATAACCTAACCTTAATAACCTGAACTTTTGAACTATTTAATTTTGTTTAAATTTGTTATTAACACTAGATTTACGGGCATTGATCGCACGTATATTGATTGATACCTTTCATGTTGACGATTACCTTACAATACGATTTTTCTTTTAATTAGAATATGTATTCATGCCAGTGCATCAATAAAATTCAACATAAATTGTTAAAAAATAATATTTACGCGTTCTGCAATTTTAAATATGGAATCAGACATCCGTCAAATTGACGGCTTCCGTGAATCTAGTGTTAAACAGATTGCTATTAAACATTGTTTTTAAACAGATTTATTTTACGAATACTTCGCAAATGTAAAAGTGGGTTGATTTTAATATCCTACGAGACTTTTACGATGAGTGTTACTTATATCGATTTTTTCTATCGAAAATCACCATTTTCAATGTGTGAATTAACGATGATCAAAGAAAGTTTCATGAAATCAATTTCTCCTTGCCTTCTTAACCTCTTGGCGTACGATTTAATTGGAAGCCATTTTTCAAATGTTTTAACCTGATAACTTGAACTAACCTAACCTAAACTTTTAAACTATTTAATTTTGTTTAAATTTGTTATTAAACATTGTTTTTAAACAGATTTGTTTTACGAATACTTCGCAAATGTGAAAATGGGTTCATTTTAATATACTACGAGACTTCACAATGAGTGTTACTGAAGATCGCCATTTTTAATGTGTGAATTGCTCGTAATAAAATAATTTTTCTGAATAAATTTCTGAAATCAAGGTTATTCGAAGGTCACAGTGTATTCTAGGTTCTTCAATTTGTTTTTTCATCAGCAATGACTGTACAAGATGAAAAATACGTGGTATCGTTTCAACAAAATCAAGATGGCGACCGTCACGCGTCGCGTTTTAAAAAAATCAAGATGGCGACCGTTACGTGTCACGTTCCGTAGAACTGCTTGATAATCGATATAGGAACTGATAGAATAACGATTCTGTAGAGCCGTAACCATAACCAAACATAAACTAGAACCCTCCTCTCTATTCAGAACTGTTGCAATTCTCAAATCGTGTTTTAATCAGCACTTTTATATAACAGTTCGAAATTGCTATTTTCAAAACCTTTTACGCTCCCTGATTAGAACTAATTGTCCGTTATTTTTGAGAATATCTAACCTAGTCGATATATAATCACTTAGGGGGGGAGTCTAATGTGAATTATAGAAAATTGAACCTTTTTTCTTAATTTTTTTTAAGGAAATGTTACATCTATGTTACTATCATGTGAATTATAGAAAATTCAACCATTTTTCTTAATTTTTTTTAAGGAAATGTTACATCTATGTTACTATCATGTGAATTATAGAAAATTGAACCTTTTTTTTTAATTTTTTTTAAGGAAATGTTACATCTATGTTACTATCATGTGAATTATAGAAAATTCAACCATTTTTCTTAATTTTTTTTAAGGAAATGTTACATCTATGTTACTATCATGTGAATTATAGAAAATTGAACCATTTTTCTTAATTTTTTTTAAGGAAAGGTTACATCTGTTTACTTAGCTATACTTTGGGAATACAAAATAACTTTTTTATTAACTTTTAATGTTATTATCACGTCCACAGTAAATATTTGTTTAAATAAATGAAGAAAAACAAAAAGATTTTTATTCGGTAATATTCACGGTTATCGCCCGTCCAAAAATAATTAATTTGTGTTGCAAATTAACAGAATGGTGAAAGCTTGAAGCAAAAATTGCAAAATTTTGTCGTTTCTTTCGCAACTTTTTAATAAAAAAAATATGATAAACTCGTTATAAATATTTGATTTTGGAATGGATGAGAGCTATTACTATGCGGGGCAAGGTGTAAAAATTTCAGAGCAATCGAACGTATAGTTTTTGAGATTTTGTCTACACCAGTTAAGGTAGTCCCAGCTCCACATAGAATTGCTTCCAGAATGTTGGCACCTAGATGGTCCAAACGCTAAAATTTCGACTTGTAAAAACAGCACATGTCTCTAGAGACTGTAGTAAACTTTTCGAAACAGTAATGTTTGTACATGGAAATCACCCAAAGCAATAACTTCAGTAATTGCTGCTGGGGGCTATGCAAAATATGTTTTACGATCCACAATACTTGACATTCATCTCTCAAAATTTAACAATACATTCTTAACCCCTTAACGCACAGTTTTTTTGAAAAAAAACCGGCCAAAAAAAAATAAATTTTTTTTTTTGTAAAAAAACACAATTTAGGACATTGTCTTGGTAAAAAAAATTTAAAAAATACAAAAATAATCAAAATTTTTATTACAATTTGGGATTTTGATCCACATTGCAGAAAGGAGTCGAATATTGCAATGTTACACGTACATCGACTTTTTTTATCTTTCTTTTCGAATTGCTATTTCGGAAAAAAACATATTTTTATGAGTAAAAATATTTATTTACACTTTTACATTGTTATTTTCAATTCCCGACTATATTTGAGTGTGAACAATTATAGCAGCATATAATACAACGCCGCTCGAATTATCTCGAGCGTGTACGTTAAGGGGTTAAATATGTATACCTTCAAAAAATGAAGCAAAAAAAAAAAAAAAATTGATATTTTTGAGGTCTCACATGAGACTCTTTTCTTAAATCTAAAATTGAGCTTGTTAGAAATTTGTAAAAATGGGAACTTCACTCAGTGCCGGTTCTGGGGTAAGTGCAAAGAGGTCAAGCTTAGTCCTCTTACCAGAAGGCACCCTTGCCTTCCCCACTCCGTGGCCAGATCCTCAAGGAACAGAGTTCCTATTCTTTAAAGCAAGACAACGTCGGGTCGCTTGCCTTTTTCTAACATACCTACGTTTCCTTTCAATAAGCAATCTTATGACGCCCGATAGCTGCGTGACTTCGAGCCACCAGCCATCGACAGGCATCTGGATTGCATCCCTGCAACCCTCCCTCTTGGGCCACACGCAGGCTAAGTCCCTATCATAAATCGTTCGAAAACGAAATATCGTCGAGCTAATGCCCTCGACGTCCCTTAAAAATAAGTCGTCGCTAACAAGCTAATGTTGGGTTGCTGTGTGCTTCCAGGACACGGCTTCGTTTGGAGAGCCTGGAGGACGCCGTGATCGTGGAGGACGATGACGACAAATTGACCGACCGTAGGGGCTGTCCGGCGTACGTGGCGCCGGAAGTGCTGCGCTCAGGACGCGCCTATTCCGGGAAGGCGGCGGACATCTGGTCCCTCGGCGTTCTTCTCTACACGATGCTGGTCGGACGTTATCCGTTCAATGACGCCGAGCACGCGTCCCTGTTTGCCAAAATCTCGCGCGGCCAATTCGCGGTACCGGAGGGTCTCAGCCCGCGCGCTCGATGCCTGATACGCTCGTTGCTGAGAAAAGAACCGTCCGAAAGACCATACGCCGAGGACGTGCCGAGACACCCGTGGCTGTCGAAGCCCCTCCGAGTCTGTATGGCGTCTAGCAGATCCTCGTCCCAGGATCAAATCGTACCAGAGCTACCTAACAATCCTCAAGACTGATTCTTCCAGGAGAAGAACGTATATTCCGCGCGCGCTGAAGCCAGCTTTCCGTCTTAATCCTCTATTTGGCCGACAGATGTCAGGAACCGATGCTCGATTTTTAACATGGCTTATATATTTACGATAACCGGGAGTACTGGTAGTGATGGGACCAATACAATTACGTATTCATTAACTCAACCAATCATCTAGCATTACACAGCTGAAGTACCTTAAACAGGTCGTTTGTTTAACACTAGATTTATCTTTCATGTTGACGATTACCTTACAATTTTTCTTTCAATTAGAATATGTCAATGAAATTCAGTATAAGTTGTTAAAAAATAATGTTTAAATATGGAATCTGACCGTGTAAATCTAGTGTTAATTTTACTTTGGAACCTTTCCTTGCAAGCAATCGTAAGAATCATCTTTCATTGCCAACCTAAGAATTGATAAAACCTAACCTGACCTGGCATTGGTCGATCGGGGCTTAATATCGATACATATCGATTACCAAACCGTAATATCGACGTATATCAAACTGGTATCAAACTAAGTAGTCGTTGTTATTGGTAACACGTATTTGTTGATATTTTTTTGTAGTATTGACGCAATTAAAACATTGAGACTTGCAAGGACCTTCGCGAATGGTCCAGCTTCGATTCTCATGGAACTTTGTACACTTGGAAAGCAGCCAAAAATAATCGACAGGTATTAACTCGAGTTTAACACTTTGACTGCCACGTCATCCACATATGAATGACAGGATTTTTTATTATGGGACTAGAACAATTAATTCTCAGGATGAAACGTTAAAGTTGATATTTAAATTCATGAGTTTTAGTGAGATTATGAAAATAAGTGCTGAAACAAATTTTAACTTATGCAGTTTACAATTGTCTGAAATCAAATATTTGGTTCCGTAAACAATTGTACAGTTTTGGTAGTCAATGTGTTTAATGGGCGCGGTTAATGGTTTCTTATGTACAATAACATGGTGTTACAAAATTTAACAAAACAAAATTTATCAACTTAATTTTTCATTCTATTGAAATTTTCATAATGACAAGAAATGACGAGCATTTTATTCCAAATCCATTGGTATGTAATATTTTAAAATTGTCCTAACTTTAGGCTTGCACTAAATTATACAGTAACAAGTTTCTAAACAGAAAAGATTAATTGTTTTCGTTGCTCGCCTGACATTGTGGAACGATTTATAAATTATAAATACATACAGTGTGTATACCAGGAGATGTACGCTTATTATTCTCATGACTTGCTTTAAAATACAAATTGAATAAATAAATAAATTTCTTCTTCTCGTCTATCGTGCAGTTTTTCGCACGTTATCTAAATCATCGCTGTTGCGAAAGCATTCCGTGTAATCTGTATAATAAAAATACTTGTCAAATGAGAATAATATGTGCATCTCTATCTCTGTTGTTATTAGCATTCTTTAAAATCGAGACGGTTTTTGTAATAAACATGATAAAATACCACTGAAATGGAGTTTGTACCTTTTGATAACGTGATTGTATTTTGTTCAATTTTTTAACACCGTGTTATTGTACATAAGGAACCATTAACCTCAAACTTCAAGGGGTGGTTTCTTATGTTAGTTATCGTAGCTAAAAAAGTAGTGTCGATTATTTTTGGCTGCTTTATAAGTGTACATAGTTTCATCAAAATCGAAGTGGTAGGTTCGCCAAGGTTCCTTGTTAGACGAGACAAGGATGTAACTGATATAGTGTCGCAGTTGTTTATTATTAGAATAACTTCGAATCGAACTTGATGTAATTGATACGTATGGTTACAGGAGTTGCATGTCTCGATAAGTCACAAAATTTCTAATGTCGTATCGAAAACATGTTTCAGTCCCATCACTAGGTATCGGGAGAAAGTCCCAAAATTTTATTCGCATGCATATTGGAGAGCTGAAGAATGCCCCTGAATGGAATTTTTTTGATAAGGTTATAACGCTATTAGTCAGAATTTCGTATCACGTAAACTATAATGATTAATCGTATCACTTTGGTAAAAGTGCAATTTATTTTGCAAGAAATAAAAAAAGCAAATTTGTCTCCAATAGAAAATGCATTCTTTAGTCCTCTTTGTAGTACAGGATCTCTCCGTGGTTGGTGGTGGAACTTATACCGTATCAGTACCATCCATACTAGATAGTTAAGTATCAAACAGTGTTGATATTTCTACTAAAGTATCGATACGTATCGATTTCACATAGTACGTATTTGGTATCAATTTTCAATACCGCTGGTTATGGAACAAATAATTAATAGTCCGTCATAAATGTAGCGAAAATAGAAAGTCTAATCGATGCAAAAGAAGCAGTTGCGAGCAGACACAATTTCAGGTTTATTGCTCATATATAATCAAATAATCTTTCTTTTACAAATGACTACGAACAACTATTTCAGCATAATTTTGTTTATTATCAAGTATTGTTAACAAAAGTTGATACCAATTGCCCAAAATTTCAATACGTCCTATTAAGCACTTCGATATCGAATTGTTTGAGTATCATTAACCCCTTAACGTTCATGCCCGAGTCTAACTGCATTGAAAAACAATATTTGTTTAATCCAACGGGTTTAAGGGATGATAATATTTGTTTCCCTTCAAATTATATGTCAGATACAACATTGTAATTATCAAAAACCGTATTTTTAGAAACAAATTCAATAAAAACAACTGATCACTGTTGGTTAACCCGAAAAATATGAGCGTTAGGGGGTTAATATGTATCGTATCAGTCCCATCACTATCCGTGGTTCGTGATACAACTAGAAAGGGAACGAATGATGGATTATTGTTCGTTGGGGAAAAGCAAAGTCTTAAATGCGAAAGAAAATGTTTCTGTACGAGATGTGTGGATCCAGAAGCTCCTCCTTAACACTTTCACTGCTGCGTCAGCCACATATGGGTGACAGAATTTACCACTACGATACTAAAAAAATGAATTCTCAAGTTAAGACGTAGAGGGAAATAAATTTGAATGAATTTTAACAAAGTTACAAAACTAAGTACTGAAACAAATTTTAGGTTATGTAGTTTACAGTGGTTTAAAATCAAAATTGTACTTTTGCAGAATATTATACGGTTTTGATTCTGGCAAGCTACGAATTATGTAAAAGTATATTCTTAAAATTTGTATCTTATTTATTAATACTTTTTCCTGATAATAGGCTAAAGAATCAAAAGTTATTTATTTATAAACATGGATACTCAAGAAAGTTTATAGAGTGTAATGTAAAATGAATAAGAAACATATTTTTTAAAGGTTATGTAACATTTGAGGGGATCCACCTCTGGGTACGAAACGCCATTTTGAAAAACATTCGCTTTCGACGATTACAGAGTCAAAAGATATGTACATATGTGCAGAAACATTTTGCGAACAATCATCTTTCTGTTTGTACTACAAATTACAAGATATACTGCGTATATTTGCGTTTAAAACAACGCTACGTTTGTTCCTTCGCATGTGATGTTATATAGTATAACATGTATCGGATTAGAGACTCTCGTTTATGCTTTCGTGCACAGGTTGTGCGTAAAAGTCATGTTTATGTATCGAAAGGATACCAAATAAAGGGTTAAATGTTAGCTGTTGCATCGAGGGACCGTTTGGTCCCGAATCTTATTTTCGTTTTTTAAGTCGCGACAATGGAAAGCGGCCTAGTAATAAGAGTAGATTTCGTTGGAAAAACATTGAAGAAGATGGGAAATGATCGTTGCTTGAAATGCCAGCAAAAACCTACGAGCTGATAATTTACTTTTAAAAATAACTGTTCAATGAAATACGAGACAAAAATCACTTTATTTTATTTCTTACATTATTGGCTCAATGTGTTTCTCAGATTTTATTTTTATAAAAAATTGTTTATTTATAGCTTGTATGTTTTTGTGTTTTGACTCGTTGAAATGCTGGATATGGCCTTATTAAGAAAAATGAATGTCAATAATATAAAATTAAGCGAAAAAAAGAATTTTTACCGATTATTTCGTAAAATAGTTACATTACGCTTCTCGAACTGTTGCAAAAAATTCTATTCGTACGATATAAGGCATCAGACACATTTGTTATTGTCTGTTATGCCGCATATCAATTTTAAGTGGACTTTTCCGAACTTTTTACACGTGAATTATAACAGTTTTCAACTAGCATTACGATCGATTCGATTTTATCGAAAGTCAATATGGTAAATCAATTCACCCCCCCCCTTGAACGATCGAATCCCCGATCTTCGCCGATGATTTGATTTGAAGAAAGTACCAAGTGTTTGTTTGTATTTGATATCTATACAAATTATTTTGTAACTCTGCAAAAGTGAGGTTGTTAAACGCAAGATGATCGAATGCATGTGTCGAATATGAGTGTAAGAGACTTTTTTTTTTCTTTTATATTTTCTAACGCGATTCTGTGTGCACTGAAAATGCGTTTCAGTACACGATTCCTCGTATCGTTTTGAGTCAGGGTACAATGGTAAGAGCGTTCGCTGACGCTACAATGTATATAAATTCAGTCCACTAAGTCCTACTAAATCGTTAATTAGAAACATTAAGAAAACGTTCTGTACATAGACAAATAAAGTGGCGTTCACGATATATATCGTTGCCTAACTGGCTACACTTAATACCTATTCCTACGCGAAGAAAAAACAAAAGTTTTTATTATTAGATAATTACGAAATAACGTTTTCAATTAAAAGGCATGATATTCAAGTTAACGAAAGTTGGAAGTAACGTTATAAAATTCATAATTTACAAATTGATAGTGACCATCAGATGGCGCTGTAATCTAGGAGTTTCTCATGGACATAGGAATATAGGGACGGAGCAATGGTCGAGGGGGGTGAAGCTGCTCCGGGGAGCTGCAAACTACGGTCACGTGGTACTCTGATGCCGCATTGGCGATTGGTTGTGATAGCACAAGCGCAATCTTATTCTCATCGAGTAAGAGCGAGTGAGAAGCAGTGTAAAAGGCAGTGAAAGAGTAGACTGGTATTACTGTGAGCAGTAGCGTCAGTGAATTATACAGTTTTTTTTTCTAAAAAAAGACAGATATACAGGGTGTTCGGCCACCTCTAGCAAAAATTTTAATGAGCGATAGTAGAGGCCAAAATAAGAGAAAAATCAAGAATACCAATTTGTTGATGGAAGCTTCGTTAAAAAGTTATTAACGTTTAAAGGGCCGCCCTTACTGAATTTTTTTTCTCGAAAATGCGCAAGATTTCGGGGGTATGTCTGTTCACAAAAAATGACTGCAATTGAACCCCACAACCGAAAATAATTTTTCCACAACGATTTGCAATTTTTTAATTTTCTCGAATAATTTCACACCTTCTCTATTTTTTTTCTCGAAAGTGGGCAGAATTTCGTGGGTATGTCTAATGACAAAAACTGATTGTAATTGACCCCCGCAACCGAAAATAATTTTTCCACAACGATTTGCAATTTTTTTTCTCCGTTGAAAAATTTAGGCACCTAATTGGATTTTCAGTAAGGAATTTTTTTCTCGAAAGTGCGTACGATTTTGGAGGTATGTGTAATGATAAAAAATGATTGTAATTGATCCCCGCGACCGAAAATAATTTTTTTAGAACGATTTGAAAAATTTTTTTTCGCCGAAAAATTTCAGCACCTACTCGATTTTTTTTCTCGAAAGTAGATAGGATTTCGGAGGTACGTGTACACACCAAAAATGATTGTAGTTGACCCCCGCAACCGAAAATAATTTTTTTAGAACGATTTGAAATTTTTGAATTTAATTGTTAATAACTTTTTAACGAAGCTTCCATCAACAAATTAGTATTCTTGATTTTCGTCTTATTTTGGCCTCTACTATCGCTCATTAAAATTTTTGCTAGAGGTGGCCGAACACCCTGTATATTTGTTTTTACAATGCCACTGTGCGTTGTAAAAGGGTGTAAAAATCGTACGGCAAGTCGTCCCGTTTTGGGAGAAAAGAAAATAAATAATATAATTATTCTCTCATATCACCGGTAATTGTTATGAAAATGATTGATAATACACCCTAATCTCTTTATGCAATAGGAAAATAGATATTAACAGTTGTATAATTTATTAAAGGATAAATTACCAATATTTAGGGAATTAGATTAACATTTTATAATAAAAATTTTAATATTGCATTATAAGACTATGACCAATATTTAACTCTACGATGGCAAGTTATATGTTGCAAAATTCGTTAAATCATATTCTTAAGTCGAAAAAAGTGAAAGATAACCTTGTAGTTATATCTATCTATTCCTAAATAGTCATGTTTTATTTATTGACAGATCTCGTCAAATAATAATGCAAACCGTACTGAATTCATTGCGTAGTTGCAAATTTAAATATCAAACGAATAGTATTAAAGATTTTTCATATCTTATAGATTCAAACTTTTAACCATTTAATTCTGACATCTCCAATCACCATTAACATTTCAGTATGTTGATTTATAAATAAAACATTTTGTGTCTCTGGTTTACTAAAAATATTCTATCGTACATTTATAATTGTAAAGAAACTAAAGCTTTCGTTTTTAAATTTCGCGCATTTAGGATAGCACCAATCACTAATGCGGCACCAGAGAGTACCACGTGACCGTGATTTCCCCCCGCAAAGCTGCTTCACTCCCCTCGCCGATAGTCGCAACTATTGTTCCGTCCCTATATGTATTTGTAGGGAGCATTAGTAACTCCCTAGTTACTCCCGCAGATGGCGCGAGTGGCGCCGATGCCAACCATTAAGAGAGGCCGGGATGCTATAGGGAATTTGTCCCTAGGTACTCCCTGGGCCTCGAGAGACAAGAAAGAATCGGGAGTTCTTCCCCGAGCAAGCTAAGGGACAGTCCAATAAAGCACTCGTCCGCAAAACCACGTGTAATCATTCTGAGCAACCCTGTGCCCATATATGTAGGCCAGCGCCTACATATTCCTATGTCCATGGAGTTTTTATAACCAGCTCAAAGGTTGCAGTGTAGCCACTATGATAACATTAATATACCTAGAATCTCTCGAGTTCCAGTGACAAACTATTTTCGTAATTTTCTAAATTTCTAATTTATGATCTAGGATCTCTTGCACAATGTTTGTTCAATAAACTAGTTATATCAGTGATTTTACATATAAATTAATATTATTAACTTGTAAAATATTGTGCAAGCGAGTCAATTTATTATAATTGAATGATTCCAGAAAATTAGCGTAATCTTTGGAATCTGCTAGTATTTAATTGATATATGTCTGCCAATTACAAAACCAATAAGAGACCACGTTCTTTCGCAATTGTAAAAGTTAAACATTGCTGATGCAATTATATACTACCTCTCCTTAACAAATGAAGTCATTTGGAAAACATTGAAAATATCAAGAAACAATTGATATTTCTCAGTTTCAATAATTATACGTTTACTGAAAATTCTCACCAACGTGAACATTAGTCTCTTTACTAATTAATCGCCATCCGATCGACTTATTTTAAAACCAGCCCGCCGTGATATAGGATATGCTTGCGACCGAATCGAACGAAAAATGGCTGCAAACGTGAGAACAGGTGAGTGGTATGTACAAACCTGTCAGTGTTCATAACCATCATTCAAACAAAATTAATCGATTTGACGTAATTTTTATTCATAATGTCGTAATTCGATTCTGATGTGTTCGACATTGCAACCGAATATTATTACTACGTCACACTTTTCGTTTGTACGTCAAAACCAACTCTATCGCGATTCGTTAACGTTTTCATCGTTATCGCCGCGCCTGGTAAATTCATATCTCGTCAAAACGTATCTGACATTCGATGTGGGCGTAATGCTTTATTATTATTTTACCAGTTCTCGGCTTGCATCTGTTTCTACGCATTTGCATTCGCACTGCGTATATGAATGGATAGAAAAGAATTTCTGCGATTGTGCATTGCACGTTCTGATAACTTATCTTGAAAAAAATTACTTTTCAAGTATCATTCTCTATTCTATCTTCTTTCAGAAATGCGAATTCCTACACGCTCGGCTCCTCGTCCACCTGTTAATTCAACAGCACAAAGAAACTCTCTTTGGAACAACATGTAGGTTTCATACGTTTTTATAAATATAATATCTTTAACCCTTTAACCGCAAACAGTACTTCTAGTATCTCGTTTAAAAATGTTTCTAGAAACGATGTCTTTGGATCTACGTTAGCGCAACAGCCCATTCAAAAGAAGAAACCACCCCCTCGACCACCGCCACCGAAGTTTAATCAGAACTATGCGCAGGCACAGAAAGACAAATTAAAGAAATCGGTACGTAAATATCATTATTTTGTGCTAATTTGTGCATCTTTAAATTGAAACTTTCATATAGGCGAGACCAACAGAACTTTTGTCCAATCTTTTTGGAAGAAAAAGAAGCGAATATTCGAGTACAACGCAATTAAATAGTCATATACAAAATACGATACTGCAATCAGAGAACACAAATGGATCGGTTTGTTTGATCGATCTCAGCCCGCCGGGCTCTCCGACATTCACAACTAGATCGAGCAGCGATGGTGTTAGCGTCGATAGTTTTGGCAGCGATGGTAACTCAAATCCATCCGTGTTTACAAGCAGTGGGAACACATCTCAAACGGAGAGTGGCTTCGAAGACGATTTTGACTTTTTTGGAATATCCACTAAAAAAGTACAACAAAATGATCCGTGGCAAGTTAATCCAGTGCCAGATCCGTTTGGACCGTTAGAAGCTACCAATAATCATAATGCATCGCAATCTGTGAAACATGTGGGAGATGCAAGTTTTTTTGCTTTTAACGCGAACAATCATTTTGATCAAGCGCCTCCCAATCAAGCGTGTTCTAAAACCAATCGTTCAATGCCAACTATTATTCGTGCAAAACCACCTAAACCGGCGGCACCAAAGTTTCTACTAAAGAAAATGGAACAGAAAATAAATTGTACGGAAACTGAGTTCGATGGTTTCAGTAAAACAACAGTGCCTTTTACCAAGTCAACGACATTAGATTTAACACATTCGTGGCCAAACGATTTTAAAAATAGCCCTTTTCCACCAATGCCTACAATACCGCCACCTGCACCACCGTCAGAGTATTTAAGAGAAGCAAACAACGATGAGCTTCCGGTAAGTAATTACACTTCAACCTACGTCAGAATATTCGTTATATTCTCTATTTACAGATCAATAACAAAAAACCTTATGGAATTGCGCTTTACGACTTCTCAGTAACACATTCGGATGATCTGCCTTTCAAAGAAGGCGATATTATATATTTAATAAAAAAGGTCAACGATGACTGGATGGAGGGTAGAATAGGAAATCAACAAGGAATATTTCCTATCAATTTCATTGATATCAAAGTACCGCTGCCTGGTATACCAGACAATGTCGTTACTGCTATTTACTCGTTTAATGGTGAAACACCGGAAGATTTACCATTCAGTGTAAGTTACTTTGTTTTCGTAAAATTTGAAAAGTTGCTTGTTAACCTCACCAGTTCTTGGAACTGGCTTTATGTTAGTTCCAAAAAGTATATTAATTTTTAAATCTACCGTAAGATATCGATGTGCCATGTTATGCATCTCTATCGATCAGTTTTGATCCTGAATATCCAATATCGATATTCAAGACACAACTGTACTTACTCTTTTGCATTTATTTGAATTACAGGAAGGCTCAAAAATTACGGTTCTATCAAGGATATCGCAGGATTGGCTATACGGTGAGTACGATGGTCGAAAAGGACAATTTCCAGTAAATTACGTAAACAGAGTACCATGTACTATGTCACAATCGTATTAATTTTACACACTGTACTATATTACAAATTATAGTATTCTGATATATTCTCTACTGCAAGTTGTAACAGTAAGTCTTACTCTTTATATACGATAAATATTTTTGCGATGGTATTGCATTATAAGGAAAATATTGAAAATTTAAGGTTCAGCTTTCGAATCATATTTCCTTAAATACATATTATAAAATTGTAATCACGAAAAGACTGAATTTTGTGCAAGTACACATTGCCTTGCGAAATTTCGAGAAGATATTTTTTATCGGTTTTTAAGCCAAATTGAAAAAAATAAAGTTTGTTTTTCGAGTATGAAAAAGTACAACAAAAATAATAGTTTCAATTTTCTAACGAAACAATATTTTTTCTTTACATCATAAATATTTGTAACGATGACAAAATTGAGGGACTAATACGAAGGTAGGCTGAAAAGTAATGCACACATGCTCGTAGAACATTAAAGTACAATTCTTAAGCTTCAAAATCATATATTTATTTTTCAACATAGTCACCGGTCTTTCATTCCGTCACTGAACAATTCTTCCGACTTTTTTCGAATCCAGGACTCGATAGCTTTCACCTCATCGTTCAAGGTATAATGATTACTCTTAAGGTCTCTCTTGAGTAGAGAAAAGAAATAAAAATCGCACTCTGTTTAACTCGCGTGGACACAGCGCTGAAACACGTCTTCACACTTCCGCTGCTCGAAATACACTGGCTGAACGATGAACGCGAGGCCTTCAAAGTTCAAACTGCGCATGCGTACAGAGGAGAAACGTTACTTCCATTTAGCGCGCTTTTGAAGGCCATTTTTGCACGCTTTTCAAGCATCTATGCATTACTTTTCAGCCCACCCTTGCATGCATATTAATTCTTGATTTTCAATGAACAAAATAAGTAAAATAATGTTTTTTACTATCACGAAGATAGTTAATTGTTAATTGTTAAAATTTATCTCGTACAGAATATTTCGTTTCATTTGATAGAGGACAAGTTATTGTTAAATATATTTGAGAAATGCAAATATAAATTTAATATAAATGCGCACAGAATGGAAATTGTCCTATTTAAATGTCAGTGCCTGGCAGATATTTATCTTTACAAATTAAGTATTAAATAATATGTCCCTTGCATAAAGAGTAATACTGTATAGATGATTTTTTAAAATTTTAAAATAGCATCATTTTATATTTTAATTTGTTTAATTAGTTGTGTTTAATGAAGTAGATAAATTCCAGAATTATTAGGAGATCCGTAATAAATTAGAATGTTTCACATAAAATAATTTTGTATAACATGCTATACATAAGTAACGTATGAAACAGTTGGTATTTTTTCACGTGTACATAAAATATTACAAACTTGCTAAGATTAACGCAAAATCATTATTAAAAACATTTTTATATATATGTAATAAATATCATATTTTTAAATATATACAAAATACCAGCAGTTTTTTAAACTGTTTTACGTATCTTATACTACACATTTCGAGGATCAAAATTAATTATAATAAAATAAAATTAATCGGAAGATATACTAATGAATTATATGTATATTTTATTTTAAGCGTTATAGAACAAATGGTATTTCTTAATATATACAGTGCATAATTGCTGTAATTAATATATGGTACATAATTACGCAGTCCCAAGGATATAAAAATGAAATTTTGCTTTATATTTAAAAATCAATATATTTTAATGTAAATATACAACGAAACATATTTACAAATTTAATTTACGTATATTTTAAGAACTACTTGTTATCAGTTTTTAAGATATATATACATATATGATATGTATATATACAATATGTATATGAAAGCGTGTGTGTACATAAATATGTGCTTCGGAATTGTAATACGATGTAGCAAATTGGCAAGATGGTCGGAGGAAATTTGAACTGCAGTATTGATAAGCAATAATTCTATTAATACCGCGATCTGTATTGGGACCAGTTATTTAACTTATAAAATCGATTAAATTTTTAATTAATTTTAATAAAGAGAATTAAAATTAGAAATAAGATAATAATTATACTTTTGTTATCTTCTTTGTTCCTATGCATATGATGCGAAAGAGTGTAACTTCTAAAATTATTTTAAAATATAGATTGTGATATCCGACTACGTTAGTAATTATTTTTGTCATGTACGTAAAACGAGATATTTAATGTATTATATAACAGAAATCTCAATTATTGTTAATTAAAGTACAAGTAACAACGAGAACGGTAATTGGGCAAGAATGTATCCGCAATAAAATTGAAATAATTACTAAAACTTGCCATGAAGTATGTAATAATGTATGCAATAAAAGATGCGTATGTGAAAAAACATAGTTCGTGATGTTTAATACTAACAGTCTTTAGAAAGTTTTCCAATATTACTCTTCTATTAATTGTTCGCAGCAATGCTGCTGTTGCTTTGTGCGGAAACGCCTGCATTTATAGATTGTTCACTGAGCGTAATAGCTCTTATGAGTAATACATTTGTTGACTGAACGGACTTTAAATGTGTTGGATACTTCGAACAAAATATATACTTGTCGATATGTTTGGAAAATATTGAAAATATTACTCTTTTGTAACGTCTTATTGTTTGTATCACTACGTTTCGAAATTTCTCACCGGTAAGACAGTACAGAAAGAAATTAATTGCAAAATTCCAATGGTACACGTGGAAGCATAATCCACGGCACCATTTCAATAGCATTTTCTCTTTCAACCTGAAAACAATTACAGACTTTGGTACAGAAAATTGTTTCATGAAATTTGTTTCCTTGTTATGAATTCATACCAATGTACGTATTCCATGTTTTTCTTTGCCTCCGTAGCAGGGAATTTGATCAAAATAACATCCCAATAGAGTTCCAAAGTTTCGACAATGCCAAGGGGTAATAATAATATTAAATAAACTGTCGACACTACAAATAGTATTCTGGAAGTATGATGCGTTCTGTTCGCTTTATGTCTGAAATTTTCTATGGAATAATATCATTGAATGTACTTATATTTCCTCGATTAACAAATTCCAATCAAGCAGTTTACTTACGAGTCAACTGACAACGAATTTTCTCAGTCTTTTTCATATGTAAAATAAGCAAAATGTTCCCAAGAAATATGAAGAGCAATGGCAGCCATGTTGATAAAGCAATGTAAAAATACATAGCGCTACCCCATGGTTTTATTTTCTTTTGACACGGTATGAACTCAAATACGCTGTCTGTTTCGTATCCTAAAATATAATCAGACTGTTTTTAATATGTAAAAATAGTATTCTTCTAAATTGTTTTTTTTTGCCAATATTAGCAAATACGTTAAACATTAAAATACATAAATATTTACCTCCTGAATATAATTTTGTTAGCGATATTACAAAGCTGGTACATATTAAAGTAGTAAGAGTTATTATTTCGGAACAGTTGTCGCAATGACCACGTATTCCAAAAGGAAACATAATAGCAAAAACTCGAGTCCACGTGAGAGCCACAACCAGCCAAGTAGATGTAAATTGAAAGAACTCCATTGTAACGGAATTTAAGCTGCACAGAAACCTACTATTCTAAGAAAACATTGAATATATAAATCTTACATTTTACACAGCAAAAACTGAAAATGACGATTAATTGATTCCTTACCATAAAAAGATTATTAACAAATGCGAAGTGAGACTTTGCGATACCCACAGCATAATTAAAAATTAATGCTCCATTGTCGGATAGTGCGAGTGCTTTTAAATAAAGCGATAAATTTGATTCACAGAGTATGGGAGTGCTTAGCATTCCAAACGAAATGGTATTTAACAACACACCTACATGGACGAGTTTTAATTCGGTGAAATACAATGAATAACATTAATTATACATTTAATAGACATTTAATCGTTTCCTTCCTTACCAAGTATTATAATAAATGGTGTTATATAGCCAAGCAAAAATCGTACAAATTCGACAAATGGTTGTAACGATTGCCAGTAAAAACGCACTTCACATGGCCATATAATTTCTAAATTAGGTTGCGTAAGATTGTAAATGAAATCCAAAGTTGTTAGTGGTAATGGACATGTTAAATTTACTCTAACAAAAAGAAACATATCTATATAAATAAAAGCGCACGTAAAAAGAATAATTTGTTAATCATATTTATTCATACATTTAACTTCGCTATGAATAAATTTTTATAAGCATTCTTACCTAATATCATTTTTTATTAAAGATTGAGTAGATTCTACAGATTGAAGTAGCACATTTAATACCAACATAAATATTTGCACATTTCTGTCGTTTAATGAAATCATTTGTAAACATATATACATGAGTTTACTTTGTAAAAAAGATATTTGGAAATTTGGTATAATAATGTTTGAAAAAATGTGTTAAATGATAATAACACTTATTATATTGTAAAAACGGTTTTCCTTGTATTCTATGTGCCTCCTTCTGTCAAGCACCTTTTCACTACCATGACTAATAATGATGTATCACTTCTTATTAAGAGCTGCAAAGGCACCTGTTGTCAATTATCATAACATAGAATTATTCTTGGCAAATATCATTTCAATGCAGATACCAGCTTACACGACTTGTATAAGACTAGTAGCAGACCTGCATTTTACGTACACTTAAATGCAGATCTGCACAACAAATTTATCATTTATAAGCCTCCGGAGTACACATAAATTCTTCTTAAACTTATATTGATTTAAAGGATACTTGTTTTTAAAAGAAATTATGTTTCCTATAGTAAAATTAAAAAGAAATAAGTTGTTCATTCTATCTTTAGTATTATTATGAAGAAACATATTTTTATAGCACAAAAAGAAATTATTTTATAGAAAACAAAATTTCTGGAAATAAAAGAAAATATTTAAAAATTTTTAATTAATCACAGTAATATATCTTTTTAAAAAATTATGTTTCTATACATTTTACAGATATTTTATATATCTACTTTTTTCAGTTACATTTATTTTAATTATCCGTTTGATTTAAATAAAAATGTAGTTAATGCAATTGCAAAGAATTACATGATTTCCTAAAGATGTGAAACAATTTATTTCTATTATAAATAAACGGAAAAATTAATGCTGTAAAAGATAAATAGTTATGTATTAATATAGGGGAGTTTAATTTACATAACATTATATTTATAACTATAAGAATTCTTACTTTAATTATATGTATTATACAGGAATCATCGTCATTTAATACAAATATAATTTGTAATATATTTTCAACATACAGTATGTACATATACAATTCACACAAATCCGCAAGTGAAAGGCACACATTGAAATCATGATAGCCTAATCATTTTCATAAAGTGAAATACTGTTTCCTTTTGCGTTAACAATAAAGTTTTCGTTACATCAAATTTATTTTACGATAATTAAACGAAATTACAATTTTTTTTAAACATTCTCCATTAACTTTGTCATTACATTTTGATGGAACATAATAAAGATTATAAATATAACAAAAGCGGTGTTACATTTCTAGGGACATTATTTTCCATTACTTGTTCTATCAAAAATATATCCCTCTTGTCGTACTATACATATCGACTCAATATTTCATACCTTCCATTTTCAAGTCGATGCTCTCTTACTACACAATTCCAATATATAAATAAATCTATCTATTTTCAAATGAATAATTTCTTTTTTAATAACAATGTTTATTTGTCCAAATACTAGTAAATTCGTCAGATTCAATGTACTCTTTGAAACAATTTTACAAATTTGTTTAGGCAACCCTAAATCTGTTATAGTTGTTACTTATCTGCGTATTGATAGATTTTCAATATTTAAATGTAAATATAATTTTTCCCAACATGAAAATGTCCAATATATTTTTCAATTCATTTACGAAAGAAAACAATATAAGATATGAAAATGAACAATCTCTAACCGTTATCAATTTACTAAATATAATCACAATATTTAATTACGATATGAATTCGCATCTTTTTAAATAACAAAGGATTAATTGTTTTCATCTATCGTTTGTCAATATCCTATATTTATATTTACACGCTTACAAAACCTCAGAAAATACTTGCGCTCTATACGAATCAATAAATTTGGTAAATAATATAATTCTTGCGAGAAAAAAAATATTAAAAAGCACTGATTATGCGTGTACAAGTTACTAATACACAGCACAGAAGCACGTTGATTTTTACATTTATAAATTCTGCACAGTTTTCTACTTTTCTAACTCTCAAACGTGCGAATGATCAAACATCTTTACATTCACGATGGTTCCATTGCACAGTACATTTTCATAATATCTATATAATATTTTTAAACTCATGTTGCGTATGTTATATTACTAGTTACACTTTCTATCAATGATTAAACACATTTAATTTGCAATTGTTTAGAAACTAATCGCTTTAACATATTTATTTAGTAAGTGCAACACAATATATCCTAAAATTAATTATCGAAACATGAACATTTGCGTGAATGATTGTAGCAGATATTGTATTATTGTTCTAGTATAAAATATTACCATTATTGTTAAGAATTTTGCAAATTAAGTACGTACGTTGTAGAAACCAAGAGCTGCCATGCTTATGCACAAAAATATACATATGTTATCTTTAAGAGATATATAATGTACACGTTGAATTGAAAACTAGTCTTGCATTCTCAATCACAGCCACTGAATAGCAACATAAAGATCTGTAATACTTTTCAAGTTTTCATACATGTTTTCTTACGGCAATAAAAATTTTTATTCCAAAGAGCATTATTTCTTTCAGAGAAGTGCCTGTGCAGAATCATACGATAAAACAGTAAAAATTTATTAAAATTTCAAGCGAACACTATACCAAACATATAATGGAGAATACCTAAACTTTTACTGAACGTACAAATAACATAGTAATTGCATTCTTTTTTTTTTATTTTATAGAATGTCATCATTAACCGAAAAATTAATTCTTTGTTGCATGCAAAGTAATTCATCTCATATCATTGGTCAAATGTCGACTATATAATACGAAACTTTACATTGAATATCTTAAATTATAGTGTCAAATTTATGCCAGAAAGTGAAACATATCTGTATGCGTCGTACTTTCTAATATCACCATGGTAATAAATCAACCTATAGACAAAATAAGTTTCTATATTCTATACATAAGTATGTACAAATCTGAACATTTTGCATGTTGCAATTATACAAAGAGTTCCCAATGATTATTTCTCCCCTTCACGTTACAAATACATCAATGCATTCGTTGTACTGTATCAGATTAATTTCTTACCTGAAATCTTAACGTCTACTTGAAAAGTGTACATTTTGAAAAATTATTAGCAAAGAATCAAAAATTGTTGACAATAAGTATGTTTTAATGACTAGCAAACTGGACATCTAGCGGTACTTCTAAATATGCGTATCATCCTATTTCTTTTGTGTAAAAACAGTAAATAATATTAATTGTATTAAATATGGAGCAAGCGCAACAAGTTCCGATGCAAGTTAAAGAGGAACAAAACCCAGATGGAGTTCTAAGACGCACAGTAGTGGATGGAATAAATCCCAACGTCAAAAAAGATTCAGATTGTTCAAGAAACTGGCAAGAAGGTAAAAGTAATACGTTTTATTGCTTTTAGTCATAAGAAAATATTATTAACAATTTTTGCCGAGCCGGGCTTTACAGACCTCAGTATTGGAGACCAAATACATAACATTTTATTTACTCGTTACACAGTACTTCAGCAAAAATATAATCAAACAGGAGGCACATTAGAATCCAGAACAGCGAATAATGACTTTTGGAAGATATGATCAAAGAGACCCAGCGAATTGGTATGAGATTGCAAATCCATTGAACTTTTTGTCGGGGCTTTGCATTAAGATGAAAAGAACTAAGACTTGGTCACCATTGTTTGCGTATAGAAAAGTGAAACAACATTTAAAAGACGCCAAAACTGTTCCAATACAGTCTTTACGGAGTACATCATTCCCATTTGAAAAGAGAGTCTCAGTGCCTCAAACTGTAGGACCAATGACAACCCTATTGTATTATATAAAAACCGATAAACTATACTCTCAGAAGTGGACAGTGAGACGGACTTTTGTACACTTTCCAGCCATAGACGAGAACCTGCAGAAATTCGAACTTTGGTATCAATTATGGCTGACATCTCTTTGATCATCGCAACTAGGCAAGCTAGTAGAATGTCTTCATTCTCCTCCACCAGCTGCCTTTAGCTTAATCTTCGCAACAGAGAGTCATGGAGTGGGCACTAGTCAATATCGCATTGAGTTATTGTATGATGCATTCAACTTTTACATTCTATTGTATTCTCAAGACTAAACGATGGAAGGATGAGGCTAACTGGTGCAACGGATAGTATGGCTAACCAAAACTGTTACCATGGTACGTTCGGCACATACAAAGAGGACTTAGGAGTGTTTTTTCAAGTAACGAACTGAGCAAATTGGAACACAAGAGAAGAAATGGGCCCAGGCCTTAGGCAAGCAAATACTAGAAAAAATTCTATTCAAATATATCTGACGCAAATCAAATTGGGCTTTTAACATCATCTTATAGTCAATTATCATCTATACCATGATTCGTATAAAGATTTCTCAATGGTTATTTTTCTCCTTCACGTTACAAATACATCAATGCATTCGTTGTACTGTATCAGATTAATTTCTTACCTGAAACCTTAACGTCTACTTGAAAAGTGTACATTTTGAAAAATTAGCGAGTGTAAATACCTAATTGATTTTCATTTTCCAATGGTAAAACATTGAATAAAAAGGAAAGTAAATTCTTCTTAATAAAAAATAAATAAATAAGTTGTCCACGTTTGTAGATCTTGCCAAATAGATTTTATGGGATGAAACTAATATGTGATATTTTACGTTCACATCTCATTATTGTACTGTGCAATCCTACATATAATATTTACAAAAATATGCATCCCGCAAACGCCATCTCTATAGTAGCACTTTACATGCTTGTTTCAAATTTAGCCAAAAACTATTTGGCTTTTTCGCATGTCTCTGATTTTCACCAATTTGTTATACGCACAAGTTATATACGAATCCAGATTTTAACTTTAATCGGGTTTGTATATGGGTATTTTTGGAATAAATTCAATTAAAAGAACCTGTAATGTGAAAGATGAAATCAAATAAGTGTATGCTTACATAGAAATACAGATCAATACACATGAACAGCTTAGACAATGATGTAACTAGTAGTATTAACTCGTTTACGTAGGGTTTCAACTATTTACATAATTAAGCAAGTAAATTTTGTTCTTGCTACAAGGACAATAAAATATATAATCAAACGTATTTTTAATCTCACTAAATGTATGTAAATAAATTAATTATAAGAAATCTTTGATACAATCAGTAATGCAAGTCTACATATACCCATTTAATATGAGATACAGAACTGTTTACAATGAAAATATGCAAAACATTAATATGTATGATAGGAACAATTTCTATAGATTTTAATCAGGAATATGTGAGATCTAAAAAATGCTAGAGATTCCTGAAGATATTTGAGAGGATCCACGAAAATTTAAAATAAAATATTTTATAATTGTTATTCCCTTGATGTATGATTTTTACTCCATCTTTTACAATTTTAAAAATTTATAATAATTTTTTTCGAGTATTCTAGAAATCCCATTTGGTAAATAATTTAATATCTATAAGATTATCAGTAAGTCTTACTTAATTTATAGGGTGTATGTAGATTTTTGCAACTGATTATATGTATACGAAATATTATATTTTTTTATTCATAATTTGAATAGCGTTTGTTGAGGTAAACTCATCAATATATAACATACAGTCACTCTGTGTCATGAAAAACCATTCAAACATTGAAAAATGTTAAAATAGAATTTTTACAAAGATTTAGAATAATACAGGACACGATAAAGGGAAAACGAAATGCAGAAACTATTAAATTATTCTTGTTATTAGAAATTAAGCGTACAGGTAAGTGTGAACAATTTTTATATTAAATGACCTTACGTTACATCTTCTTGAACTAATCTCAACAAACTCTAACATATTATGAATAGAAAAATAGAAAATTGACCTTGAAATTTTCTCTATACTTCTCTCCACAAAGAAACTATTTACAATGTAATGTGTTTCTCCAAAGAACAATTTTTGTTAATATCTTGAACTTTTTATGAAATATACTAATACAAAACAAACGAATACAAAATTTGTTATCTTTATATTTACTTACATATTCCATCATGGACGAAGTATCACATCTCTGTTTCGCTAGTTTCCAATGCAATCCAAGTTTATGGTAAAGCCTACTGTTTTCCCATTCTAGCAATTTATTTAGCGAGTGTTGCGTCTATATAAAAATATATAAGAGAAAAACAAATTATTTATATTATTATATTTCCTAATAACAAGATTCCCTATAGTAAGACTATTTTAATAGAAAGAAGATTAAGAAATATTTTTTATATCAAATTAAGAAATAAATATGTCTGTAAGTCAAATTTATATTTTTGTTAAGACGGATACTTACTCTTTTACTCAAACAGATGACAGGCCAAAGAGAACAACCTAATGTACAACAGCAGCAAACGCAACCACAAAATAACCACTTAACATTAACTGGCAAAGTTTTTTTGAGTACACTATTCATTCTCATGACGGTTGCCTTGAATTCTTCCGGAGCAACGCGTGACACCAGGCCGTTTGGAAATTCTGATTCGAAACGATTGCTAAGTCCAAATCTAAAATAAATAAATACAATTATAATATAGTCAACGAAGATCTTTTTTTGTACAAATAGAGGCATAAATTACATATAATTTACATGTATTTTTTTTCGTTTTTTAAACACGTAAGCTATATTACAAACATCAAACTTCTTTTACGTAATTTGTCATATTTCGAAACATATATTTTTAGTTTAAAGAACAAATTATTGCGAAGAAAAAGAATTCGCTTTCAATGTATTCACAAACATCGCTTTTGGTTTAGAAGTTTAATCTCTTTGTTGTTTGAACAAAATTCTAAATTAACCCTTTGCGGTCGGATTAAATATGGAGATGGGTATCGTACTGGTAGGAATTAATTTCCGTCGATAGAGCAGGGATACATAACACGCAAGTTTACGACGTATAAACAAGATTTAGTAATTCTTTTGTGAACTTTAGATATATCTTTATTCGATACACTCATCTTGTGATATGTTTTTGTATAAAAATTATGTTTTATAATTCTCCTTCGTGTGATATTTTTCAAAACACTCTCCAACATGCAGGCCAGGTCTTCGAGCGCATGTATCGCATTTTGGGGAATTATTTTGGAATATTTTAAGAAGAGAGAATGTCTGATTACTGTTAAATAAAATATTCTTTGGAATTCTACAAGGTATCGTCGAACGTTGTCGATTTCACTACGTTCAAAAGACGACTGACTCGCCACTGCGTCTTGCATGGCGAGCGCTGTGTTACAACTTTTGTGTACATTAGATTACGTTATCTCCAATTGATGGAGCACCGTATTGGTTTCGTGAATAGGTCTTTTAGGCATTGAGGTTCGTATAGGAAAAGTGTAAACTGATACATGAATGCATACAGTATACGATTCGTATAGTTCCTTGCTGTGGTGGCTGGAGAGCAGACATACGACCGCAAAGGGTTAATCTCTTTGTTGTTTGAACAAAATTCTAAATTAATATATACGATAAATTCGAAGAACAATATCGTTTTACTCACACAGTCATATTACCAGCTCCGCGAATAACTATGGGATCTGGCACCATCGTCACATAATGTTCTTCCAAATTTTGTTCATTTTCTTCCTCTTCCTCGTAGATCGCATCGAAATCTGCCATTGTACGTTTTTCGATGGTTCCCGCTCTACGAGCAATACAATGATATCGCAAAGAAACAACGTTTTTCTTGCAAAAGAGCGGACTTTTTTTTCATTTATACTTGACAGGAAATCGCAACGCGTGTACGTTGACTTTTAAGTGTCATGCTTAAATATTTTCATGACTACTGATCACAAACTTTTAGTTAAAAATCATTCGTAACAAAACCGCTCACAACATAACACACGACGCGCACTGCAGATGCTCCACAGCTCATCAATTTTTCATTCAATGTAATTTCAGGCTCGCCAACGACGAGACCTATAAATATTTCGCGTCGTAATCGGAGATAGGCAGTACTGTCAACCACCACACCGCATTCAATTTAAAGACGGACCATGGTAAATAAGCCCACGTGACCGCGAACACGAACAAAATGGTAGAAACTATACTCCGAACCCCGATTAGAATTTATCGAATACAGAGTGTACAACAAAAATGAGCTATTTAAGAACATAACAAATATTTATTAATTCCTACATTTCACCTGTATTTGTACATTTCAAATTTATATTTACACCGTGTTCGTAATTCTTTTTTTTTTGTCTTTAACATTTCTATCGTGCAATAAATATTAATTTAAATATTGAGAAAATTTCAAAATGTAGACAAATAAATAATTGTGGACGTTAAATGTAATTATGAATTGTATTCGTTAAATATTATTTAGTTTCTGAACATTCTGTACTTGTACATCCGCATAACGAAAATTTCGAATAGAATTTTGCGCGAAAACTTTTATTCGTCTAATAAGTAAATTAAATTAGAAATTTACATTTTCAATTAATTCTAACGGCACTTGCTTTGTTTATAATTTTGTAAAAATTTCGGATAATATATTATGAAAGAATATTAATCATAGAATTCGTGAATGGATAATAGACATACCAAGATGTAACAAAGATGTAGGCTACCATGTTCAAAGATTTGTTTTTTACAATGTTCGTAACATTTGACGAAAAAATAAGTCACAAACCTTCTTCCACGTATTGAAACTTAAATTCAAATCGTCGTTCTGCTGACGCATAATTACCAACATCTAAACCGTAACACACGACGCCTATGTCGAATAAACTATCGATTGTTAATGAATGGTAATATTTGTTATTAGATGCATACACGTCAAAATGGCAGATGTCTCGTTCTCTAGCCGTGCTTACTGTAAGATTATATTACACGCAGCTAAGTATCCCCACTGTGCGATAAATGGATTGTTGTTAGCCAAACAGAAGAATAAAAGCGACAGCAAATCCACGGAATTACGTATAGAGGATGCGATTCCGCTATTTCATATCTGCCTTCATGTATCGCCTATGGCAGAAATCGCATTGACTATGGTAAATATTTAAATATTATTTAAATTTTATTAATTAATGCAAACACAAATTTATTATTATATTTACTACATTTTGTTAAATAAAATTTAACAAATTTTGATCATGGTATAAGCGAATATATACAAACTTAAATAAAACGCGTCTTTTAAACAATAAATAATTAATAGGTTATTCTCAAATTTGATTTCATTATGATTGAAGCAACATAATATTTTATTTGTAATTTCTTAAATATTGTTCGTTTAATTTCCATGCAAAAATAAGTATGGTATTAATTGAAATATTTAAATTAAATACCAACCGACATTTTCAATTTTAACAAAATTATTTTCAGGTTGATCAGTATGCTACAAGCAAAGGTTTAATAATTGTAGGTTATTATCTTGCAAATGAAAACATAAATGATCTAAGGTAATTTATCGTCTTATATTTGCTCAAGAAATTATGTCTCAAAATTTTCAATAATTTTGTTCAGTATTCGCACAAGTTTAATCTTTTAATATAGTACAGATAAACCGGCTCACAGAATTGCAGACAAAATAGCAGAAAACTATGGCAATGCTCTGCTTGTTGTGGTAGGTATTATTAAAGTCGGTTTTTTACTTCTCTTCTTTTTTCTTTAAATTTCCATTGTATTTTTTCCGTTAGATCGATAATAAGGAAATATCATTTGGCGTAAACTCGAATCGTTTGAGGGTATCTCAATATATCGATGGCAAATGGAAGCTCAAGGACATAACAGAGTAATAAAATGTTTCATATATTTTTCAATATACTTACTGTTTACATATAAAATGTTTTTCCTTTTGTTCTTTCAGCGTAATCTGTGATAAAGGAGTAACGCATACAGACGCAGTGTATTCTTTACTAAAAACAGAGCAATATAGAAATCTTGTTGATTTTGACAATCATCTCGACGACATTTCTCTTGATTGGCAGAATCGTAAATTGAACAAGATTGTAGACGAAGCTGTAGAAAAACACAAATAAAAGCGTTTAATTAGAATTTCTATTTAATATATAATTAAGCGTGTAAAGACTAATTTAATATATAAAACTAAAAGAAATAAGTAGTTCTCGATGTTATAGCTATTAATTTTTTTAAGGAACTCACAGCGAATGCTAAAAATATTCTTCGATTAAATCGCATTTATTGACAAAAATAAAATTTCCTACACGATATACTTTGTACAATTCTATCAGTAGTTTACTTCATCTCCTTTCTCCTCACTCTCTTGGTAAATTGTTGATAATTCAGTTCCCAGTATCTAAAAATAATCAACTAATTTGTAATCTTATGAATGAACATTTTATCGCAATATTTATTATAGCGCACTGATAAAATTTACCTGAATTCATACTTTCAAACATTTTCCAGCTATAATTAAAATATACATTTGGATGGTCAAAAGTATTCCTTGTTATACAATTATGAGTAATCTCATAATATTCCTTGCATGCTTCGAGATAAAACCCATTTCTTGAAAGTTGCGTCACCGATTCTACATCTGGAATATTTATTATTTTTTAAGGTTTAATCTTTTTACATTCTTCCATAAGGGAGAACACAATGAAAACATCAATTTGTTTACCTGATCGAACCAATCCACATTTGATCAATGTGTCTTTAAGTGCATCAAGTGTCATACATTTAAACGGGCAACCATGATTATCTCGCAAACCAACGCTAGAGTTTAATATTTTAATACAATGGAAAGGTTCGTATTTCGCTCGTTTTCCTTCTTGCCCATACAAATGTCGTATGGTATATCTGTACTTCCTTTGGAAAGTATTTTTGGTAATTTTTTTGGTAAATTCATCTTCCCAAAATCGTAATGCATTTTTCAATCTGAGTCCTATTCCTTTAAGAAACAGACAATACTGAACTCTTCCACCATTTGTGAGATGATGCTTTGTTTTTAATGCTTCGTGAAGTACTCTCATGCATAATGGATAAGATGTCGTTGATAACTAAAGAAAAAAAAAAGCATACGTATAACGATCTTAAATGCTTAATGAATAATATTTAAATATGAAGTATACCTGATCTAGTTCCTTAATAGACACTCGCCGACGTCTATTATATTTGAAATAACTAGGTTTACTGCAAGTTGAAAGTACGCTAAAAAGTTTTGTTAATCTGCCATCATTATAAATATTTGACGCAGTTTGTCGTGAATACTAAAATAACATATAATTTCCAGAAAGTGTAACATTTTTAAAACATGCAGTCGTTTGTTATATTATTCCATACGTACTGTAAATCCTTCGTTCAATTTCTTTTTAAACTCTGAAAGAATCAACCAAGATATTTTTGTTTCCGGCACATAAGCAATACCGTCTCTTAAAAATATTTGACGTTTCATAACTTCATTTATTACACTAGTGAAATGTACTGTGTAAACTTTCATGTTATCTATATTTTTAATGTACCAATAGGTTCTTTTTACATCTTCTATGATCTTCTGTTTTTCTTCTTCGGAGATCTGAGAAGAAAGAAGCTCTTTAATCGATAAAAGTAGTACTTTTTGTTATTCAGGTACATAATTTTATGTTAAATGTTATACACAAATATACTAACAGCATTATATCGTAATCCATTGGCACAATTAAATGCTTCGATGCTATCTTTATTCAATAAAGACAATCTCCACCTGAATAATTTCACCTCTTGCTTGAACAACCATTTCTTCTCTTTATATTTAAAGCAAAAAACAGACGTTAATATTAAATGTGATATACAATCATTCCTTCTCAAACGCTGTTCCGTTTCATTCTGAGATTTATAGTTATGTGCACGTATGAGCTTTGCAAAATCATGAAGCCCATTGTTTACCAACTTTTCGATTAAAATAGTTACATAATATTTGGATGTCATTTTATAATGTTCCCTAGAGACCTGCTCTACTAGCTTCAAAACTAAAAAATAAAATTATATTACTTTTTAAGACGAAATGTACAAAGTTTTCATGAGAAATATAAAAATAGATATACGATTATGTTTGCGATCAAAATTACAGTTTAAATAAAATGAAAATAATCATTTTACTTTTACAAATTATCGACTGCTTTTTTTATTTTCTTAAAGTAAGTATATTAAATTTGGATTATGTCGATAAATTCATATATTCGTTAGTATCTTGCCGCAAACTAGAAAACAATAAAACTGATTACCTCTTAATCTATCGACGCACCACTGCTGTAATTCTTCAAATTCAATTTCTCCGTACGGTGGTACAGAGTACATTTGTAAATCATGCGTATATACATATTCAGAAATCTTTTGATTTATTCCATTATTAAATTGAGATCTAATTGGCATATATGCCATATTTATTAGAAAATCTAAAATAAAAGAAATATTCTTTTTGTAAGAAATTATATGTGCTATAAATAGATGCTTATTTTTTTATCTATTCATTACCTGTTAATTATTACAAAGATCATAATAAAGAGAAAATTCTGTGTATATTTAATTATCTCTCGAAGTAATGTTTCCTTTTACGCTTTTTATAAGTATAATTTTGTGATATGTTTATAATAGATTTTCTGTTTATACGTATATACATTTATTTATTTCATACGTTCATATTTTCTTTTGTAATAATATATTAAAACATATTTTTTTAGGAGATATATATATATATATATCAATTGGACTTCGTAAATTTTGATTAATTTTTAAAAAATTTCTATCTTTTTTATCAGGACACTTTTATTATGTTTTAATTCATATTTTACAAAAAAAATGATACAGTTTGTGTCTATAATAATTATCTTCACTATAATTCAACATAAACTAACCTAACTTTGTAATATAACCTCCATCAAAGGTATACAAAATTTATAAAATGCAGTTTATAATTTGATACTTTTATAATACCGTAATTGTGCGAAATAAATTTTAAATAAAGTGATAGGGTGTAATTAATAGATATCTGAAGCTGCATTACGAGTAAACTGTTAAATTATTCTTATTGTATTATGACTTGTTTATTAGAACAAAACAAATTCGAATGTCGGTAAGTTTATATTTTAAGAAGCAACGAAACATTCCTAGAAAACAGATTCAACGATCAGGATGAATTATACGTCATTCGATTCGTCTAATTCAGTAAATTATTGATATGCATTTCATTATCTGCGGAAATTTCTTATTTCTTTATAAACTGCTAAAGTTACAGTAAAAAAAGTAAGGTTATGTACATTTCTTGACATGTGCACAGGCAGAAACAAGTGGCTATAGTTGCTATGTTCATGTTACAAATTATAAATGATTTATCCAATTTGATAATGCTACATTGTCAAATGGGATTTTGTAGAACGTAAAGAAATGATTTTTATGCATAGACTTCGCATGAGTCGGTCAGGTAGACAGTATGTGAGGCAACAATCCCCCCCTCCCCCCCCATATATAACCTTGACCTACTCAGAGAGTACATGTAGCAACAGTAAAAAATGTTACCCTTCCTCCTCCTCCTCCTCTGACAGTGTTTATGGGTAATGGTGATTTATTCAATGAAATATTAGCAGAAATAGCAGAAATTTCATTCAATAAATGTTTAACAAATTAACATTTGTCTACTTGGCATTTTGTACACAGTAACGACAGTCTTAGTCTTCAGTTTTACTGTAACTTTACCACAAATTTATCAATAATGTACTGAATTAGACGAATCGAATGAATATAACTCACCCTATAAAATATATCTAATTTGATTATAAAATACATATTTAAAGTGTAATTTTTATTTAGGGTGAGTTCAGTATTAAATAGGAATAATCGATTGTATGGGAAGAAGCACATGTTTGACAATTGCCCGGAAACATGTTGGAACTCTGAAGCAGTAAGAAAATATCTTTTTAATACTTTTAAAAGTTGAATCGCAGTACAAAGTATTTAAAAATTGTATTCCAGGGAAGTCCGCAATGGATAGCTATTGATTTCGAACAAGAATGTAGCCTAAGTTCGTTTGAAATTGAATTTCAGGGAGGATTTGTAGGCAAAGATTGTCACATAGAAGTTTGCGATAAAGAAACTGAATTACTCGAACCATTTTATCCAGAAGATAAAAATACAGTACAAAGATTTAGTTTAGAACGACCAAAGAAAGCAAAAACTTTTAAATTCGTTTTCAATGAAAGTACAGATTTCTTTGGCAGAATAATCATATACAAATTATCTCTATATTCATAAATTTTAGGTAATTTATTCACTATGTTTTGAATAAAATAAATACAATTAAATATTACATGTTTACCTTTCAGATAATACATAATACCCATCTTAAAAAAATATGCTATACAAATAGAGAGATAAAAATTTCTTGATGTATTATATTTATAGTCCATGAATGTGCAAGTTCTTTAATGAGAAATGTTCGTAGAAAAAGGTTTGGTCGATGCTTTAAAAATATTGTTGAGTATGTCGATATCTCATACTTCATAATTTATACTCTGATCTAGTATCGATGAAAATAAATCTAGGATAGTATCGAGCAAAATTATTTACACTATTTTGTTAGTACAGTCTATGGATACAGTCGATCATTTTTTGTTAACATCATATATGTATACTTAATTCTCTTTTTACACTATATTTCTTTACATGATTTCGGTTTAACACAATTTAGAAAAAAAGAACTGACTCTATTTCTCTGCATAAATTTCTTTGTGAAAATATCTATTATATATGTTACCGTGAACGACCGAAATTGGAGAATGCCAACAGATACCAAATACGTCGGTGAAAGATCGAATATTTCATTACATTGTTGTACATTCGGACCCTCTCCGGTGTGTGTCGACAATCACAGATATGCTCTGGTGGGGTTCCAAAACAGAAGAGTCAAAAAACAAGCGACTGGCTCTCTCCCGCCAAATCCTTTGTTCTGCTCGGAGTCAATCAGCTTTGTCAGTCTTATGCAAGCTTTGATAACGCGAGCAACGTTTTCTTAATTTTTTTTCCGATACTCTAATTTATACTAAATGGATACTGCAGTAAATCGTGATCTTTTTCTAACCCAGACCTAACCCAGACCTAACCCAGACTTAATTCAGACTTATTCCAGACCTAACCCAGACCAATTCATCGCTGCTAACGGGGGTTAGGTTGAAAATCAGGCTATCATCATCTTCCCCTTCCTTTGTCGGTGTGACCTCGGAAATTCGTCTCCACTTCATGCAGCCAACATTCAATTCTCTGTCGTGTTTTTCTAAGTGAGCTTTCAGTTCTTCCTTCAGTTGCGCGTAGGAGGCCATTATTGCTTGGAGAGACTTTCCACCACTGGCTTTTGGACCCCCTTCTACTAAATGATCGAAGAATGTGTCAGAGAACTTTCGTTTTGTTGGCCCACTGAAAACGGGTTGAGAGGAGATTTGGCTATATGATGAAGTAAGCAACCCGGTTTGATTTGCCTGGGCTAGCTTAGCATAGTATATCTGTTGCACTGGTGCGAATTTAATGGGTTTTCCAATGGTGTTAGCCTTAGTGAAAACCTTCCCCATTTCTTCTCTACTTGACCAAGAGGAGAGGTTTGTTATTTGTTTGAGTAATGATAGATCTTCCTTGTAGGTTCCAAACATGGAATGATATACCACTTGCTTTGCAATACTGTCCGAAGCTGCATTCAGGTTTATGGTCCATTCTATGCTTTGGAAAATCTTATAGAACGCAAAGCAGCCATGACCGCTAAAGTTGAAATGGTTTACTAGTGTATTTGATTTATATGTCGATGTTCCCACCCTAAACTCATCAGTGGTAAACATGTATGAAAAAGCTGCAGGAGGGGGGAACATACGCTGTGCCTGACGTGTAGTTACTATTAACGCAACATCACAAATCATCGTAATAAGGGTACGGATCTCTGTGGGCTCTTTGTCTCTTATGAGCGTGAGAATTGTGTCTATCTCCGGGAAATGGGCCAGAGCTCTCTTCACCGCAACCAACCATTTCCCGGAGTATTTGCGTTCTGACTTAATGTATCCTAATAAAGCAGTTATAGGACCAAGGGATTGCACCATTGAGGCACGCTTTTCCGGAGGAAAAGAAATACCCTCACATAGTATGTGGTGGCACCCGTAGATACCATATTGGATTAAATTGACCGCTTTTTCTACCCCATCCTTGCGCTGGATAGGCATCACATGGTGTCCTAACCTTAATTCTTTCCTCCTCAAAGCGAACCCGGACAAAAAGTTCAGCAATGTCCCAGCTATCCCGTACCAGTTGAGTGGATCCTTGGGCTCATATTTATCAAATGGTATGTTGTTGTGTTCTGCTCTATCGATTAAGATGTCATATGCCACCTGTCTTTCTATAGTATGCTCACTCCCGAGATGTGTGACTTTAAAGCTCGATCCCTCAAGTCTCTGGGATAACGTTCCTCCTGTCTGGTTAAACCGCTGGCGTATTACATTGTAACTGGTGAATAATGTGTTGTGAACCTGATCTCCGATGGAAAGGTTCATCTGGTGGTCCTTTAATCCAAAAGCATACAACAATCTTTTGTGAGATTCCGCTATGAACTTTATAACAGCTGCTTTCTTTCGGGCTTCTTGTGGTACTGCTGGTCGTTTAGCTCCCACCACCTCTTGGTCTTGGTTGTTCGCGTCGACTATTATTCGTTTGGGCCCTCTAGCAGACGTTGGTGTGTCCACATCCATGGTAGATGGGCCCTCCATGATACTCGTTAAGCAGTGTCACCGCTGCCTAGAACTTGGACATGTCCGGCAGCGGTGTACTAGCACCATTGATCGCAGCGGTCTCTGCTACCGCTGCGGAGGAGCCGGCCACTCTGCCAGAGAGTGCACGGCCGCCCCCAAATGCCCCCTTTGTGCGGGCTTTGGGCGGCCGGCTGATCACCGTATGGGTGGGGCGGCTTGCCGTCCCCCCAAACGGAAAGGGAAGACAGCGAAGGGGGCGGGTATCCCCCCTTCTGTGGTGCCCGTCGCGGCGGAGGTTCGGGGCGCGGCTGTTTCCCAGCAGTCCTTGGCCTCTGTCGCGATGGGAGTAAAGGTGTTGGGGGGTGCACTCGCACCTCCTCCTCTCATTTACACTGTTGTTGTATTTTGTAATTTCCAAGTGTATGATTTGGTTTGGACTCGAAAAAATGTCGAATGGGACTTGACAAACAATGCTTTTAAGTATTTTATTTGAAATTTACCTGTTAAAATAAGTGTTTTATTTACACTGTTGTTGTATTTTGTAATTTCCAAGTGTATGATATCTGTTTGGTTTGGACTTGAAAGAATGTCGAGTGAGACTTGACGAAGGTGCTCCTGAGATCAAAATTGATGTCGAATCACACTCGACATAGGAGTGCAAAGGGTTAAGATAATTTGGATTATTAACTAATCCAGACCTAACCCAGACCTAACCCAGACCTAACCCAGATCTAACCCAGACCTAACCCAGATCTAATCTAGATCTAATCCAGACCTAACCCAGACCAATTCATCCCTGCTAACGGGGGTTAGGTCTGGGTTAGGTTTGGGTTAGGTCTGGGTTAGGTCTGGGTTAGGTCTGGAATAAGTCTGAATTAAGTCTGGGTTAGGTCTGGGTTAGGTCTGGGTTAGATCCTTTCAGAAAGAGAGGCGAAAAAGTTACGTCACCCTTGTGACGTTTTATAGCGACTGAATTACGGGGAAGAAAATATAAATCTCCAACATGTTCAACACTCACCATTAGTGAGTAAGTCAGAAATAAGGGTGTTTAGCAAATATTTCGGACATACACTAAGCGACTATGTGAATGTTGACATTCACCGGTGAAAGTCGACATTCTCCAGATTTCGGTGTTTCACTGTAACATATACATACCAATATTAATAACTGACTGAGTGTTCTTTGATATATAGCAAGTAAAAAGAAAACTGAGTATAGAATAAAGTAACATAATGCGCGACAGTTTTCAAGTTAACGTAAGGATACATTTTTATTCGATATATCAGTTGACAGAAATAGCAGGACCCAATTGTCGCATTAATTTATAACATTCTTGAAGTCTTTTTCTATCGCCCACTCTTTCGAGAGTTTTCGCTGCTTCTGCGAGCATTCCGGCACGTTCTCCAGGCGAAGCCAATAACAATGCAGGCAAATGTCGACATGCCAAGCACAAAGCTACCGCGTGTTCTCTTTCTCCGCTATATTGATCCTGCGAACGGTCTTTTCCACAAATTATGGAAGGACGTGAATTTCTGTGATGCAAGCTGCGATCTAACAACACCTGAGTTTTCACTGGTGTTGCTCCAGCCATTATACGCGCTGTGGCTTCGTAAAGGAATACTCGTGCCAATGTAGACTACAGAAATAAATATTACGAATTAAAAAATATCCGTTTACTTCTTTATAATATTATAATAATTAAAACTTACTGGTATATGTTGACACAATTGCCTCAAACAAGCCAAATCGCGTTGGAAACCTCCCAGAGGTATACTCGTATTTGGTCTTTCCGAATCGATATCTAATTCTTGCCAAAGTGTTGTTCTCATGTCAAGTAACCAGTCACAAATCCACAATTGGGTTAGCTAAAAATATACGATAACAAAAGTTGACATATTGTAAAATAAATATAAGTTTTATCGAAACTACATACATATACATATTTATGGCGCTGAGACTTGCCACAGGAGTTGCACTGTAGAAGTATTGCATAGTTATATTTCATGCAATGCAACTACAATGCACACTTGTAACAAGTAAGCAGTTACACAGACTTATGGATAATATCTGTTATTACTACTCGAATCTATTTCAAACTTTATATTAATTAAACGATACGCTCAAAGTGAGTTGTTACATATAATTCATAATTCTGCATGTAGAGCAAAATTGTATCATTTATGTAAAAAAATAAATCTATTAACATGAACATTGAAAGTTATTGTTATATCTTACCAAAACGTTCTGTGACGATTGTTGTTTGCAATTGTAATAAACTAAACATTGTTCGAGTAATATTCCTGCTTGATCAATGAAACGCATGGAAGCTGATTTAGTCGTAGCTTTCGCTGCTTGTAGAACATTCAGTACAATGTATGGCAATGGACTAATACTATTATTGTGATTACAGAGCTGATAATTCTTTTCGTAAGGGAATTTACTTTCAACGATACTCCATGCTTGTGAATCGTCCTCTCTCAATCTCCAACATGCTGCTACATACATAACTGCTCCCCACCATAATCCAATTTCATCCTCACAATCTAAAACATCATGAACATAAAGTATCAGTTTCATTAACAGTAACATTAACTCTTCGAATAGAACTGGTCTCAAATTGTACGGGTCGATAAGTTCAAATAAAATGAAAAACATTATCTGCGCTGGTTAGCCATTTTTATAAAAAAACCTTCAACGTATAATTAAGTTACTTTTATTTCAACTTACGTGTAACACTGATTTTGTCTGTGCATACAAAACCAGCATCTACTCCGGCAGAAGTCATAATGGTTTGTCCATATTCCAATATCGAAGACAAGTGAGCATCTCCTGCGGTACCAGTTAGTATACGTAAACAGTGCCCAATTAAATAATCTCTGTATGCGCGCGATGCATACGATAAGGGATCAGCTTTGCTACTTTGTGATGTAAATTCATTGTCCGGTTGATCTCCGTACTGCCATTTCTGGAATGCTAAAAACTTGGCGCCTTCGTCACTCATGCTCCATTTTAACTTCGATGGAACTGCACACGATGAGAGTAATATGCGTGCTTTTCCAAAATAATATTTATGAACAAATGGATAAAGCGACTGTTTGAAGCACAAAGCAGCATTGATGTATATTTCTGCCAACAATGGTTTCGGCATTGTTTCGCCAGCAACTTCTGCATAATTGACAGCAGAAAGTGCAAGATACAATGTTCCGTTCTTTGATCCTTCTGACATACGCAAACAAAGCATATGCTGATAGATAATAGCTATCTCCATGGCTGATATTTCTGCTTGTTGCCGTGTTGTTTTCTCGGAGAACCATTTATGCGTGTATAAAATCCATTTTCCAATCCACAACTTGTGAAGAAGTTGCCTTATAATTTGCCAGACAGTTGCAAGCCAAGCTTCCGTACGCGACGATGGATATGGTCGACCGAAGTACTGCAAACACTGATGTAAATCGCGATATGCTTGATTGTATTCACGTTTAGATATATTGAATTCCGCTTGACGTCTCCATCGATGGAGTTCAAGAAATACTTTACTATCGGATGGTAGTATTGGATCACCATAAAGTAACAATCTGCAAACTCCGCCAATCAAAAGTACAATATTCGTTAGCCATAAAAATACACTACTCCAAATTGGATTTTCAAATTCTGACTGATCTGGAAAAGATTAACAATAACATTACTTATATATTATAATGTGATAGTGACACTAATATGTTATATTATACCTTGGTAATTAAGGATTACACGGCCATCCAATTTGGTGTTTACGTAATCAGATTTGAAGCTTCTAACATTATTTATAACAAAGCCTAGAGGATTGAACGCTAAAAAGATTAGCATCAACCCGCAAAGTGTAAGTCTGGTATGATCTCGCATTCCACCATTTGTGAGCACTGGCGTTGCATGAATGTTTTGTAATACATCTGGATCATCTTTAATGGATGACGGAGATGGTGGAGATAATGGTGCTGGTGCAGGAGACAAAGATGGCTCGCTTGAATCTGACCTAGGTGGCGTCAATTCACCGCACACCAATAAATCGTGCAAATTTTGTCTCTGCGTGGACATCTTTAAAGACATATTTTCTGCCTTCAGTTTTGCATTAGAATTCTGAAGAAATCTAAAATTGTTCATATTTGCTTGGTAAATGTTTTTATGACGTTTCCGTAATGAATTAAACATATATTAATTGTAATTAACCTTATGTAATCAATTGTCTTTCTCAAAATTGCCGACTTATTTAATTTGGCATCTACTCCGACAATGATATTCTTCAATTCAATTATTTTATCGTTGATCGATGTTCTGTAACGTCGCTCTATAGCATTGTGAGCACTTCGTTTTACTTCCTTCACTCTTGGAACACCTACGTGTGCATTTGTATTCAAACGATTGATTTGTACTTTATCCGTGTCCAACACAACAGGAATACCTAAATAAAATATATATCGCATCGTAGAAGATTTTAAACGAAACATCATCATGCGAATTCGATAGTTAAACTAGCTCTTACCGGTAGTTAAAACTGTCCCATTAGCAGTATTTACTAAAGTATGTATTTGATGCGGAACAGACGTTGAATTAACAGCTTGCGATCCTCTTGAATAAACAACTGATTCTGACTTTATGAGCTTAGCCGGTAAAAGTAATTGCCTTGGTTGTGTTACCGGTGCTATTGTCACGACAGGTGATTGAACGCTAAAGTTTACATTTTGTGGAATAGCGTACTGCGAACTAAAAACTGTAGGAGCTGGTGTAACGGATATCGTTTGTTGCCTATTTTGTACGGACGTTATATCTTGAAGTTGTGGTTGCTTTTGTTGCTGTTGGGGCTGTTGTTGCGATACACACGTAATCTGTTGCGTATTTTCTGTTATCGTCGGATTTAACATTATATTTCCATTAGAAAGAGATTTAATCAGATTTGGATCTTTGAAATCTTGAAATTCCTTGAATTCTTCGCTGTTATTAAAATTTAAAAAATCCAATCCGTCCGTGTCCATGCCCAGAGGCTCCTCCAATTGCGACAATAAAGCGTCATCGCTAAATAAATTTTCATTTTTTAATAGCTCACTCTCGCAATTTGTAATAAGATCTGAAATTAAAATAAATGTTAAGAATGAATTTTAAGTAATTGGAGTAAAATTATTAATCATAAAATTATAATTGAAACAGTTCCGAATGTACATATTTATATTTGTTTGCTTTATTTTCAACGACAAAATATTTCCTGACAATATTAATAGCATTATCATTATAATACAATATATTAATTTCTTATGTAATATTTGAAATTTTAAATATACATAATAACAATAATTTGATGAATATTATGAGTTACATTGATAAGATTGCTGAAAGGCAATAAGATTAGTAGAAAATGTAACTCGAAGATAATAGAAAAAAATGAACACTTTGATACGTTATGCATAAAACGAAATGATAAAATTTAATTCGATAAACAATTGATGCAACATACCATCAATACCAGTCACTTCGTTTAAATTGAAGCTGTCATTTGACTGGAAACTAGAAAAATCGTTGTCCTGCGTTGAAGACCATCCCTCAGGGTCTGCCATTATGCCATATTATATATAAACTGTTTATTTTCATTAAATAAACAAGGTATATAAAATAACAGAACACGCTGATATGTCAAACGTAATAACTAACAAATTACGAACGGTCACCCGACCTTTACCACGGCCAATCACAGCGCTTCTAAAGATCGGACGATATTACGTCAGTGTGTGTTATTAAGCTAACAAAATTTATTGCAAAATAAAGACGCATTTTTATGAAAATAGTTGTCATCGCAACAGACTCCAGTGTTAGCCATAACGAACGAAAAACAGTAAAAGAGAGTCTGATTTTGAACTTGATAGAAAGAGTACGCAGCATTTGTGCACCTCTGTCTTATCTAATACAAAATTGGACTCTCGCTGAGCATAGCTCGTATTAGAGTATTATCATAAAATATTGATTATCATTAAATTATTGAAACGAAGGAAATAGGAATTATATTTATATTACAATCTCTCTGATATATTAAATTAAGAATTATAGCTTTTGCTATACATGTATTCAACTCGATGATTTCGTAGAAATAAGTCTACGCGATTGAAAGAGAATTGCAATGATCCATTGTATTCTTGGTTAACACTAGATTGCCCAAGGAAGTCATTTTGACTGCTCTTTAATTTCAATTAGAAAAACAATTATGTATATAATGACACAATTTCTTAGAATTTTGTGACTTTTTGCACAACATATAAATGCGTTTATTAATAATTGTAGTTACCTACCCCCTCCTTCATTTCCGGTATATATATATGTGTTATACCTATATCGCCCAAAAAAGCAGTCATTTTGACTGCTTGGGAAATTTTAAATAATCAAATGACTCTTATTATTGAATTGAGTAAATTTCTTCTATGACCAGTTCGACTCTGTATTGAAATAACAGTTTTCATTTTTTTTCGATTACCAACACATGATAACATACAAGTACATGATAAATTGTCGATTTGGACTTACCTAACCCAGACCTAACCCAGACCTAACCTAGACCTAACCCAGACCTAACCCAGACTTAATTCAGACCTAACCCAGACCTAACCCAGACCTAACCCAGACCTAGGTTTGGGTTAGGTCTGGAATAAGTCTGAATTACGTCTGGGTTAGGTCTGGGTTAGGTCTGGGTTAGGTCTGGGTTAGATCTGAGTTAGCTCTGGGTTAGGTCTGGATTAGATCTGAATTAGATCTGGGTTAGGTCTGGTTTAGGTCTGGGTTAGGTCTGGGTTAGGTCTGGGTTAGGTCTGGGTTAGATCTGAGTTAGCTCTGGGTTAGGTCTGGATTAGATCTGAATTAGATCTGGGTTAGGTCTGGTTTAGGTCTGGGTTAGGTCTGGGTTAGGTCTGGGTTAGGTCTGGGTTAGGTCTGGGTTAGGTCTGGGTTAGGTCTGGATTAGATCTGAGTTAGCTCTGGGTTAGGTCTGGATTAGATCTGAATTAGATCTGGGTTAGGTCTGGTTTAGGTCTGGGTTAGGTCTGGGTTAGTTAATAATCCAAATTATCTTAACCCTTTGCACTCCTATGTCGAGTGTGATTCGACATCAATTTTGATCTCAGGAGCACCTTCGTCAAGTCTCACTCGACATTCTTTCAAGTCCAAACCAAACAGATATCATACACTTGGAAATTACAAAATACAACAACAGTGTAAATGAGACCTAACCCAGATCTAATCCAGACCTAACCCAGATCTAATCCAGATCTAATCCAGACCTAACCCAGATCTAATCCAGACCTAACCCAGACCTAACCCAGACCTAACCCAGACCTAACCCAGACCTAACCCAGACCTAACCCAGACCTAACCCAGACCTAACCCAGATCTAATCCAGATCTAATCCAGACCTAACCCAGATCTAATCCAGATCTAATCCAGACCTAACCCAGATCTAATCCAGATCTAATCCAGACCTAACCCAGACCTAACTCAGATCTAATCCAGACCTAACCCAGACCTAACCCAGACCTAACCCAGATCTAATCCAGACCTAACCCAGATCTAATCCAGATCTAATCCAGACCTAACCCAGACCTAACTCAGATCTAATCCAGACCTAACCCAGACCTAACTCAGATCTAATCCAGACCTAACCCAGACCTATTGATAAATTGCAGTTTCTCAATAAGCTAAAGTAGTACTTGTTATTCGAATCATTATGCAGCGATACTTGTTCTAACAAGTTGTTTATTTTACTTCTGCGCCCTAAATTCATAATATTATAACATAATATTAAAAATTAATTTTAAACAAATTTCTTTAGACATTAGTTATTCTTTCACGATGCAGTCATTTTGACTGCTTTTGGGCAATATAGGTATATACTAAGTTTCAGTCTTTCTAGTGTTAAGAATTAATTGTACTTAGATCCCGCGCATAATGGATTTGAATATAAAATGATTTCAAAAATAGTTGGAAAACTGATTCTAGAGCTTTAATTAGAAAATTGTTATAAATGTTAAAATATTCAAAAGGATACTCTGGCCATGAATAACAATTAGAGTAAATTCTATTGTATCTGCATTGATTAGAACATATCTAACGTCCCCGTTACAATCATGTGGGTTTATTTGCATGAAGTCCTCTTCGAATCGAACATAGTATAATTTATAATTGTTTTTGGACCCCGATATTTGTCAAATTTTTGAATACATTGAAAACTTGCTTCTTTAGTAATTACTATTTCATGCCATAGTTTAGTTGACCGAGTTGACGTTTGACGGGCTATTCGAATGCACGTATATTTACAAGTAAATATGTTTCCAGTACTCCGTAATTCGAGCAGAACGAAAATATCATCTGTTTGCAAATTCCATTCTGCAGTAAGTCATACGTCATTTGTTATTATGAAATCATATATTTTTCAAACATATTAATAAGACCAAATATATAAGTACTATATTTTTTACATATATGTATATGCAGGATAAGATAAAAATAGAATATTCATGTACATTTAATCAATCTGGATAATTCAATTTTTATAAAAATATATTTTCTTTAAGTATTAATTATTTTACAAAATATTGACACTTCAATTACAAATTCATGTAGTTTTTAAGAAATCTTTTTAAGTAGTTGTCGCAGATAATCATTTGATTTTGAGATACAGTTGCATACTTTTATGTTTTAACTTGTTTTGTAACAGAAATGTATTTTATAGAAATTGTTCTTTTTCCACTGAACGCTCGCTATGAAATTTAGTTGTATGTTTCAGACTACTATAATTTAACCCTTTGCGGTCGGATTAAATTTGGAGATGGGTATCGTACTGGTAGGAATTAATTTCCGTCGATAGAGCAGGGATACATAACACGCAAGTTTACGACGTATAAACAAGATTTAGTAATTCTTTTGTGAACTTTAGATATATCTTTATTCGATACACTCATCTTGTGATATGTTTTTGTATAAAAATTATGTTTTATAATTCTCCTTCGTGTGATATTTTTCAAAACACTCTCCAACATGCAGGCCAGGTCTTCGAGCGCATGTATCGCATTTTGGGGAATTATTTTGGAATATTTTAAGAAGAGAGAATGTCTGATTACTGTTAAATAAAATATTCTTTGGAATTCTACAAGGTATCGTCGAACGTTGTCGATTTCACTACGTTCGAAAGACGACTGACTCGCCACTGCGTCTTGCATGGCCAGCGCTGTGTTACAACTTTTGTGTACATTAGATTACGTTATATCCAATTGATGGAGCATCGTATTGGTTCGTGAATAGGTCCTTTAGGCATTGAGGTTCGTATAGGAATAGTGTAAACTGATACATGAATGCATACAGTATACGATTCGTATAGTTCCTTGCTGTGGCGGCTGAGAGCAGACGTACGACCGCAAAGGGTTAAATTTAAATTATATATAGTATTTATAGCTCGCAAGACAATTAAACGATTCTAGAATTATTAGCATTTCATTATTTAATTTACTCAAAATATTCCATTATCTGTTTTTTGTTTGCATCAAAGCACATACAATGCGTCAAAGAAAAGGCTTTTTCTCAAAAACTAGAAGACGGTCCCGATTTTAAAGATTTTGTCGAAGAATACGATGGAAAATTAAAATTAGAAAAAGGAGATAAATCTCGTTTAAGGTTACCGCCTTGGCTTAAAACCGAGATACCGATGGGTAAAAATTATAGCAGAATAAAGTCGCAGTTAAGACAGTTACGGCTAAGTACTGTGTGCGAGGAAGCACGATGTCCTAACATTGGAGAATGTTGGGGAGGTGACAAACACGGGACAGCAACCGCTACTATTATGGTTTGTATAACATTTGCAAAATACTTTCTTACATTTCGTCAATTTGATTATTGATACAAATATTAATCTTTCTTTTGTATTTCATATAAACATTAATAACATATTTCAAAATATGAGCAGTGTTTGAAAAGTTTTTACTTTCTGTTCTTATTTCGCAACATCGATATGTCCTCTTTATAATCTGATATGTGTTAAAGTTTGTAAAATAACCTTCTATTGCGCGCATCGTTTGATGAAAGTTTATGCAAGAACTTTTTTCAATTTGTAGAATATTCAGAGCCATATCAGGTGAATATGGGGCATGTGATATCGATTAGTAAACTAATTTCATAATTGTTGGCTGTTGCAACTACTGGTATGTGTTGCCAGGCAAAGATCAGCTGGCAGGTTATCTTACAAATTAACTTACTTTTGAAAAACAACTAAATATTTAGAATGGCAATCGACTTGTAACGTTTCGAGCTAGGGACGACAAATCTACAGCATATAATTGAATTCTAAATAAAATTCATTTTATGTATATAATTCACAATTTTAATATTTTAAAAATAAATGCATAGATATTCTTAAAGAAATATATTTGATCAAGTAGGAATAATGTTCGTATATTGATATATTAAGCACATTTTTATTGATCTATAATAGGTGAATCTCGCAACACAGTCAATTAACCTTTTACGCTGTTTTAGCAGAGTCTAATTATCATTTTATAAGTCTTTACATATTCGTGTTTAAATAAGTTATATAAATCAATCACAAAGTGGCCATCGTTTTAATTTTTTATTGCGATCATAAAAAAGTTTACAATTATCGAGCCAACAACTATTTCTATAAAAAAACTGCTAACTTTTCAAATGCTTTTTGTATAGTCACTTATTATTTGAAATAAATTGCAATTTTTAAGATCACATTACAACAAATATTTCATCATTTTCTATTAACCTTTTATCAATGGACATTTTAGAGTACTAACGTTAGAAAAAATCAGATAACTTTGAAATAGAAAATTGTCACGTATCTAAAAATTATCATCATAAAATAACTAAATAAGCATTGTTTAAACTAATTTACTTAAATGTTTTGATCATGATAGATTTTGGTTCTTGTTAACCTCTGTAAAAAATGGATTGACTTTCCAAAGCAATATTTATTATTAATTCTAAAAGTTTTGGTAATTTGTAGCGTAATAGCGTAAATGTGAAATATATACTGACATCCATTCGTAAAAGATTAAATAATTTTGCAACTAGAAATTCATTAATTTATTACAATGCCGTTAAAGAACAATTCACTTTCATAAAAAAATGATTGCTATTAGTATTATGAGAACGTAATAGTAGAAAACAATTTAAATACAGTTAATGGGCGATACATGTACCCGTGGTTGTCGTTTTTGTTCTGTAAAAACATCACGTGCACCCTTACCATTAGATCCAGAAGAACCAGTAAATACAGCAACGGCTATCACAGACTGGGGTTTGGATTATATTGTGCTTACATCTGTCGACAGAGATGGTTAGTCAATATTTTTATAATTTTGTATCTGTAGGGAGAAACATTTGTAACAAAATAACATTTTTTAACAGATTTAAGCGACGGTGGAGCAAGTCACATTGCAGAAACAGTAAAAGAAATTAAGAAAAGGTACATAGATCGTTGAAATAATTCTTTTCATTTTTGTAATGTATTTTGTACACTTTTGTAGAAGCAATATTTTCGTGGAGTGTTTGGTACCAGATTTCAGGGGAAATGAAAATTGTATCGCAACAATTGTCAATTCTAATCTGGATGTTTTTGCCCATAACATTGAAACCATTGAGCGTTTAACGCCATTTGTTAGAGATAGGAGAGCTGAGTATAGGTAAAATTATAGTTGGTGTTTTATTATTTTCTTAGTAATCTTAAAAAAGAAACTTACATATTTATGTGTTATTTAGACAGTCGATGAATGTCTTAAAAACAGCAAAAATACTTAATCCAAAACTTGTTACAAAATCATCGATAATGTTGGGATTAGGCGAAACTGACGAAGAAGTTGAACAAACCATGAAGGACTTGAGAGACGTAGGTGTAGGTGCTTTAACTCTTGGACAGTACATGCAACCTACAAAAAGACATTTAAAAGTTATTGAATATGTCACGCCTGGAAAATTCAAAAAATGGGAAAACGTTGGAAATGAAATGGGATTTTTATATACTGCTAGTGGTCCATTGGTACGGTCATCGTATAAAGCTGGAGAGTTTTTCTTAACAAACATATTAAAGAAAAATAGAGATAAAGACTGAATTAGCAATGAAAATACTATTTTATTATGGCCATAAAGATAGATGATATGTATTTATGTATATTGTAGTATAAATTGTAAATTTTATTAGAATGTAAAAAATTGTATCCAAGTGTATGAAAATTGTGTAACAAAATTATCATGGTTCAATGATACAACGCTAATGTATCAAACGTGATAGTGATAATAATAAAGATACAAATTTTGAACGTAAAATGCGTATTCATTTTGTACGTATACATAAAATATATTACATTATTTTTAATCTGTTTCCATTGCAACTGAAACTCGTGGGTCTGGGGGACCCTCGTCGGATGGTGTAGGTTGTGGTGGTTTAGGATCTTGTTCCACATCCGGTTCGGTTGGTTTTCCGCGTGTATCGTCTTCAATTTGAGATAAATAAACGGCAGTTACATCTTCATTATATATTGTGAAATCGGTACCTTTTCCTACTACAGCGATAGAGACATTCTGCAACAATTTGTTTTCTTTTAGCAATTATAGGTTTTCAAAATAAAATTATATCAACGTCAGTTCTTTTACCTTAACTGATAAATCAACTTCGTTTGGCAATGTGTCTCTCAATGCACGAAGACCATGTTTTACAAGCTCATCAAGGTCACTCGAGGCAAATAAACTGAGATGTTTGTCTAAGTATGTTCGAGCGCTTTGAGAACGTGCTCCGATAGCCATCGCCTTGCAATCAAAATAATTTGCGGAAGGACACGTTTGATATATATGAGGTCCTTGATCCTTCGAAAGCATCAATAGCCAATATAGTATTAAATTTTTTCATTAAACATAAATAATTACTTACATCGTATCCAGCTATAAGTAAACCCACGCCATACGGTCTCCTGTCGTATCTTTGAGTAGAGGTTTGCAATTTATTACCCAACGTAGTCATTAAACGACTCATAGGCAATGCATCGTCGTGAATGTACTTGTAATTTAAACATTCGGTTCGCATGTATCGACTGTGAAAACATACAGATTGAATTAAAAATTTTTCAATATTCAATAATTTTAATAACATTGATAATATCGCATGAATTGAAGCACGCGTGTAATTGCTTATGATGTACCTTAATATTCTAGCATCGGCAGTTAAACCAGAAATAGAAATTCCCATATGCTTGTCTATGGGAATAATTTTCTTCTGATGAGCAGAAAGTTCAGAGGATGCTCGTTTAAGCGCAATAAGGACAGTGTGGGTCTTGTTTTTAAGTCCGACGGTAGCTGATCCTAACTTCACAGCTTCCATTGCGTATTCTACTTGATGTAAACGGCCTTGCGGACTCCATACTGTTACGTCGCTATCGTACTGATTTCGGAACTAGAAATTTTGTAAAATTAGATTTCCCAATGTTCCATATAAACCATAAATTATTTTATTATCAATTGTAATCGTTTCAATAAAAAATCGTTTAAAACGGACAAAAATATCAAAGCACGATAATATGAAAAATACATGCATAATTTTGTAAAAACTTTTTAAGAAAATTTCGTATACAAAATTGAAAGACATAACCGCACATTAATGAATTTAGTTTTACAGGTATTAGAGTTACTTATAAAACATATTTTAAGTTATTTCTTAATTTGATTAAGTATGTAAAGTAAATACCATTATTTAATAATATTCAGTTATCAAATAACTGAATGTGGCGAAACAACTTTACGTCTAACGATGAATTTTCAGAATACAACTGTCATGCACCGGGGCAAATGACTGGATAGTTTTAGAGAGAAGAAAGTCATCTTTAATGCTGGAAGCGGAATCTGGTGGATGAAATTGCAAACTAATATTGAAGATGTTAAGGAACAAGTTTTAAAATTAAATCTATTTAATATAATATAATTTTTATATGTTATTGTTTAGTGAATAATAAGAGTTCTATTGATTTTACAAATTACTTTAACATTTTCATTTTATACTTCATTTAGCGAAAAAGAACACTTACCCTGAATTCCTGAGTCGCTTCAACTCAGATTCTCAGATTAAACAAAACCATAGACATGTAAGTACAGATAGATCGGTAGTTATTATTTATTTATAATAATAAGGTTTCATATTGTCGCGTGGATTTTCAGTGGATTAAAATTTAGGAGAGAAATCAATAAGTTCAAGAAAATTAGAACTCGAAAATAAAAGCTTGACGAAAATTATTGAACAGATTCTGATTAAAAACTACAACGACGCGCTAATTTTAAGTTTTGCGTTGCTAACATAAATAATACAATTCTGGTTTTACATCGAGCACAATAACATGGGTTTTAATATTATTGATTTTATAATAAACAATATCGCAATGTAACATGTACAATAAGCAAGAACGAGAATCGTAATAATATAAAATTGTTATTGCACATTATTCTATATGGCGGTTGCGAGATATATATATGTATTGTAGGGAGCATTAGTAACTCCCTAGTTACTCCCGCAGATGGCGCGAGTGGCGCCGATGCTGTGGCGGCTAACGTCACAGGAGTAACAAGCGCCATCTAGTTAAGTTCCTAGTCTAGTTAGTTTTAGTTAGTTTAAGTAAAAGTCACTAGTTTGTAGTATTTAGATTTAAGTTGGCGCACCCCCCTTGGTACATGGCCCAAGGGATGAAAAGGGCCCAGTTCTGTTCGACGCCCTCGAGAAGACAGAAGCATATAAAAACCGAAGCGTGTATTCGAAATAAAAGTCTTTGTGAACGCAATCGTATTAAGTGTATATATTGAAGACTCTCCCAGCAGATACCTATCCACCACAATGCCAACCATTGAGAGAGGCCGGGATGCTAGGGAGTTACTAATGCTCCCTACACCGCTTGCTCGGGGAAGAACTCCCGATTCTTTCTTGTCTCTCGAGGCCCAGGGAGTACCTAGTGACAAATTCCCTATAGCATCCCGGCATCTCTCAATGGTTGGCATCGGCGCCACTCGCGCCATCTGCGGGAGTAACTAGGGAGTTACTAATGCTCCCTACAGTATAATGCTGATTGCTGCGTCATGCAGTGTCTTCGTACCCAGATTTGGGAAAATCGACATATCCTACCGCACGAGCCATATTACCGTTGGAAATTATGCCTTATGCCAAATCTGGGAGACCAAACACGGATATAAATGCGTTGCGGGCCATTTATGCCAAATCTAGCCACACTCTCAGTACACTGGTCTCCGCCATTGTTGTATGTTCTGTGTTGCTACACGGACTTGCATTTTTGCGCATGCGCGATGAAAATTTTACTGTATATGTTACAGTGAAACACCGAAATCTGGAGAATGTCGACTTTCACCGGTGAATGTCAACATTCACATAGTCGCTTAGTGTATGTCCGAAATATTTGCTAAACACCCTTATTTCTGACTTACACCGGTAAATGTTGACATTCACCATGCACTAATGGTGAGTGTTGAACATGTTGGAGATTTATATTTTCTTCCCCGTAATTCAGTCGCTATAAAACGTCACAAGGGTGACGTAACTTTTTCGCCTCTCTTTCTGAAAGGATCTAACCCAGACCTAACCCAGACCTTTTGTACGTGGGGAAATCCTCATGGACACCCCGAGGCCCTAAGTAGGGGGGGCCTCGGGGTAGTGCCGGACTCTTACCGGCTAAAACCCCACGGTGACCGTCCTCCGGCGCTGCGGCGAGGGACCGGGAACTCTAGTGAGACATCACAGAGTCCCCCGCCGCGCCTTGCCCGTCGAGGCTCATCCCGGGGGGAAGGACGACATGTCCCTCCCCCCCTGATTTTTCCGCCACGGACGCCAGGTCACCCGACGCCCGCAGCCCCGGGGTTGCCTTCGGTGCTCGGGCCCCTTGCACCGAGCACCTGCAACCCCCAGGGGCGGCCTGCCAATCTCCTGATCACCGACGTGGTGGTCGGAGGGAGTGCTGGCGGGCCGCCCCAATTCTGGAGGTCCCTCTAGACCTCAAAGGCGTAGGAGGGGGCCAGGAGGCGAAGGATGCCTCGCTCTGGCCCCTCTCCGAGCCCTCCCTCTCCGAGCGGGATGCGCGGTCCGCTCGCGCTCCCGCTCGGCGGCCTCCTTCTGTGACATAACAACTTCACAGAAGGAGGCTACCACTTGCCAGGTTCTCTCGCTGGCCACCATCCTTCCCACTATGGTAGCCAGCGAGAGATTTCTTCCCACTTCCTGCTCCAGAACACGGCGCTCATCTGCCCACGCTGGGCAGACTTCCAGCGTGTGCTGCGCCGTGTCCTGGGGTCCTCCACAATGGTGGCACACCGCCGTCGCCTCCTTCCCGATTCGACACAGGTACTCACCAAAGCAACCATGCCCGGTGAGTACCTGTGTCATCCTGTAGGACAGCCTAGCCGGTTTGTCCTGCCACTCTTGCCAATGTGGCAGGACTGCACCAACGGACCGTTGCGTGGCTCCAGCCGGAATCATTTGCTGGAACCACATAAATACAACGGTCCGTTGGGCATGGCGCCTCGTCTCCTCGACCGCTTGCCTCCTATCCTCTGGCGGTCTCCCAGCCTCCTGGAGCTCCCTGGAGTGACGGTAAACTTGTCGGTTTCTCAGACCTAACCCAGTCCTAACCCAGCCTTAACCCAGTCCTAACCCAGTCCTAACCCAGACCTAACCCAGTCCTAACCCAGTCCTAACCCAGTCCTAACCCAGACATAACCCAGTCCTAACCCAGACCTAACCCAGTCGTAACCCAGTCCTAACCCAGACATAACCCAGTCCTAACCCAGACCTAACCCAGTCCTAACCCAGACCTAACCCAGTCCTAACCCAGACATAACCCAGTCCTAACCCAGACCTAACACAGACCAATCCCAGACCTAACCCAGACCTAATCCAGTCCTAACCCAGACCAATTCATCGTTGATAACGGGGGTTAGGTTTGGGTTAGGTCTGGGTTAGGTCTGGAATAAGTCTGAATTAAGTCTGGGTTAGGTCTGGAATAAGTCTGAATTAAGTCTGGGTTAGGTCTTGGTGCAACTAACATTAAGTTATTATTGTAATTCTTTCGCACCAAATTAAATAATGAAAGAACGCATTCTTCGAGTATTAATTATCCATTAGAAACAATAAAATTTACAATATATTTTCACTTGAAAATAAGTCATAAAAACTAAATTCAATAAATATAACAATGAATAAGAAAGGCTTTGAACTTACATTTTAATCAACAAAGTTAATTTCATAAAAAGGTGCTAATTATAATAAACTAAAGAAAACTATTACTTTATTACTTTTAATATTACAATCGACGAAAATTACAGTCCTTTCTGCGCCATTTTCAGGGCACAATGAAACAAATTACAATATGTTAATTCTTTTTCTGTAACAATCAGCGTACGTACTTCTTTACTTTTGGAAGAAATGTTATCTTCTCGTATAATAAAACTACTTGTTCAGTTTCAAACGTTTCTGACTATTATTTACAACTTTACAGCAATTCGAACTATAGTTTTTGTGCTGTTCTGTAAAGGTGTGCGAGAATCCGAAAATTTGGGAAACCCATTTTTAGGATCTCGCATACCTCTACTGTCTGGGATTCCCCTAAGTATGTATTACACAGAAATGTAAGAGATTTGATATTAAAAACATGTACGTCATATAGAAAAAGAGATTTAATATAACTCGTAGAATTTTCAAGAATGTGTTATGTCGTCGTTACTTTAAGTATTTACAGTCTAAAGACGCATAATCTTTCTCAAAATTCAAATTTAAAGCAAACCTTATTTCTCTCCTTAATTCATTATATTCTTCGTGGGTCTATGCTTTAACATCAATTAACTTATTATATTAAATTATAATACACGAAACTTTCTTATACTACAAATTTATAAATACATTCATGAACACAATTGTATAGAAATATACGTTTCAACACTGTTGAAGAAATTTATCAGATTTCTTGTACTTTTATATATTTCATTTTAATGTTATGTGTGTTGTCATAGTTTCTCCCGTGGATAACTTTGCATTCTTTTCAGCTTTTTAAGAGCACACTTTGCCGCGGTACATTTTGCAATTCTACAATTTCTTCCAATTCCTTTAAACGACCCCTTACCAAAAACATCAACCGTAACTCTAACTCTACGCCCATCCGCCAATTTCTCTGGTTTTCCAAATTTCGCTGTTTCCGGTTCCAATTCCAATAATTCACGAATTGGAGATTTAGGAACGTTAGTGCTGAATTGTTCTGCAATGATAAAATGTGTATTTTATTTCCCTTTCGTGGAAAATATGGTACGAATAAAAACAAGTGGTTTAATACCAATTTCCGTTTTCATGATGGCGTAATAAACGCTCCATACTGCATCTAGGGACATGCAACTGTCCAAATAAATTGCACCAGCTAACGATTCAAAAACATCACCTAATGCTTTTGGTACTTCTACGTCTTCAACGTCTTCACATTCTTCCTCTCCAATTAAATAGTACTAGTGGAAGGCGAATAATAATATACGTGTAAGAGCTATGATATAAAAATGTTAAAACATTTCTTTGTACAAATGTTTTACCTCTTCGCTAATGGAATGTCCATTTTCTTCTTGAATCCTAACGAAACGATTTATAACAGCACTTAAGCCAGGAGAAAGATGTCGAAAATATTTATGAAATCCACATCTAACAGCCAAGGAAGCGAATATAGTATTATTGACTAAAGCTGATCGCAAATCTGTCAAAGCACCTGGTGAATGTTGTCGGGCATCTTCATATAAATGTCTTGTTATTAAATAATCTAGAATTTTTAATTGTTAAATAACACCTACCATCGCAATAAGATATAATAAAACGCAATTAATTTATTACCTAAAACTGCATCTCCAAGAAATTCTAAACGTTGATAACAATCTGTCAATCTATTAGGTTGATACGAAGCATGAGTAAATGCTTGTAATAAGTAACTAATGTCATGAAATTTATACCCTATATTTTTTTCTAATTCCTCGTATCCATCAAGCATCAATTTCAATTCGTGTTCCGGGTCAGGAATGTGTCGAAGCAGAGGATTCTGTGGTTCTTCCAACGTACCATAACGAATCTGTAATAATACACTTCTCTTAAAATTGTACTTGAGTTTTCAAAACTTTTGTAATTAAGGTTAGTTATAGTGACCTGCGTCCATGTTGTCTGACCCTGCTCGTTTGTTCCTTTTATGTACGGCGTACTACCAGGAATTCTTTCTTTAGGTTCTGTTTCCTGTATAATACAAACTTCTTCTGTGGGCAAAACGTGTATCCCTAACCAGGCCATAAAAAGTAATGCACCTCTAGGGCCACAAGCAATTAAGTATGCTCCGATTAATGCCTCCACACAATCTGCGATACTTTTATCAGGAATGCTATGTTGAGTAATTAAATTGTAAGGTATGAAACAACATAAGTTGTCTAAATTATTTGAAAGTGTAGTTTCATTACGGTTAAGTTCGCTCTTCATGATGCCTAATTTTTGTTCTGTTTCTTTAACAAGCTGGGTTATTTCAGTAGGATTTACGGCTTGCAATGTCGGAATGTCGGCTTGGTTCCAAAGCGTAGAGGGTATGCCAGATTCAATTAATACTTGTTCGAGTTCTTTTGGAACATAGTAACAAGGTGGTAACCAATTATCGTGTGGTTCAAATTTTGTCGCTATCATGCTCTCACCTAACATTTTTTGTCTTCCTAATCTGTATAAATTTAAATTGCTGACCTAAAAAATTTCATTGTAATTAGTCAAAATTTATATAAAAAAAAGGCTGATATATTTAAATAAAAATTGATATGTTTATTTTTGTAAGGTAACTAATATCTTGAGTTTCTAATACCTGTTTAGATCTTAAGTGACTAAGTTTGCCTTCGTGAATATTGTCGTATGTACAATATAAATAAGTAGTTATAGCATATTTTAGAAAAGAATCCCCGATAGTTTCTAAACGTTCTAAATTAATACCATCATTTGCATTGGACATAGTTAAAGCTTGTAAAATTAAGCTGGGACTCGGTCCTAAATGATTTTTTAATTCTGGTTGATAATCGAAACTGAAAAGATTCTTGTCCAGATATGTCAATTTCGACTTGTTAGATTCTTTTTTTATCGGTTGTAAACGGCTCTTAGTATTTAATATTTCTTTATTAAATTTATCAACAACTGTTTCTACGTAAGCTTTATGTTCGTAATTCAGCTTGTTATCTTCAGATTGCGAATTACATGAATTCTTTCTTTTAATTACAATCTCGGTATTACAGGATATAAAAGAGCCATTTTCCATTATTTCAGATTCCCTTATTTTAGTAAATTCATAATGAGATTGTCTATGCTTTGCAATTAAAGATTCCTCGTTATTTTTTGCGTAGGACCATAAAATGTCATCCGTACTTTTTTCAGTTTCTAAAAGATCCAAGATTTTTTTATTAATTTCTTGTTTAGATATTTGCTTTTCATCTTCAACAGCCTCCGCAACATTTTCTCCTATATAAGAAATTCGTAACCCTCTATTTTCATCTTCACTTTCATCCGATGTGTCAGCAAACCCATCACTGTAAATATCATCCGATTCATACCCATCAAAATCTGACTCGCATGCAGGAGAACCATATCGTACACCATTCCAGTTAAAATCATTCGATAAAACAGTCACGTTTAAATCATCTGTACCAAATTCCATGGAATTCATTGCCATATCATTTGACCAAGTACCAATTTCTAATTCATTTTCATTGTTTGACATTTGCGATTCAATTCCCGTTGCATTAACTTTTTCCAATTGTAATTCATGATTTTGCTCACTTGAATTTTCTTCGCTAGGCTTTTCTAAATTATCTGTATTTTCAGGTATATCTTGACATTTATTGTCAATCGCGTTCAAAGAACTTGTTTGAGTTGTTTCAGTTTTAGCAGATTTAGATTTTTCGCTTTCTTTAGACTTTTTTAAAACCTCTGCTAAACTCCATCCAAAGTCCAACGTCGGCCACTCGAAATCTAAAAATAGTCTTCGATTATTGATTTAAAAGAAATATTACAAGGAACAATGATTGTTATTTTATACATACTACAATCTAAATTTTCCTGTCCTAAATTGATCATTTGCGCAACTTGACACCGTATTTGATTAGCAAGTAATAAGGCATTGATTCTATACAAAATACAGGGCAAACAAACTGCTAGTCTCCATAAGGATGCTGGGAATGGATGAATTGCACATAGTTCAGCAACAAGGATCTGTTTGTGTTCCAAATTCTCTCGTTTTGCACGTTTTGTTTCTTCGCTGCTTGTAGGTAAAGCAACGCCTTTTCGATTAACATATCTAAAACAGAATTTACAATAAATGTATAAGTGTAGCAATATGTTTATAAATGTTATATTTGTCACAATATTTACCTAGGTGTTAAGAAATTTAACCTAGCCGAGGTATGATCTACGTCAAGCAAAGGCTGATCTACATTTTGTATTTGTATGTCATACTTCTTAAGATAATATTCCTCGAAAGTATCATAATCATTGTCAGGGAAAGAAGACTTGGGATTTAAGTTTGTACAAATTTCAGCAACGTAGAAATACTGAAACGAATAAAACTATATATTAAACAAACGTGCACTCATTTAATTATTTTATAAATCAACATTTACCAAAATACCTGCGGTTGGTCTTGACTTCTATACCAAGGCATAATCACTGCGTCGTGGTATTTCGATGCATCAAAATTAAAATTCCGCCTGACTTCTTCAGGAACCTTGGTTGGCACTGAATTTCGATTTACGTATATATATTCTAAAAAATCCCAATGTACAGTAACATCGGATGTTTCATCTACAAAAATATAAATTTATTTTAATACGGGGTGTCTCCATTAAGGACAATGACAACATTCTTCTTTAATTTTGTAGTTTCTGGGGGCCTTCCATATAACATACGAGATATCACAATTGGGTGATAAAAGGATACCAGCCTCCATCTTGTTTTGATAGAATAAAACATAAATTTTTATGTTCTTAGATACTTCATTAAATATTCATATAAAATGTGTTTCTTTACCATAATTTAAGAGAAATAATAATAATTATGTTTTATGCGGACATAGTTTTAATATACTAAAATGGGATTAACAGAGATATTACCTGACATTAGAAGAAGTCAGAATTAAGGTCAAAACGTCTTAGATTTTCTCTTATCTCACAAAAAGGTCAGAGATTCCTGACTGAAATGCAATTGATCGACTATAAACGTCTTTTATTTGTGTTTAGTGAATTTCACAACTACCCGATTGTATACCTTTAAATTTTTTTGTGAGAATCTTTGTTAAAAATAACATAATGTGTTGTTTCATTAAAATATGTGGCATAAGTGGATACGATGGCCCACAAAGTTCATACGTCACAATAGAAGGCTCCCAGAACCTTACAAAATTTAAAAAAATTTTATCATTACCCCTAACGGTTTCCAAGAGAACAACTTGTAACATTTTATGTGGACATCCCCCATACGTGCAGGATGTCGTGTAAACTGATGGTACAAGCAGAAAAGTGATAGTTTTTCTATGCGAGAAAATGAATTGAAAATATAGGACGCACTTCTTTTGTACAAGGTTTTCTACTTGAGAAAGAATACGTGTACAATTGAGTACGTGACTAACATGTCTGCCTATTATTCGCCATTTCTACTTGTGTTGATATTTTTAAATATTAGTTGTATAGTGTTGATGAAATTGTTGCATCGTGTTTCAAAATTTATTTATTATATGATGAAAAATTGAAGAGAGATATAAACAGTTAAATTTTATCACTGTGACTCCTGCGCTACTCACTATTTATATCATTTGGCTGATCGTGCCTCTGAAACGAAGCCCCAGATTGCAAAATGGGAAAAGATTTGTTGATTTACATTTAAATGTACCATACTATGATCAATCATGTTTAAAAACACCAACACGAGCAGAATGAACATGTAATAATTAGATACGTTAGTCATTTAATCTTATTAAATAGTATGCGTACTTAATACATTTTCAAAACTGAGTTTCTCGTAAACAAAACTTTGCATAAAGAAATTTTGTTGTATATTTTCGATTAAATTTCACAAATAGGATAATGACCTTCCTGTTTGCATCATTACATGATACTCTATACAATATCAATGTAATTTGGGTCGTAACGATAACAATTCTAACTATATTCACAATTACCTAATTTTATAGGCACAATCATGTATGAATTTTCTGAAGCGTTAGGATCAAAAAGCATTAGGTACTGTTGTAATCTTAATACATTTGTAAAAGTATAATTGAGGAAAGTGGCAATTTTCTCTATCTGTACTTCATTTAAAACCACAGTCTGCTTACTGAGTTTTAATTTTACATGAACTTCTCCAGATCTGGTATAAATAGGAAAAGGACATAACTAAAACAGAAAGTTCAGTATTAACTGGCATTATATGTATAATTATAGTATATGTACAGAGCGCGACAGGAATCGCGGTACAACTAAACAGAAGAATCCATTGCGTAAAAATAAATTGCAAATTTTGATTAAAATTTTTTTATGTTAAGCTTTGTTTCCAAAGAAATCAAGTTTGAAAATTGTCTACATATAAACAAACATAACTGTTTGGAATATTTTTCAAAATTGATTTTTTCCAAAACACATAGTCTTCTGTCGAAAAATTTTATTTCAAATCTTCAATTCATTTTTACATGAAAAACCCTTTTTGGTTGTACTTCGATTCCCACAACACCCTGTGCAATTAATGTTTTTTTGTATATTACCTTTGGAATTTCTTTCAATGTTATTATACCGAAACCAATAGCCGATTCTTCAGGAGGATAAATACGTCGACCTCTGGTATTCTGTTCTTCGGGTAAAGGACAACTCAGGACCATCTTAATGTGGTACAAGTAACAAGGAACTCCAACTTTTGGCCTACAGTCCGTCAATGCCTCAGCCGTCTGAAAATCATAATCATCAAAATATGAAATAGAACGAAGAAAGTCAAGACATCTCGAAGTGCATGAACGATATTTTAATTTTTAATAGACAAAACCTTCTTATAATAATATTGTCTACGTTTAGTTGTTCCAAGCAGAGCTTCAGAAAAATCCACTTTACTTTCATCCGGTAAAGCCGGTACTTCTGCATCTTCCGGTCTAGCTTTAAAATTTTCCTTCCCGATAGGCAATAAATTATCATCAATTTCATTCTTTCTATGCAAATCAACGCACAACTGCAGAGCAGCCATCCGCCTTGCCATTGCTCTGTTTGGCATAGGATATGACTGAAATAAAATTTTAAATAAGTATATGCTTCGTTAAGGAAATTTAATGTATTGGAATACCTTGCACGGTACAATTATATATTTAAATTTGAAACTTGAATTATAGTAAAAACGTACAATGTTTGGTATTCCTCTACATTTATAAATTATTGTGAAAGAAAAAAGAAATTTACCGATACAATGTATTTTACTGGAGAATTTATAGGGAGCCGTAAAGAACATATATACATAGGCATGTTGTCTAGACTGGTTTTTACAGTAGACCATTCTGGCGTTAATCTTGTAAAAGTGTCACTAGGTAATTTTGCACAATATCTGTTCAATGTCAAACAATTAAAACGTTTTCTGTAACGCAACATTAAAACCATATTTTTTTCATCGCATTACATTACCTGTTTACCAATGATATGGCAGAATTGAAAGTAACCGAAGGTGCATCATCTCCATCGAGTGGCTTATATTGCGGTATCATAGCAGCGTACAAATCTGCCTCGTTCTCTTCTTTTGCAGTTGGTTCGTTATTAGAACACTTTACTAACAAAGTCTACAAAATAGATGGATGCTCTTCCATTAAAATTTTCAACTGGGACGGACACAGGTAATGAACTACGTTAAATGGTTGCTATTAAAACCGGTACACACTGAAGGTTACGAATAAATGAAATCCAATAGACGTTACATTCATTAATCAAACATTACATTTGCTCCATATGTTTGATTCAATTACGCCGTAATAATTAAATAAAATAATTATGAAAGAATCGTATGTCATAGTTCGATACCTTTTCTACGTAATGATACTGTGCTAATTGCCACACGCATTCTTTCGATACTTTCTGCGAAACTAATAGTACGTGTAACGCATCCACAGCTCTTGCTCGACTCTTACACTGTACGTAAGACTGATAAGTTTTTGGAAAATCATATCTCATTACAAAATTGCATTTTGGGATATCAATGCCTAATAGAAATAAAACACTTAATTAGAAAACAAATTATCCACTACTAGTAACATTAATTAATTACAAACCTTTTTCTAAAATTGAAGTTGAGATTAATAAATTACATTCGTGTATTCTAAATCTTTTCAAAACTTCTTCTTGTTTTCTATGCTCCATTTCTAAAGCCCTCGAGTAACCAATATCATCTGCATTTTTTTCAATTGCATAAAGAGGCGATAAGAAATGTAAGTCTTCATCATATGCGGATATTTCATTTAATAAATAGAACAAAACTTTTGCTACAAATGCCTTGTCCACAAAAATCACCCCGCAAAGTAGATCAGGATCCGTAGCTTCACGCATGTGATGTAGAGATTTGGGAGATTTGGTTACTTTCGTATAGTTTTCTTCGTTACTTCTCCAATTGCACTCTGATTTTTTAATTTGCCCAAAATTACGTTTATGAGAATTTTCCTTATTATTTGAATTTTTATAATTATTTTGACGGTTCTTTTTATTATGAGGAATATCACCATTCTTGTTATAATATGGAGTGTACGTCTTTAAAACTTGTAATAGCCGATGAACCCTTGGCGTAGTATATTTATATATTCTCTCTTTTCCGGACAAAGCTTCGAACGTGCTATCACATAAAGCTCGTATCTTCATAAAAACAGACGCGACCATGTTCAATAATAAATAATGTCTTTCGTAAGGTGTTTTTATTTTCAATTTTTCTGTTAAAATTAAAAGTGCAAGTGCAGCACGATCTGCACACCATGGTCCAAGAGTGTCTAGTATAAGTAAAAAATCTTGCATCATTTGAAACGGTTTCTCCGTGGGGTCTGGTATTTTTTGGATGTCTTCGTAAAACTCTTCGCTATAAATTTCTGTTGGGTCATGCCGATGATCGCGCAAAAATTCAATAGCATGTAATGTATAATTCTCGATAGTATTGTGTAATTCCCCTTTTTCGCATTCAGAATATTCCACTACATATTCTTTAGGTTTAGGGCTATAGCTGTTTAAAAAACCATTACCATTAAACAGAAATATCATTTATCGAGACATCGTACTTACCGTAATATAGATAATATGTCGCTAGCTGTTTCAACTTCGCACTGAAATATGGTTTCTACTTTTTCTATTTCTAGGCCTAGCCTTCCAGGCTCTTGCATTAAATTAAATAACGGTACGCCTAATCCAATAATTCTAGGAACACTGTCACAAGATAAAAAGTTTTGCAAACTAAATGTTAGCTTATCGTCTATACACTTGGGGCACTCGTCGACTATGACTAGATTTATTTGATGCGGTAGAATCTTTTTTTCTGCTAACAACTGCGCGCATGTTTCGGAAGTAGTAACTAACACCTAAAACAAAACATTTATGAACGAATAAAACTAACGGGGAAAACAACAAATTTGTTAATAAGATATTTCTTACGTGTGAAACTTCAAATTTATCTAGAAACTCCGTCGATGGACAGGTATCACATAATAGCACTTTTAAATCTGTTAATTGTTCTATGTAACTTGCTTTTATTTTATACTTCTCAACATCTGTCAATATGTATAACGATCGTTTTCCTCCTTTGCTTAATAATCTAAATTTAATACATGATAATTTAAAACATTTAATAAAACATCGACAATATGGTAAGGGAATTAAATAATTTCTGTTATGTGTTACCTCCTATTATTGGTAGCAAATTCTTGAATTAATTGTATAACAATAAAAGTTTGTTCGTAACTTTCTCCTAAACAAACAATTATATTTTTCTCTTTAGCTGTATAAAATAATCCAACCTGCAACCATAAAAAATTTGAATAGTACGTAGAATAATTTGTTATTACACGATTCTTTAGGTAATTCAGAAAATCCTTACTTGATATTCTCTAGGTGTGAAAGATTTTGTATAAACCTGATCATTTAGTGGAAATGCCATGGAATCTCTAACTTTTACTATTTAAAGAAGATAAAAATAATATTCCATACAGCTTTTAATACCTTTCAGTGCCTTAAGGTAAGAATATTACTTTATAAACAATACATAAAATGCACACTTATATTTCGTATTATTCTAGATCGTACACAAATTCTAACCTAAAATTAGGCTAGGGCAACTACAGCAAGACAATTTTTGTAGGTATAGAGCGTGCAAGTCAAAGAAGGACTATGTGCAAATAAATCCTCGCGGATCGTCAGGGCCGAAAAATAAGGGGGCTAAAAGGTCTCAAACACTGATTGGAGGATTAGTAGAAAGATCGCTGGTGGCCACTGTCGAATGTGAACTAGATATTTCTATTGTGATAACCCCACACAAACAAAAGAGGAGTCAGTGGTTGTTTCATCTAGAAACGAAATGAAATCCCTACTCTCGAAAAATAACTATAGTGAACGACTATAGTGAACTTCTATAAGAAGAAGAAGACACTGACATAGTGATACTGTAATAAGATTTTGTTAAATTATGTATACATAGGGAAATTCTCTTATAATCTCTCCACTAATTCTTAAGTGCTTTATTTCCTTTACATAAAACTTATTGTGCATCCAAATATGTTGGAACATTTTAAATTAATATTTACAAAATATAATTTATACCTAATTTAAAAATAAATTTAATATGAGACTATTAAGAATCAAATTGACTATAAAATAGGGCTATGGCAGGGTCTTCGCATTCGCACGTGATCAATACATCTCGAAATTTATCTAAAATTTGTAGTAATTGAGACCTGCGAATATTTTCTAAATACATTATTTCTTCTAAGTGATGCCCTCCATTAAAATAATCTAAACGACATAATCTGTCAAGCAATTTTCTATCATCGGATGGAATATCATAATCTTCTGACTGATAATTATATATTCCATTTTCTTTGTGGAGATTCATCGATAACTCTTCCTTTATATCAGTTGGAATTCCTTTTGAAGCATCGTTCAAATTCCACGTGTTTCCACTTTCTGTGATCTCATTTAAGTTATGATTCATTTCATTCTTCATATCCTTCGAAAGATAGATTATTAATTAATAAATTCTAAAAAAAACAAATCTCTTTCAACTTACCAATGGTGTTCGACCATGCACAGTTGGCATATATTGTACATATGTATGTAATTGTAAGAGTAAATGATTTTTTAATAACCATATGACTATTTTCACTAATTGCGTTTGCTGTTGCGATTGATTTAAAGGATTTAATTTTTGACTTATCGAAGTCGGTAATGAAAAGTCGCTGATCACCTAGATGAATTTATAATTTAAATTTGGTTGTATATTTAATTTAAATGATATTCAATAATACAAATAATAATTCATAGATACCTGTAAAAGACAAAGTCCTGGAAATTCTTCGGAAAATGCTTCTAATAATTGATTTGTTATTACAGCATCTGGTGATACAACATAAACATTGCTTTCACAAACAGGATAAATTATAGTAGCTTTAGCCCAATATACTAAATGGCCAGTTAATTGAGAAATTTGAGTAAGCGTGAGATCAGAATCAGCAGCTAAAGTTTGTAGACTTTTCAGTGGACTATACATTTGAATTGGGCGATAGAATACCGTGGTACCTTTCGATATCAGTTTCTGCAAAATGCAAACTACAGACGGCAGAATATTTTGATGGTGTCCAATTCTTACGAGGAATAGCAACCCTCCATTTCTCCCGCAATTCCTCATCTTTGGGGATTAAAAATATAGAATTGTAATTATTATCTTTTAAGGTACTATCATAATTTCCCTTGCAATTGGGAACACAGCAACGCCGTGGCATTATTAATGAATATGTGAAATTTATAAAAAAAATTTATATAAAACAAAATGTCCAAAAATGCTATAGATTACATTAAATAAGTGTGCTACACACCAAAATCAGGATCTGTAGAGTTAATATAAATAAATGAAACACCTGGATTATTGCTCCGTTGCTCGCATTTAATGGACTTCGGTACGTTAATATTTGAAACATTTGAAAGATAGGCGGGAGACCGGAAGGCCGGTAGATGGAGCCTATGTAGCTCAGAGGCCGGTGGGTAGTGGGAGGCTGGGAGGTTGGGCTAGGTATATCGAAGCTGGACTCCCGCGGTGTTGCCATTATACCTTCAGCACGGCTAGTACTAGAGTCGGCTGTGGCGTGGAGCTTTAATGTCATTGGAAACTAAACGTTTCTTTAGCACTACTGATCAGACCAAACAATTAAGTCGGAAATCTTTATTTATAAAATAATAAAGTTTTCAGTATTCCTTTTTGATATAAGTCTAAAAACATGGATATGCACAAAACGGAGCACGTACACTCATTGGAAATACATAAATTAAGCGTCCGTACATAAAATATAAAATCCTTACACGTTCGGATAAAAAATGTCTTTTCATCTAGAGCTCGATTAACATTTGCTGAAAAGTCAGTGAATATCAATAATTCATAACTGTACTTAATTTAAGTATACTCTACATAGAACTACACTTTCATATAAACTTTTGATGTCACGATACATATTAAAGTGCATTGCGTATGTGGGTTTATGCTATTTCGGAGTTCGACTACCTGGTGGGAGAGAACCTTCCCGCTTTCGTCTCGATATGGTTAAATCGAAATCAAATTGTTAATAATAATATAATGCGTTACAGACTGATAAATAGGTAATGAACAATCGATTCAAATCGAGTTGCACGTGTTGTATGAAATTTGTAGAATTTGTCGGGTATTTGGAAAAAAACTGTAAATCTCCAATCTGATGCGAGGGTTTCCGTTATGTTAAATTTTCACCCTTTCTATTTTATTTTATACGTCATTTTCACTTCGTATGTACCTGGCAGCAGTAATTTTTTGTACACGATCTTAGTTTTTGCTAGTAAATTTTCGAACGAACCTAAAATTAGGGGCCGCGTGGCCTATTTTATCCCCTTTCTGCTTCTCAGCTCTGTACCGTTGCCCTGTACTTGTCCTTGCTAAAGTAACGTCTTTCTGCTAGTTTGACGTTCATTAGATAAGCAAGTTTGTTTCGTGTACGAGTTCGGTTTATTTCGCCTATCAATTTACTCGACGTCATCGTTTATTTTTCCATCTGTATGCCTTGCGTACGTTCTCATCTTTTTAAATTTTCCATGAGTAAGTTATTTATTGATCTCGATACGATACTTTATAACGTGCGTTAATAGTCACGATCATTAATATGCGAAAGTCAACATAAAACGAGTCTATCCGACGTTCATAAATCTCTTGAACGATGTTAGTCGGTGGAATTTGACAATTTCTTTAAATTTCGATCATTACAAACAACAATGATATTTCTATTCTTTTGTTTTATTGGATTTTGACATTTTTAGTCGGGGTAATTCACGTTATTTCAATATAAAATATTATTATTAATTTTTATTAAAACGTATATTATTAAAACTACACTTAAATATTTTCGATAAATAAAGAAGTATGACAAATCTATAAAAGAAAATATATTTAAGAACCATGGATCATATATGACGTATTTGTATTACAGATGTTTCTATAGTCTTCCTGCAGCTGTTGGTAATGCAAATACCCTTCCTTAATTTGAAGTCCACAAGATGGTATTTGTCTTCAAGCTCTAATTTTAGCTGAGAGTAGAAATGTGAACAACGATAGGATATTTGTAAGCGACGTATAGCATTCAATTTAATATCTACTAATTTAATTTTGTATATTTAGTTATTAGAAAACATTTATTGTAACGTTACAGAGTAAGACGAAATTGATTTAGCTCGGTGGTGATGCGGGGATGTGGATCTGTTTTGATCCTATAGGAAGCCGAGAAGGCTGGCGTGCTTCTATTTTATTCTTTGTATTCTCTTATTGGGCATCTTTTGGTATCGATGCCAGCTTAACAAACGCAGCTGCGTCTAATGTTCCTCACAATACTGTTACATCAGAAGTGACACTACCAATTTCAACGCATCACGACGACGACGAATGTAGGAATGTGACCACTGATAATGGAGCAGGTATGTTAGGTAGTATAATAATTATAAAACATTTCCTATTTAATACGTTTTAAATACATTATCGGTGAACAGCTTATTTTTTATATTCTATTGAGTTTAATAATCAATATTAGTATATATTTTTATCAAAATTAATGCTACCCGATGTAAATAAATGTATTTTACAGCTACTGGTTTGTCAGTGGTCGGTCATGGATCTGGTTCTCCTCATTCGCCGATAGTGCCTCCAACTTTTCTGTACGGAGTTCTTACCTGCCAACCCTATCAAGGAATTTCTGTGAATCACATCTACTTTCAACTAGCAAATGCCTTCTTTCTATTGTCACACCTTGCACCAAGTGGCATACACGGTGTACTCTATTTAAGGTGCACTCTACTCGTGGGCTGTGCCTTTCTTGCTTTGTGGGGCTGGACAATAGCTTGCTGGCTGGACGCTGCTCTCTGGAATGCTCTATTTGTTGCCATCAACTTCGTCCATGTATGCACGCTTCTTTACAAGCTCAGGCCTATCAAGTTTTCAAGGGAAGTTGAAGAGGTAAGTTAAGAGAAGAATGAAAGAGAATGATTCTCTGACTTGATGTCGCAGAATATTGTTCGTATATGTATGTATGAACATGTAACAAAGTATTGTTCATATATGTATATATATATGTGGTTAAACACTATTGATCTGAAAATAAAGGTACTCTTATAATAATTTATAAACAAAAACTACTACGTTTTAATCTTAATATACACTTTATGTATCGAGCTATTTTAAAAATAATTCAGTCCATATTCTTTGATATACAATTTAATATTCCGCATAACACAATTATAGGATATTTTCAGTTATATATTTCCATATATTTTTAACATATAATCAAAACAAATTCTTATATTATGTTTACAAATGAATATCGTAATAATATTACAAGGTCTAGAAATATATTAAACAGGCAATGTGCAAATTCATAGAATGGATGACATTCAAAAATAGAAATACGTAATTCTTGGTACTGAGATGTTTATTTTTTTTTTAAAATTGTACTATGTTTTCACTCTCTTAAATATTATTTGTAGTATGGTATAGTGTATTCTAAGTAGTATACTGTTAATGTCTTAGATCGTATAGCTAGTTATATTAGACATTTAGTAACTACTGTAAATTGCTTGTACGTTTGGCTACTGCATCTGCATTATGCTGGAACTCTTTATATATTATCCTTTCTTTTGCATCTTTATGTATGTAATTTGAGCAATTTCTTTACATTATAAAATTTATACGATGCTTTCTTTTATCAATAGAAGTTTAAAGTTATTATCATTTTTGTAATTAGTAATAGATTAAAATTTATTTTTATATTCAATTAAACTTATTCTAATACAAATTGAAAGTAACTAATTTTGTTTAAATTACAAAGCAATATGTAAAACATTTGTAATGTTTCTTTCCTTGTACATTATACTTTTGTAATTGATAAAATTACATAAATATTATGTCTCATTTTCGTCTTTTTTTTTTCTACAGGTATATATTGCAGTGTTCCAGCCACTAAGGGTATCGCGTCATCAGTTCAAAAAAGTATTAAATTGTATGAAGGTTATACGACAGTTGAAGTATCAAGAAGTTTATGCCCAAGAGAAAGTGACCAAAGTTGATTCGTTGTCTTTGGTACTTTCTGGAAAGTAAGTTTGCATTATAAATATTAATATTTTATACTCGTATATGTAATAACATGGTTGAGCTCCAATCATTTACAAAATTTCTTAAATTTTAACTAAGCAAAGTAGTTAACGACAAGTTGATAGGAAACAAAAAGTATTTTATTTCATATTAAGAAACACAGTACGTTTTAAAAACACTCTGTATAATATATATATTAATTGTTTCAAATTATTTAAACGTTTTATACAAATTTTTCAGATTAGTAGTATCACAAAATGGAAGAGCATTGCACATTGTCTTCCCACATCAGTTCCTGGATTCTCCAGAATGGTTTGGTGTCTCCACGGACGAGTACTTTCAGGTTTATATAAATTATAAAGTTTAATAACTTGTATCATTTATTGTAAAGCACAAACCATTATTATTTAAACAATATTAGTCAATAATAATAATATGTTTTACAAATGTAATTTTTGTAAATTAAAAGATCAATTTATTTATATAGGTATCAATAACAGCTATGGAGGAATCAAGAATATTATTATGGCATAGAGACAAGTTAAAGTTAAGCATAATTAGTGATCAATTTCTGCAGGCAGTGTTTGATCATATTTTGGGAAGAGATGTAGTCAAAAAATTGATGCAGGTATGTACGCATACATATAGATTACATAATTTTCTGTCATTAGAATGAATTTCTTTTCTTTTTTATTAAACGACATTATTAAGGCTTCATTATGTTTTCAATTCGATTAAAAGTTGTAGATAAATAGAAATATTAATTGATACAGTAATGTACGGTTGAATTTCGTCAAATTCGGGGCCCAGCAGTGAAATTCTCGCATGCAGGATAGCATATTTATTTATTCTTTTCATTTAATCGATTCTCGTTCTTTCTCTACTGGGTCAGGTTTCGCTGAGCTCGAGACGATGAGTAGTAGGGGAAAAATGGAGGTACAATGTGAATATACAATCTCGCACATTTTAGTGAAATTCAACCATGCATTATTATATACATTTTTATATAAATGATACAATCTTAGGTCAGTGAAACAATGGCTGCTAGTAGTCATCAACAACAAAATGGACAAGTAATTGGTTTGGGTGGTATTGGAACTATAGAGAATGATCCTGACACCAAACTTTTCGTTGTGAAAAAGACTGGCGACAGTCAAGGTATTACTGCTCTCATCAGTCGTCAACTTCAAGGTAAGTACATTTTACTTAATAATTCTTTTCTAACGAAGGATAAAAGGTTTAGAAAAAATGTTATACATTTGTTATTGATATTTTTATCTTAAAGAATTCTTTTGTTAAATATGTGTAAATATCTATATAGTTAAATGTTCGCCTTTATGATAATATATCTTTTCAATATATTGTTATATGGGGTATACTAGTTGAAATAGGTCATCTACTTAACTCTTAAAACTGTGATCCAAAAATATGTTTCGTATATGTATAATCTAAATAGCTTTAAAGAATGATTACGTTGCAAGAATGACTTTCTTCCAATGTCATTTTTTTTCAGAATGTCAAGGTTAATCTGTTTCTCTTACGTGTAAGTACATACGTAATTCTCTTGTATATTGTACTGTACATTAGTTATTCGTGTACATATGGAGCACTTTAGTATGTAAAATCAAAGGTCACCAATATTTTATAATAAATGCTATAGTGATCTATCATCTCAGACGATCAATGATAAAAATTTTATAATGGGCAAATCTAGATATCCGTAGCGTAATAATAAACATGTTTATTTACAATATTTTATCCTTGATTATAAATCGTGGAAATGTAGGACCTTTTGAAAACCTTTGAAAAAGTGATATTGGAAAGAAAATTTTTTGTAACACATTTAAAACAGATACATGTATACTACAGATTATGTGCGTAACATTTTTTTCTATCCTCGCAATTAAAGGAGATAATTAGATGACTTATTTAGAGGAAGATCTCTGTACATAGAAAATCATATGTTAATACTGTATCAATTTCTTTTGTATATTTATGTATGTACATATATGGATAGTTCCTGTAGCTGATCACTGTCATTTTGCAGAATAACAAAGTAACATTTCAATATATGTATGTGTAGTGCGTGGAACAAATATAGCAATACTTGAAATATATTTAAGTGTATCTATTAGCGATATATTTATTAAAATGTATAATTTTTTTCTATTTACTGTGACTAATGGATCAGGCTTAGGTTCGCTTCTATTTTTAGTCTTTTTTCATACTTTTTACTTCGCCTCAAGGCGTCCAGATTCTTAAAAAGGATCATTTCAGATCTAACTCTTATATATTGACATCGTACACTTAAAAACACTACTATGTTTACATCCTAGAATAATTGCAAGTTTGTTATATTTGTTTGACCCTCTATACAATAATTTACATTAAAATTATTGTTCTATATTGATTTTATATTAATTTTCACATCGGTTCCATCATCAATTCTTTACAGAATGAAAGTTTTAAATGTGTCTGGTACATATATACTATTTGTTGACATGTCAGATATATGTGTGTTACGACGTGTGGTACTAATTTATACAAATAAAAATTTAGTGAGAAAAGGCACAAAATGTGGTTAGAATTATAAGTAATATATGGATAGAAAATGTACCAGAAGAATCTAATCCATCTACTTCAATGCTTACGGCTACTTTGTGTCTTAGAAGTGCATCGCTACCTTGCATAGTATAATAAATACATGCCAAAATATATACTATGGAATACCGTACTGATCAAGGTATTATTACAATATGTTTTAATATAATGTATTCTAACAGTATGATTACATGAATCGATCCGCAAAAATAGTTAGTTGTTTGCTTATTATAAATTAATGCACATGGAACTCTTACACACACTTGCAAATGAAAAACTGAAAAGAATAAAAGAGAAAGAAATAATAGTACTTAAGACTTTTATTATAATCGTGTCAAAGATATTTTTGTGTTTAGTATTCGAACAAGATACACGTAGACATCTACTACAAAATTTTATTACATTAATAAACAAACAATGTATAATAGATGAAATATGATAGTTTTTATTTTGAAAAATTGTTCGAACAACTTCATTTGCACAAATTTTTTCTTCTTTTTGTCCACGATATCCTTTAATAACGTTAGATAAGTGGCAAAATCATGCATTTGGTATTTGCTAAAAGCGAGATATTACTATACACAGTTTATTATCACTTGTGTTGGCTGCGATACACACATTCATTAAAATCCATAAGAAATCAATATTACGGTAGCAGAAACACGTCTTTGGTTTCTTTTATCTGTTTCGGAATAAACTTTTACAATATGTAACACACATTCCCCATAGAAATAGCATATACAAGCATACACATAAACACATTTAACAATTTCATTCTATAAGAAATCAATGCTGGAACTGATAGGACTAATATAGAACTGATTCAAAACCAATAAAAAAAATTCATTTTGGAATTATGATTGGAATTGATATGTTGACTAATATCGATTTTGGTAATTATTGGGAATCATTAGCCACCCCACCAATTTGGATGATATTGAAATACGTTGTAGATATCAATATTTTAAATAACTTCTCCCTATACATTATTGCAAAAATATTTCCAATTGCATAATAGTAATTATAATTATAATATTAATTATATACATGGAAATAAATTCGTATATAAAATACAAGCATATATTATTTATTATGTTTAACCTGACCTCTTGCGTTTTAAGCTGTTGTTTTGTCAGCGACTACTTTTCGCAGTTTAATTATTGAGTAATATGTACAAATATATTTATGTGGTATTTCAAGGAGTTTAGGATAATTAAAATACCGTCAATATTAATTTAAAGAGGGGTTTATTGGACAAAACATCCCAGAGTTGATTAGACTAATAAGTTTAGTAAAGACGAAAGCTTTGATTATAGGCGTATAACAACATATTTCAATATCATCCAAATCAGTGAGACGGCCATGATTCCGAATGATTACCTCAATTTTTTGTAACAGCTTTGCTGTATAACTTTAAAACTGTTTAAAAAATCGAAACTGATATTTGAACTGTTTTTTAATACATGAAAATACTAAAAATATTAGTATCATTAAAAAATGTTTTAGATAATGATCGAAGAATTGTGTTGGGAATATTATACGTACAATCTACATGACTTCTTTATTAGTGGAGACATTCCAGACATTTTAAAGAAAGTACAAAAACAATGACTTGCGCTGGAATTGATTCACTGATACGTCTTTTGTTTTTCGAGCAAAAATCATTTAATTAGTCAAATTATCTTAAGTTACGCAAGTCACTATTTTTGTTTTTCCAAAAGTTATAAGTTATACGAGAAATACATGGATCTATTTAAAAACTGACAAATGACAATTTTGCATGACAATTGTTTCACTTGCTACTTCTCAGCATTTATCTAAAATATTTTCTGCCAATTAAGAATAAAAGAAATATAAAATTAAAACTATTGGTTTCATCTAAAACTTACAATCAGTGTACAGTTTTGGAGTCAGCGTTAAGATATGAATTTATCTAATATGTAACAATATGATCATTGCAAAGACATACATATATTATGTTTCAAACTATAATAATATGCGTCCTTATAATTAAAGCACCAAATAATAATATAAGATCAACAAAAATTATACTCCAGAATTGCTGTCCGCATGAGAATTACTGCATGTGCTTACAAATTAGCAACGATGATCATATAAATTTATGAATTTATTACAACGTACACTCTTTATAATTGTGCATCAATTTTGATTTTGCTTTGGATAGAAGAAAGAATGCCGCTGCTGTACACGAGTCAGGAAGTGCTGAACAACACTTTGCATCATATCAATCACCTACGTACACTTCCCTTAGATCCTGTGCAACACAACAATGTTCAGACTTCCTTATAATATCCCTGTGTCACAGGCTGTGCGATTACCTTAGCACAAAAATTTGTACGTGATATGTATGTATTATGTTTCTACAATGGATATCCATATGTTATACAAATATCATTGGGTAACTTCATTTGTTATTTTCTTCTGGTTATTTTATCCAGGTGAGTTGTGCCTATGTACTTTTGTTTTATATTTTATTTCTGTTGACGATATCAGTAATTCTATTAAACTATTGCTATCAGACTTTGCGAAGCATAATTCAGCAATTTTATTGAATTTTATTTCGACTATACTTCAACGTTAAATTAATATTTATGGTACCATCATAAATGCGATGTAAAAATAATACTTATTAACGGTCGGATGGCGGATGGTTAGACAACGAAGACTTTAGGAAATAAATTTTAACAGATTTATCGTATATTTGTACGATTTGCAAATAAAGTGTTTATCAGGTTTATTGCATGGGATTTACAAATATATTGTGAACATTAGTCATATTTTTTATTATGTTTATTGTCATTACGTGTGTACATACAACATCGAATGGAAACGCTTTCTGGAAGAAGCTTCTTGATTCTTTCTTGAAGTTCGATGCTTAATGTTTCAACCAAAAATGATTCCATTGCAGTTTATTATAGTCCTCGTAATCTAGAAGGGACCAATTTTTTAGCCGATAATATAAATAATCTTATGAATCGCTTGATAATAAAGACGGAATACGAATCAGAATTGACCCATCCTCACCAGCGGACTGTTAATTACATAGTTAATAAAGAAAAAGTAAATTCAATAAAACAAGATACAATATCTGACAATAACATATTATTCTTATGTATATTTATATTTATTATCTTTTATTTCTTATTGTTATTTTTAATTGAAATTTTGGTTTCTTTTTTATCTACATATTTAATTGTATTTAGGTATATCGCAGTCTATAAATTTATATTGCGGAGAAGTACAATATATCAGTTGTATATAAACACAGTTTACATATTACAGATGTATCATTATTTGAAGTACGGTGGTGCTCGACTATATGTGAGGAATTATTTCTAAGAAATTCAATTACGTATAATTAATTGTAGTTCGCTGTTGCATTTGCTCCTGGTGTATCTTTTCTCATTTATGCAAGATTAGGTATCAACTTCAAATAAAAAAAAGTTCAATTCTTAGAATTACTTCATGACCAACCTTGAATATATAAATATTCATATATATATATATATAAATGTTCGGTTTTGATTGTTTGCATATATTCGGGCACTGCTGTATTTTGATTAGCATTAAGCGAAATAAATTAAAAATCTTTGACATTGCTACGTTGCAGCAGCAGGGGATCCAAATGCATGGAGATTGGGAAGAATTGAAGAGACTGATCACGAAACACCTGTTTAATGAAAATGATTGTTAGATGAATGTCATCCTCGGCAGTCAATATAAAGTAACATCGGTCTTTTTACATAATGTGAAATAACGATGAAATGTATTCAAGATCACTGAAAACATGGCATGGCAATGGTATGCTATGCACGGAACAATTAAACATTCTCTTGCCAATTAATAATTTCTCCCCGCAACTAGTCAAGTATTATTAATAATGGAAAACACATTTCATCGTTTATAGCATAATGGTTCCATTCTAGTTTATAAAAATGACATACGACTAAAACATTATTTTATGCTTCCAATGTACTATCGAATACCACCGGAACTAATTTAAGCGTGGCTGTTTCTAATTTACACTGATTTTCTTCTTAATGTGCATATGATCAATAACGAAGAAACAAGACTTTACACGTGTAATAGAATGGAAGTTGTTCAATCGCAGCGGCGTAACTTCTTTACTGAAAGATCTGTGATTTACCGGAGGTGTACGGCAGAGAAAAAAATTTAGGGAGGCCTAAATACCTGATTGTTTCCCACACCCAGATATAGTGCCTTTTTACTTGCATTTCATTTGTTCATTTTTCAAGGAAAAATATATACAATATTATATCGTATACTAATTTACATGTTCATTCAAAATCTTTTAAGAAAGTTGTCGCCGGGAACTCATATATCCTAGTAAGCCAAGCAATGATACTTTTTGTTTTTCTCAGAATGGGACCATCTTGAGCTGGTCTTTACTTGAAAAGAATATAGATAGTCATTGATGGTATTTCAATCAAAATATGTATACTTCCCCTATAATTTTCATTGTCTTCTCTTCATCATCAAAACTCCTCTTTCAATTAAGAGCCATTATATTATTTATTATAACATCATCTATGCATTTAAACAAATCAATTGTCGACATTAAGCCCTTAATACATTTTCAATGTTTACTAATTTTTACTATTGCAATTTTTTGCGAATCAATAACTAACTTTTTTTTACAGGATCTAGATCAATATTGTTGTTCTTACTTTATGTAATACTTTAATTATTTTTGTTACTCTGCATTTCAAATTTTAGGTCTTATCATGGTCCTTGAATTTTCTTATTGTAATAATTCTACTTCCGTCTCTCTCACAGATATATGTATAGTTTCCGTCGGCAACTAGTTGTTCCCGCCATCAAAACTATTTTTAAATAGTTTAAATAGTTTTGAATCATTATTGCGCGGATCATGACATTTTATAAAACTATTAGACAAATGGCGTTCAGAATAGAGAACGAAACAGGAAGTTACGCCAAAAAGCGCTGGATGATAATAAAATTGCAATGTAAGCTATATTGATGGAATATTTATATTGATATACATTGCCGATGGAAAAAATAAAAAAATGCATATAACTTTTAATGGTAAAATTATCGGGAATCGTTACAATAATATAATCACGATTATCATTCCTTTATTTGGAAAACAATATTAGTATTATCTATAATTTACCAGTGGTAATTATGATTAGAATCGATTATTGTAATATTAAGCGATACAAGCAAAAAAAAAAATCAATGCGCACAGAGAGATAAATATTTAATTACTTATGTGCAATATTTACAAAACAGGTTTTCGTTTGCTTTAGAGGAAGTGAACAGAATTTTTAAAATTACTTTGAATGAAAATAGTGAAAGTATTACGTGCTGAAATTTAAAATAAAAATCTCAGGTTTCGATGATTGGATACAGTTTTAGGGAAAGAAAATAAATGAACAAAGAATCTCTTTGAATACAATTTTGTCTAGTCTTTAGTGAAATGTATTAAAAAAATTTTAAATGTTGCTAATTATCAAATTCATGCCCAGTTAAGGTTGTAATACTTACTATTAAGAAGACTTTTTATATGTAAAATTATATTTCCGAGCATATTCGATTTGAAATATTATATATCATTTAAAAGTCGGATAATAATTATTCTACCATGTGTATAAAGTACATTCTAACAAAGAATTCTGTTTAATTAAAAAGCATCTTGATTTATATCTTTTAATCAAAATTGTTTTTCTTGTACAGTGCTAAATCGAAAAAGATGAGAACAATGTGATTTTATTTTAGTGTAATACTATTCACGCATGTATGAGAAGTGTAAGTGATTTGTTTAATGAATGTAAATTATTCGTTACTCATCTTTATTGTTTATTGTTTCTCGTTGTTATGATTGTATGTGGTATCTTTTTAGTATAGTTACGTAATACGATGAGATATGAATGAAATGGAGAAAGATTTAAATCACATTGAATACAATAATGAACAAATTTAATGACGAAAGGAATAAAGAGAGTTAGTTTTAGATAAAATATATATAAATTATTCCTTGTATCTGTATCCTTTTCCTTGTTATTTAGCCAGTTTAGCGTAATTGTTTTTTTTTTTTTTTTTTTATTTTACCGTACCGTTGATATCTTTCAAATATAAAGATTTTGTTTTTTTAATCTGATATTGATGAATGTACTATTATGTAATATATAAGCATACCAATTGTTAATTTATACAAACTTTTATGTACAAGTTATTTAGATGAAAATAAATTCCTTGTACAAGAAATGAACAAAACAGGAAAGCTAGAACTATTGTTATCTTTTACGATTAAAACATGAACTTTTTAACTTTTAAGCTAATTTAACAAATTAATTCTATATATTTGTATTTATGAATATAAATTTAAACTTTATCTTTTTGTTTCTTTGGGTCATTCGAAGTTGAGGACTCTTCTATTACTTTTTTGAAAACTTTCAAAAATAGCTTTTGTCCGTTAAAACTTTTATTTTATTTTGCTATATTGCACTGCCTTCGATATAATTTTACTATTTAGAACTTTTTTATGCCAGTGCACCAGAAGCTTCTTCAATTTCATTTTTACGCAATGAAAAACACTTTTTATTAATAGGTATATAAGTATAACGTATATTTTAAATATAATACATGAATACAAGCCATTGTTCATAACTGAGTCGCCGTTCATCATAACTGGCTGTCACGATTGTTTATCATGAAGAAAGGCAGTACAGTATTTAAATATGTCTAATTTGATCACATCGCTACGTTTTTATTGTTTAAATTAATAGAAAAAAGTATAGAGCGTGTTTACAAAAATGTGGCACCTTATTCAAAATTAATTCCACATATATAGGGTATTAATCAAAATGTGGAATCTTTTTTCAGGATCAATTTCTTATGCCAATGTAAATCATAAAGTCTATTTTCTAATTTTCACTCTAAGGCTTCGTTATCAAGGTATATGGAGTTTGCAGTGTTTTTTGTACGTCAATGACATGACACATCAATAAATGTTGACGATGATAGATTGTAACGATGTTTTATATTGCAAAATGATACAAGACTTTTTAATTTCCCTTCGCACAAGGAATTACTTCTGGGAAGAAATCCCACATTTATGTTAACACCTTTTGTGTAATTTACATATACCTTTCAACAACTATGTTGCCTCATTTAACTTACACGATTATTACGCGCTTAGAGAGAATCGATGTAAAGATAACACATTCAATTAGTGTCGTTTATGTTATTGTGTAAGTGTTTAGAAATAACAGAGATCGGATGTTAAGTTTATATAGTAGGAATGTACGTGGATGATGTAATGCTACTACGTCTAAGCAATGTGTCTGATGCCTGTGGTGTAGCGGAACCTTTATGAAAAGAACGTTTATGCGGATGGAGATTAAGCGGAGGTAAATTTGGATGTTCGATTCTTGTTGGTGAACTGACACGTGGTCGTAATGTTCCCCTTTGTTGTATCGAAAGTATTCCTGCAAATGGAATTAAATAAAATTGTATTACATTCACCATTTAAACGAACAGATTAAAATTATAACGGGCAATTAAGCATTGCCTGAATCATTTGGTTCCAAAGCATCATTGAGTTGATAGTAATCAGTCTTTATTGACAATGGCTCTTCGTAATCTACGAACGCCGTGTTATCAAACGCTTTATCGTCCTTCGGCCGATTTTGAATCGGGCTCGTAACTGGTGGGTCCGCATAAGTCTGAAAAATCGATGACCTATCTTCAGATATTTTAAACGTTTCCGTATTTCACATAAGAAATATGCAATTAGTTAAGCCATCGCATTATTGCAAAAATTTTTTTGAAGTTGACAATTCATAGATATCGAACAATATATTTTATTTACAAATCTATGGTATATTCCCTCTTTCTTTATTTACTTTATTGAGTGTATTTGTTGTTTTCAATTTTTGTAATTATATGTATAGAGGATCTGTTTCTCTGATTTCAATGACCTTGAAATATGTTTCAGGAATACAAAAATTAGTCGCAAATAACAACTGCTATTATTACATTTAATTCTGGGTATACGTGGATGAAATTTCTATAAGAACACCATGGTTTACTGCGAAAAATTCATTTATTCTATAAATATACGTTAGTAGAATAAATATATGTTAGTACAATAAATATTACATAAAAATACACGGTTAAAAATATAACGAAGTCGCCCCTTACCCAAATGCATAAAACTGCAACCTAGGATGAAGAATGGAAAACTAATATTTTCCGATGGGAAAAAATTTCATCTGTTCCAATTAATTTAAATACTGTTGGCATGATTTACTTAGTCGAAATTTCGGCGGTGGAAGTTTGATGTTGGGACGGCGATAACATGTACAGGAAAAAAAATATGTCAAGGTCATTGAAACCTGGAAGGTGGATCCTAATTTATACGATTACCTTAATTTTTATTTAAACAATTTGCAAATTATTCAATGAATTACCGCCCCTGCGTCAATATAGTCAATATAGTTTCTTAAGGAGAACACTATCGAAATTTAGTAAATTCGTAACGCATAAGAGCAGTGCTGGATATACAAACGTAATATCAGTAAATTGCCTTAAGTTTTACATGTTCAGTTGGCGTAGTTGAACAGGCACGCTTATGGAATTGTCCACCGCCGATAGTTTCATAGGTGTGTTCCTCTAGATAGTGTCTGGTAGTGCCACGTGGTGTAAGAGTAGCCCACATAACACGACTATCTTGCATATTGTCAGTTGCGCAAGGATAAAGGACAGCCTCGTTTTGAATCCTTCCATTTTTCGTTTGCATACTTGATGCTGCGTTCGGCATGGAAATCACGCCGTTCTTACCATTTCTATTACTACAGAATGATAATCAGTTATTTCGTGACTTTGAGGATTTTGCCTTTCTTATTAATTAATATGCTCGTGCGACGTAAAATATTAGATCATCCCATAAGTAGCGTGTTTTGGCATAAAAGTTCTGCCATTTTAGTTCTTCTACACGTTTATCTACGAAACTACTGATTATTCAAACGAACAATTTTGCGGTCGATATAGTATTAAATAAACACCTATCTATTCTATAATTCAATAAATTTTCCAAATAAACGTCTTGTTTTTCATTGTTCATCGTAGTTTACATTGTTATCGGCAAATTTTGGTTGTAGTTTTACAGAATAATGTGGTTCGTCTTACATAAGAATTATTAAAAATTAAAGTTCAACAAAAATTGAGTGGACATCTTTAGATCTTATGCTCCTTGTTCTTCCAATATTTTGTATTCCCTCCTTTAGCTTTAATAACTGCTTCTATTCGCCTAGGAATGCTATCGACTAAACATCCGATCATAAGATCTTCGCTATACTTCCCCGTGATCGTTGTAGGCTAACGAAAAGTGTTGCTTTATTTGTTTTGATGTTTATGGGTACTTCTTTATAATGAGAAATTATATAGTTCTCTCGAGTTTTTCCTTGTTGGAAAACAAAGTTGTTTGTAATATCTAATTCTTTTACCGATTCTTCCAAATTTTCATTAATTAGTTGAAATGATTTCGTCGAGTAACACTAAATTTCCAACGTTGGACTAAGACACCATAATCGAATCTCCTCCATGTTACGCTTATCTGCGATATGAATTTTCGTCCAAGATTTAATTTTCTCCACACTTTTTCTCTTTTTCTCTTGCTAAGTATGTTTAATGTATTTAAATTAAAAATTTTCAATCCTTTCGATATCACGAAACGTTCACATTGGCCACATATACTTCTCCAAAAGGGTACAGCCGGATAAGATGGTCAAAAGTGGTTCAAAGAAAACCATTTCTGTCGTAACGACAATTTTCAGTTTAAGCTGTATATCTTTTGTTGTATCGTGTCAAAGATTTTGAAAAAAATTGGGAGCATTTTGCTCCACGGCGTACGCATTTGTGAATTTTTTCCGAATTTTTCACCGCAAAATGGATTTTTAAAAAATTCGAAAAGTTTAAAAATATTTTTTTTCGATAGAAATTATTAAATTACCACGTTTGTATTTTTACAGTGTTAGTGTCTTGTTATGATTGTTAATCTGTAATTTTTTCAGATTTTTAGAAGTGGGGGAATTATGCTGGAAAAATTAAAAACTGATATTTACTTGTATCTTTACCTTAATTTTTGATATTACCATATTGTTACAATTTTAATGGCTTGTTACCGTTATAAACATATGATTTTTTGAGATTTTTTTGTCAAGCTGTATCACATATACGAAATAATTATAAATCGATATTTCCTCAACAAGATTCGTTCGCCTTATCGACGCAGTTCCAAAAATTGGTAGGGATGACTCTAAAAAATTTTTCAAATTCTAACGGTTAAGTTGTTAAAAATAACTGCAATTATTGTTACTTTTACTGTAGAATCCACCTTCGACATTACTTATGGCATGACCTAATATCAAATTACGAAACAATCCTTTTAATACCGTGATTTATATTTAAACTTCGGTCGCATTTATTTACGTATTAAAGGATGAAGAATCATAACTATACTCACAATTTGCATTTCAAGAGTAACGTTGCTAGTATTATGCCTATGAAAATCACACCGACGCAGGATGATATTAATACTAGCAACCACGTGTCATCGAAAACTGTACCTAAAATTATTATAATCGATATTAGTAGATTTATCGAAAAAAAAATTAATAATTCTAATAAAAACTAACACGACATCAATTAACTATTACAATGTTCGCTTAAATTTCAAAAATCTAGCTTCAGTACTCCCCTACTACACAAGAGGAGCACCGGAAGTGACTCAACGGAGTCATCATCAGGGCAACCCTGGGAAAAATTTTAATGGCAGATTCTAGAGGCCAAAATAAGACGAAAATCAAGAATACCAATTTGTTGATTGAGGCTTCGTTAAAAAGTTATTAACGTTTAAAGTTTCGCCTGTAGAACGGCAATTTGCGGACAACTGCGCACGCGTGATAGTGGTACTCGCGCACAAAACTGTAAGGCCTCGATAGGTCAGGTCAGTAGAGGTTCTCCTGCCGAGTGAGAACCATTATCGCAACTGTTCGTAGATTGGCCGGTCTATAGGCGAAATTTTAAACGTTAATAACTTTTTAACGGAGCCTCGATCAACAAATTGATATTCTTGATTTTCGTCTTGAAAAGTTATGATGTTTTAAAGATACTTCTGGCTTGAAATTATATTTTCGGTAAGGAATTTTTTTTCTCGGAAATGGTTAGGATTTCGAGGGTATGTCTATTGACCAAAAATGATTGCAATTAAACCTCCTAGCTAAAAATAATTTTTTTAGAACGATTTGAAAATTTTTAATTTCGCTGCAAATTTGTCCACCTTCTCGAATTTTTTTCTCAAAACTGAATAGGATTTCGGGGGTATGTGTATTGGCCAAAAATGGTTGCAATTGACCGTACTTACTAAAAATATTTTTTTTAGAACGATTTGAAAATTTTTAATTTCGCTGCAAATTTGTCTATCTACTGGAATTTTTTTCTCGAAAATGGTTAGGATTTTTGGGGTATGTCTATTCACCAAAAATGATTGTAACTGACCCCTGCAACCAAAAATAATTTTTTTAGAACGATCTGAAATTTTTTAATTTCGCCAAAATTCCGGTTGGTGTGGAACTTTAAATGTTAATAACTTTTTAACGGAGCCTCAATCAACAAAAATTGATATTCTTGATTTTCGTCTTATTTTGCCCTCTAGAATCTCTCATTAAAATTTTTCCCAAGGGTGGTCAATCACCCTGTATATTTGAATTCTTATTTACGACATTTATCGCTGCATTACAAATGCTGTTGAATGACTTCTTTTACTATGCAAATATACCTAACTACACGATTGTTACAATGTTTAATTTTCTCATTATTGGCTCAATAGCTACGGCTAAAGTTATAGATACAATAGATTAATCATCCTATCCAAATTTGGAATCGTTGTAAGCCATGTGTCTGATGTTCCTCTTGTTAATTTCTCGAGCTGAGAGTAATCTGATACTATTAACACATTGAGCGTCAGGCCCCGCGAATACGAGGGTTTCTGAATCTACCGCTGGAGCGCTGGCTCCGCGATAATGTGGAACAGTATTGCTTCTTTTAAACTGCAAAATGTTTAATGCATTTAAATTATATATTGAGTTCAATGGTAACGTTATAAAATGCTGTTGGTGCCGGCGCTCAGTGTGTTAACTTTATCACCTGGACTTGCTTGTTTTTGATTATATAAAACAATATTTCAATGGTTTCAAAGAGAGCACAATATAGCAGCAGTCATTTGTCTCTTTGCTTATTGAACGACCCTCGTATTTTACTTTGACAAAGAACAAAACGTAACATAATCGATTTAGGACTGGACCTTGCTGCGGCATCTCTATGTATTGCACCCCTTCGGAGCGGCGATCACAAAGATGCTTGCACGGGCTGTCATTTAGATGCTGTGGAAACGACAATAGGTCCGCGCGTGGATAAAAGTCGGAACTTTGCTGTAGAATAGCCGGGAACGGCGGTGGTGGTATGTGAAGAATGTCGGGCGGTGGTTCGAGTGTACATAACGCACAACCCGAGTTATTCATTATTAGATCGAAGCCTCTCATCTATAATTTAGATTAATAGAATAAACAATTAGTAACTAATACGTAAAAATTAAGTCATCTTCCCTTATCAGTCGTAATTTGTTTTATTTAGCATTTCAAAAAGGCATATAGGCGAACAAACATATAAAAATGTGCCCTTTGGAGTTAACACGTTAAGCGCCATGACAGTTTCACAGGACCGATACTGAATTGTTCGTTTAGGTGACGTCATTTCTTAACAACCGACAGTATTGACAAATAATACTTTACAGTTAATATGTGTTATATGTTATATAATATTTAATATTATATTTATATACTCGATACTTCGAAAAATTGAATTTTGGCCAGCTTTTTTGTGTTTTACACATAGCTAAGGTATAACTCAAGAGTGACTCTTCCTATTTAATTTTTCTAACAACAATACAGCATTCCAAACTATTTGAAAAAATGACGACCATATGAACGTGTCATAACTATCAAAATATAAAAATAATTATTTGATAACTCAAAAAATTTGAAAAAAAATCCTAATATGTGACTTGATGACAGCAGCATATATAAAATTTGTCATAATTTTCCAAGAAATAGAAAACAAAAAATCAAATTAACAATGAAAAAGATAGACAATGAAATTGTTGCGTAAAAATTGTTTTTTTATACATATAGGGTGTTCAGACACACCTGGGAAAAATTTTAATGGGAGATTCTAGAAGCCAAAATAAGACGAAAATCAAGAATACCAATTTGTTGATGGAGACTTCGTTAAGAAGTTATTAACATTTAAAGTTCCACCTGTATTGAATTTTTTTCTCGAAAATGCGCAGGATTTCAGGGGTATGTCTATTCACCAAAAATGTTTGCAATCGACTCCTGCAACCGAAAATAATTTTTTTAGAATGATTTGAAATTTTTTTTTTCACCGAAAACTACCCCCTTCTTTTTTTTTCTTAAAAATTCGTTTTTGATTTTTAATCAATTTCGTTGGCGTTGTACAGAAAGGTTGTTTAATACTTTTTTGTAGATATCCATGAACTCTACTTCCCCCCAAAATTTCAATGAAATATATTCACTATTGTAGGAGTTATGGCTGTTTGAAAATTGGACCATTTTTATGGGGTTTTTCTCATTTCACGGGGTCAAGGAATAACTTTTCGAATATTCTTGAAATGTCTGCGTATTCTGCACCAAAATACGCGTCGTTTGCTTTTTGAAACATTAAAATCGTCCGATCCGTTCAGGAGTTATGACATTTTAAAAATTTGCATAAAATTTCATGGTAGCATTTCTGGCCTCACATTAGATTTTCGGTAAGGAATTTTTTTCTCGATAATGCGCAGGAATTCGGGGGTACGTGTAATGACCAAAAATGATTGTAATGGACCCTTGCAACCGAAAATAATTTTTTTTAAACGATTTGAAAAATTTTTTTTTCGCCAAAAAATTTCAACACCGACACGAATTTTTTTCTCGAAAATGGGTAGGATTTCGGGGGTACGTGTATTCACCAAAAATGATCGTAACTGACCTCCGCAACCGAAGGTAATTTTTTCAGAATGATTTGAAATTTTTGAATTGATTTTTTTAATAACTTTTTAACGAAGCGTCAATCAAGAAATTGATATTCTTGATTTTCGTCTTATTTTTGTATCTAGAGTATCCCATTAAAATTTTCCCCATTAAACGGTTTATTATTATTATTTTCATTCAAAACGGTTAACGGGACACTTTACGTGCTTATACGCTTATACCATTTCCGGAATAAAGTTATCGTTTGCTTAATTGATACGATTCACACTGTGAAATTATTTTCTCGATCTAAGCGAATGACAAGATTTAATACTTATGTATCTGTTATGCTTCGTGTATATCCCATTCCTTTGTTTTGCAACTGGTTAGCACTTAAAAAATTTCGTACAGTCCGCCACAGAAGCTAGCAAATAATAAAAAGACACGATTCGTATTTTATTGCATGCTTTCAAGCACAAAGCATGTAACGATTACAGTAAAATGTAAACTCTCACCGCTTAAGCGATACCCCTATGCGAAAGTGCTATCAGGGTGGCTACTGGCTCCTCTGTAAGAAAAGCGCACGCGTTGTCGTATTGAGCGACAGGAGAAAATTTCGCGACCCGCGTTCCATCGTCCGTCTATACCAATAACAATACCATTAATATTTTCATTTAAAAAACACCATTTTAACTACTATACATATGTACATCGTACGAGATAATTAAAATATGATACCTTAACGCTTCACTTAATATTTATTCCATACAGTAGAAAACCATAAAAAAATTAGAATAACAAATATAATTTCGGATTAATTCTTAATTTTATCATAATTTTAATATTACGCGTACATTTTTCTATAAACAAAGTAATAACATATGATAAATAACAAACCATGGTCACATGATACTGAAATTAAAATTAATATTGCACAAGAATCCTATGTAGTCTGTTTGCATATTGTAATTTCAAAAGCATGTTCATGTTAATTTTACAAGTAGTATTTACCTTTCGAGACTGACGTATAGGATCTAAAAAGACCATAGAATAAGCGTTTCAACTGACACACATAGAGGTTGAAATAAAGCTACGCCTATTAAGATTAATAATAACTCTTATTGAATTAATAAATTTATTATATTTGTTCAATTTAATTATTTCCTCGTAATATTGCCAACTTGTATACGACCAAACATATTGATCAGGGAAAGTAATTGTTGCTTATATTCCAATAAATGCAACTGAGTAATCGAATCGATTTGAATTGAGTTAAAACATAAGCTATTAAAACATTTAACAACATAGAGTTGAGATGAAAAGTACTTAGTATTATAAACTATCTGAGTACATGTTTGCCACAGTACAACCGTAGTCATAATAACAAAGAAATTCAATAACTTCACTTTTCCAAAATCTGTAATTACTGTTATAAAAAATTTACATACTTTTTTTACGTAAATTGAGCGTAACAAGTACACTAAAATACACTTATATTTTTTTAAATATCAAATGTAATATAATGAAGACAAACCACATGGTTCCGGTAGTACTATATTTTGATCAATGTGTCAAAAACTTTTCAATCGAAAAATAACATTTGTATTTTACATTTAAAATAATAGCGGATTGAATCGAATGTATTCATTCCTATTTTGTTTTTAATCGCATGAAAATCGAATTTGTCTTTTGATTATTTGTGTGTATTAATGCTGGTGAACTTATAATATAACCTCTGCAATTAATAAGTTAGTCGCAGTTATGGAAATAAATCCGTTAAGTATAATTCTTGTAAAAAGTGATAGCAAAGGTGATAGACTATTATTTCGTTATCCGTATGTAGCAAAACATACACGAGATTCTAATCAATGCACTAACAGAAAGAATCCTTACTCTTTAACCACTACAGAAGATTTATTGCAGGTCAGTTTTATGATAAATTATGGTACTTATTCAGTAGAATAAAATAACAATCGTAAAGTATAAATCTACGTTGTCAATATTTCTTATATAAAGTGTTGCAGAATTACATGTAAATAGTTAAGGAACAGACATACTAAACAATAGAAGATGTTTAATACTTTTTAGGCTTTCGCTGCCATAGTGGTTACTACTAGAATTGGCATCCTTCAGTATCAGAGATTATTTCATTCCCTGATGAAGCTAGCTGCAATGCTGGCGGAACGTCGGACTCTCTCGCCTTCTGAACGCGGCTCCAACCCGGAAGCCAATTCTAGTAGTAATAGAAGATGTTACGAGAGAAATATGTAAAACATTTGTCCATATGACATTTTTTAGTTAGTTTCGTGTGCAGATTCAGTTCCTTAAGTACTTACATGTATTTCTGAAACAGACCGTATTTATTTTTCAATGTTTATATTATCGAGTACGATAATTTAATAGTTAATAAACTTCATCGACAGTCTTTACCTTTTCTGACCTCTAATATAAGTAATGGAAACTTGACTGGTGTAACCGACGAAGTCTTATCGACGTTATTTGCTGTTAAACCAGAATTGTGCGAACAAAAGTTCGAATTAAAAGTAAACGATGTTCGGTTCGTTGGGCATCCAACTTTGGTTCCATCTCGTGGATTGAAGGAAGTTAATTCTTCTATGCTTTTTAATATTGTCTTTGCTCTTCAAGCACAAGCAAGCCATTCTATAGTAAAGTGTTATTACGATCTGAGCAAAAGGTTTGTTATACATTACGTTTATAGATATATATGACGCACAGTAGATCACACGTATTATTCCTTTTAGATTAGGCATAGCGTTGAGGCACGAAGAAAAGAGATGTGGTTTTGTAATGGAAGAAATAAAAATTATGGTTTCTACCCATGATGAAGTCGCTACTAGGTACATGGGATTATACTTTATATTACTTTGTCAAAGAAATAATAATTAGAATTCCTTGATATATATTTCTAGGTCTGAAGGTGAAAGTGATTGCGACGAATCACCGTATGAATTAATATTACAAAGAAGTTTACTTGCACGTGATTTAAAGTCTGTATTTAGTAGCCTTAGCACTTCTGGAATAATTAATATCATGATTAATAAATGGATTCAAGTACGTTTCTGCCTCCCACAAAAAGTTCATCAATCCCATAAAAAAGGATTTGTTATTAATCCAGAAATAATAGACAGGCCAGTGTTAAAATAATATTCGAACCTTAAAATAATATATTAAATATTAAATTTTATTTCAGGTGTTTGAATAGCTTGAGACCTTATCATGGCTTGTTGTTACTTATCGAACCTTTAGATTTATTGGATACGCTTCCAATAGATTCTTCTCCAGCGCTTAAACGTCTAATTCAAATGTATAGTCCACTGAAAAGTCTACAAACTTTAGCTGCTGATTCTGATCTCACGCTTACTCAAATTTCTCAATTAACTGGCCATTTAGTATATTGGGCTAAAGCTACTATAATTTATCCTCTTTGTGAAAGCAATGTTTATGTTGTATCGCCAGATGCTGTAATAACAAATCAATTATTAGAAGCATTTTCCGAAGAATTTCCAGGACTTTGTCTTTTACAGGTATCTATGAATTATTATTTGTATTATTGAATATCATTTAAATTAAATATACAACCAAATTTAAATTATAAATTCATCTAGGTGATCAGCGACTTTTCATTACCGACTTCGATAAGTCAAAAATTAAATCCTTTAAATCAATCGCAACAGCAAACGCAATTAGTGAAAATAGTCATATGGTTATTAAAAAATCATTTACTCTTACAATTACATACATATGTACAATATATGCCAACTGTGCATGGTCGAACACCATTGGTAAGTTGAAAGAGATTTGTTTTTTTTAGAATTTATTAATTAAAAATCTATCTTTCGAAGGATATGAAGAATGAAATGAATCATAACTTAAATGAGATCACAGAAAGTGGAAACACGTGGAATTTGAACGATGCTTCAAAAGGAATTCCAACTGATATAAAGGAAGAGTTATCGATGAATCTCCACAAAGAAAATGGAATATATAATTATCAGTCAGAAGATTATGATATTCCATCCGATGATAGAAAATTGCTTGACAGATTATGTCGTTTAGATTATTTTAATGGAGGGCATCACTTAGAAGAAATAATGTATTTAGAAAATATTCGCAGGTCTCAATTACTACAAATTTTAGATAAATTTCGAGATGTATTGATCACGTGCGAATGCGAAGACCCTGCCATAGCCCTATTTTATAGTCAATTTGATTCTTAATAGTCTCATATTAAATTTATTTTTAAATTAGGTATAAATTATATTTTGTAAATATTAATTTAAAATGTTCCAACATATTTGGATGCACGATAAGTTTTATGTAAAAGAAATAAAGCACTTAAGAATTAGTGGAGAGATTATAAGAGAATTTCCCTATATATACATAATTTAACAAAATCTTATTACAGTATCACTATGTCAGTGTCTTCTTATAGAAATTCACTATAGCACAGCCGACTCTAGTACTAGCCGTGCTATGGAATGGTTCAGGATTATAATTAACGTTATTTTGCGATATAAAATTATACTAATATACAGTATTTTTTATTAATTATGTATAAGGAATATATGAATATCATAACTATAGTAAGTAGAAGTAATACAGATGTATATTAATATTTATAAATGTTGTATATATTTTGTGGACTGTCGGAATAGTTTGGTGTTGTGATGCATTATATTTGAAATATTTACAGAGATTTCAAGGAAATAGAAGTGTGAAACAAGTTAAAACCATCTTTGAACCAAACTGAAGGATTTAAAAATTGATAAAGGTATGTATAAGTTAATAGAGACCTGAAATAGGCAAAATTATTGGTACGAAGCCGAACAAGTTAAGTGCCCGTGGAAAAGAGGTTAGCATAATTAGCTATTGAAAGGAACAATTATGGAGTTAATTATAAAATCGTGTTAGAGGACAGTATGATAATTGTGAAAAATTTCCTCACCACCCTATGGGGTATTTACCATGGCGCGTTACCTTTTTTTTTTTATTATAATGGGTGGTTCGCCAATAGCCATATCATCCCATTTTCTAAAATAAAATTAATATTTTTAAATAGAACATAACAAAAACATAACTTTTGTATTCTTAAAGAAATAAAGTATTACATTTTGAAATAATAATAAATAATTTTGAATAATATTAATAACAAAACATATCAAAACATACTTTGAAATTCTATTGAAATGCAATTAATAAAACTTTGAATCTTGTGAAATAGTATTCATAATAAGAATATACTATGCAAGTAAATAAAACTCTATTAATGTATTAAAACATATTGAAAGGAATAAGTTAAATATATATAAAAATTAATGTTTTAAGAAAGATGAAATTAAAAAAATCATCGAAAATCTAGTTCCTATTAAAAGTTTTTAATTTACGATTTTTAGAAGCGATGTCTGTACGTGTTTCCAACTGACTATTATTTACAGTTTTCACATAATCGTTTAATAAAATATTTGAAAAAATTGATAATAATTTAAACCAAATACTTTGGTAAGCTCGACCACAAACGCATGTATCCGAAAATGCTAAATAATGTATGTCTGATTGAACGCTAATATATGTTAATTTACATAAAATATGTTTATGATTTCCAGATTGCAAAAATTGAGATTCCAAATTGCCATCATTTATTATGGCTTCCATTATTGCATACATATGAATAAATGAGGCTATCGCTTCTTCAGTGGGGACAGAAAGGCCCCCTCTTTGTGAGTGATCAAAATATACATCGCCTACAGTTTTACCTTTATCCTCCACAACTAATAAACGACATACATTGCAATTGAATTTTTTATCAACAGAATGGGACCCATAACCAGAAATATAAATTTTATTGGAATCATCTACAACACAATCGGACAAGTATTCGGTATCGAAGATTCCTGAGAAACAAGTCACATCAGTGGGAAGATCACGAAGATCGTTATTATAGTCATCACAAATTCGAAATTTATTTTTGATTTCAGTAAGAGAGAACGAATTTGCCGATTTTGAAAAAATATGTTTTAATCTAATTTTTTTTTTCTGCATGAATTATTTCGTTATATGACACATGATAATTACAACCAGATAAAAGTCTATAATTTCCAAATCGTTTTTCTAATTTTTCGGTTGTAAAATGGAGGGTACTACATTCCTTATAAGCCTTGGACATCTCAACAAAACATTCTCCAGTACACCATTGGCCGATAGAATACCGTGGTACCTTTCGATATCAGTTTCTGCAAAATGCAAACTACAGACGGCAGAATATTTTGATGGTGTCCAATTCTTACGAGGAATAGCAACCCTCCATTTCTCCCGCAATTCCTCATCTTTGGGGAATAAATATATAGAATTGTAATTATTATCTTTTAAGGTACTATCATAATTTCCCTTGCAATTGGGAACACAGCAACGCCGTGGCATTATTAATGAATATGTGAAATTTATAAAAAAAATTTATATAAAACAAAATGTCCAAAAATGCTATAGATTATATTAAATAAGTGTGCTACACACCAAAATCAGGATCTGTAGAGTTAATATAAATAAATGAAACACCTGGATTATTGCTCCGTTGCTCGCATTTAATGGACTTCGGTACGTTAATATTTGAAACATTTGAAAGATAGGCGGGAGACCGGAAGGCCGGTAGATGGAGCCTGTGTAGCTCAGAGGCCGGTGGGTAGTGGGAGGCTGGGAGGTTGGGCTAGGTATATCGAAGCCGGACTCCCGCGGTGTTGCCATTTTACCTTCAGCACGGCTAGTACTGTCCTCCGCTCACTTGAAGTCCCGCGAGACGGCACAGGGGCAAGGGGAGTCGGACCGCCCATTTATCTGTCTTGCTCACTTGCTCTCAGGCAGTCCACATGTGTGTGTAACTGCCGCGACGAATAGCGAGCTAGAGACCAATGTGTGCGTGGGAATACGTGTGCCCCTTCTACTTCTCCCGCATTCCTTCCGCGGGACTTCAAGTGAGCGGAGGACAGTACTAGAGTCGGCTGTGGCTCGTAACGTCGCGTAACGACTAGCGGGACGCCCGGTCGGTAAATACGCGCAAATTGCTGCCACACCGTTTCGACGGTTGAAGGGCGCCACACTTAGTATATCTACTCTTTGCTTTAGGTCCATGGAAATAACATGTGCTATTGATTGTGCCATCTATAAAATCAGTTTGTTTCATCTCCACTATATCCGACTGAATTATATAGTCACTTGGTGTTTTTCAGTTTTACGATTGTAGTGTTTTGTTCGTAATGTCTCACTTTTATCAGAATCGATACATTCGTATGTGTACAGGTTAGATATCTGATGATTTCGAGATTTACAAACGATATTACAAAGGCATTAAATTTATCGTACCTAGCAACATGTCAGAAGTCGGGAATCATGCTTGTGCGTTCTCCATGAAAATACGTTTAACGCTTGCATTATTTGAATTTACTCATTTTGGAGTGAGTACTTGTAGTTAATAGGTAATAGCTTCATTTTTATTCCGATATGTATTTGTTAATCAACGTTCATTTATAACCTTCTCAATATTATTAACGTAATTTTAATTAGCTGATGTTGAGCGTCTTATTGTGTGTCTACTTTTACTAACCTATGATGACAAAAGAGGTCTACTTTTCAACATTTCTAAATGCGTAATATTCTGTACTTTTGTATCGATACTAACTCTAATTTATATCCCGTATCCTTTGTAAAATATCAGAGTATTTTTCGCATAAATATTAATATCGTTTTAAAAAATATTTCGTATGAAAAATTTAGAAATTCTATATATACATGTGTATATGTACATATATATATTCGTATATACGTAGTGTGTGTGTACGTTAATTCTGAATCTCCTATTTTAAAACAACATAATTCTCTTCTTTCTTTATTAAAAATACAAAAGATTTATTGGAACATTATATAATGTATATATATGATCAAAGTTGTTAATTTATTTTTTTTAAAAATATTTTTGTACTTTTTTATGTTTACATTTCTTGCAGTTTTTATTTCTGTAAAATTTCTAGTTTTATACTTATAAATATTTTTATTTCATAATTATGAACATCAATGCAGCAATACAATTATATTAGTGGTATGGATATTCAAAATTTTATTGAAAAATAACCTATTTCTATATTATTTTCACATTATTCATTATGTGTATTGTATTTTCATACTATCATATACAGTATAACCAATAAGATTAGAATCAGCAGCACAATATTTAGTAATAATACAAATTTTACTAATTTTATGTAACAATACAAATAAGTTTCCGATCATCCAGAAACTTGCATGTGTACGAACATGTAAATGTACACGAATGTTATCAAAATATAATATTAGTCTTTTATTTAAACTTTTTGTTACGATGAAAAGAGCAGAAGTGTTCATCGTTACGAATTAATAAACGAATGGATATCAATATGTCAACTTTTCAATTATCGTGTGACCTGTATATGGATTTTTCAATTTTTTTCAGCATAAAAATGTTCATAATGATTGATGTACGACCAAAATTCTATCAATAGATTTTTGTAGAAAATTGTCTACTTGTATGTATTATATTTCATATTGTTTCAAACGATACATGTAATTTAAATAACCAGTCTAATTTTCTGATGTTTTCCAGTAAGAAAGAAGCTTATATATTCCATAAAGCTTCCTTGTTACGGTCATAATGGTTGTTTCAAAATAAATATTAAAATTGTTAAAGAATTTTAAATACTAAGAAATCTGCTTTGATTTTTATTATTAAGAAATACATTCTTAATTATTTTGTTTACGCTACGTTACTTACGTTATTTATTCATATTATTTTGTTCTATTTTCACAAATTACCAAAGTTTATATGATAACATAAGTTGTTTAAGCTCTTAGGTATTATTTTATTTTAATTAACACGTTCACTGTCCCTATCAATAGGAATGGGCATCAAGAAATAGTAAGTCTGTTATATCAAGTTTAGCCTGACCCATATGCGTGTCATGAAACTCCTGAATTAAATTCATCTTGATCCACATGTGGGTCACTGAACAGTGAATGAAGTCCACAGAATATGAGTTAAAATTTTATTATCAATACAATGAAGAAATCTTGGTATTGCTCTATAAAACCTTGTCTTAATAGATCCTTCACTCATTGGTCAAAGTTTTTATACAATTTTTGCAGCTTTTGAGTAAACTCTTTCAGTGTTCTATCAGATTTTGCTTCATTCGTACAAAGTTTTGGTACTGGTAAGATATAGCGAGCAATTTTGTGAAATATTCGTAGAGGACATATAGATATCTGTAATCTTAATCACACTTTCCATTTTTGTAACATTATCTCTATGTCTTTATCAGAACATTGTAGCAGGCAGACAATTTTCTTATTAGAACAATAGTTAACATCTCAAAAATTAAGTATTGGAAGAATATGAAATCTTTAACACTTATACTCACAAAATATAAAACGAAAAATTGACTTTTTTGACTCTCTAAATAAACCTCACCCTTTAAATTTCTTTCGTCGATAATTACACATTTTGTAAAGTATTGTTTTTTGTTGTCTATTTACAGGATATATAAATAACGAAGATGTCGGTACATTATAAATTTAAATCCACTTTGGATTATGACACTGTGTCCTTCGATGGATTACATATTTCCGTAGCAGATTTGAAAAAGGCTATTTTCCATCAAAAGCGTATAGGAAAGAATACGGATTTTGACTTGCAAATAACAAATGCGCAAACTAAAGAAGGCAAATATCAAACATTCTTCAAAATTATAACAACTGAAATACATCTTATATGCTAGTAAGCAAATGCGTAATATTAAAATTACTTTTTTCAGATTACACAGATGATAATGCGTTGATTGCAAAGAATACTAGCCTTATTGTTGCTAGAGTTCCATTAACGGTGCAACAGAAACGATCGTGGGATAGAAATGAAACTCCTTCGTTCAGTAACTTAAAAGACGAAGCCAGTCTTGGTCGAGCTGTAGATCTTACTAGGCTCGATGGCTCTGAAGAAGATAAAATTCGAGCGATGATGACTCAGTCGACACAAGACTATGACCCATCAAAGTACATAAATTTACAAGCTGAATTTGTTTCGTAGTTTATATTGTCAACGTTTTATTTTGTACTAAAGTTTAATAAATAATAAATATCTTCGATAGTTACATGAAGATACGTGGAGCGAATCAAACTGGTGACGTACCTGCAAATTATCGTTGCTACAAATGTCATCAGCCTGGTCATTGGATAAAAAATTGTCCGCTTGGAATAAACCAAGAACCTATAGAAATTAAGAAAAGCACAGGTATTCCTAGGAGTTTTATGGTACCGGTAGAAGGACCACGAGTTCCTGGTGCTATGATGACGCCTACAGGTCAATACGCAGTTCCAGCCATTGATCAGTAAGTTTTAATACAAAAAGTAACAAGTAAAATCAGGTTTAAATTGTCAATATTCATCATAGTATTTCTAGCTGCGATAAACTGTATTTAAGTTTGATATTAATATCAGTATTTGTTGTATCTTTAGTCAAGCTTACAAAGAGGGGAAAAAAGAACGACCTCCATTCTCGCAAGATCCAGAACCCGCTGTGGAAAAGCCAGAAATTCCGGAGGACCTATTATGCAACATTTGCAAAGATCTTTTAACCGATGCAGTAATGATACCATGTTGTGGAAATTCATTTTGCGATGAATGTAATTTTTGTTATTTTGTATATTTTTTATTATTATCATTTAATGTAGTCCTTCAATACATTTTTATTACTTTTACATACTGTGCGATAGGTATCCGTACATTCTTATTAGAATCTGAAGAGCACGAATGTCCAGACTGTAACGAGAAAGATGTTTCGCCAGAAACGCTAATACCGAACCGTTTTCTGCGAAATGCTGTAATGAACTTTAAGAACGAGACTGGGTATGCCAAAAGGCAGACGTATAGACAGCCTATGCAAACGAACAGACAGCCTGTGATGCAAACGGAACAACAAAAAGCTGAACAAGCTTCGAATCAAATTAAAACTGTCCAAACAGCGAGTGCCACAGATACACCCTCTCAAGAATGTGCAGAATCGCAATCAGCAAATATTGAATCTGCTTCGCAACAATTTTCAGCCAGTAATATACAACCACAAGCAACAAGTAAGTACATATCTTTGTTTATATAATATTTTTCTTATATTTTCATATCTTTCTACACGAGGGAAAGCTTTTTTCAAGTATACAATCGGAATGATTTCTGCTGTAAAATCCAAAGTACGCCAAATTTCTTTATAATACTTGTATTATTAAACTATTACGTATTATGTATAATAAAATGAGTTTTTTTTATTTTATTGACACTTCTTAACTAATAATTTCAAATGTCTCTTCTTATTTGTTATTAGTTATTACTAAAACTGTATATTAGAAAGCTAAAGATTGAAAAGTGTAAATAATAATATAAGAATACTTAATTTGACTATTTCAAATCAAATATAAAACATGAATTGAATTGTACTAGTAGGAATAATTCAAGAAAACTAACTTTTGGGATAGTACTTAAATTTTATTTATGCGGAATGTTAATTATGCAAATTTATATTTAAAAATTGAAAAAATAATAAAATAGTACTTGACAGTATTTAACAGATGTAAAAATGTTAAAAACAAGCAGCTGTTATACTTGTTAAATAATTAATTGGTGGTTCCATATAAATAAATAGTAAATTAAAAAATCGATTTTGATTTGCGTATAAAGAGACGTATGAAAAAAGGAGGAATTATTTTTATAACGTGAATTTTTGTCAAAAAATTATTTTTTGTTTCAAGTCGCCGAATAGCGACGCCATTAAGGAACATATACGACAAATTCGGTTTCAATGTTTTCCTTGTCATAACAATATACATCACGATTATTTTGCAGAATTTTGACAAGTTTAATTATTGTAGAAACTTACGATATAATATAGTTCGTAAGCTACGTTCAAGTTTATTAAATCAGCTGATATTGTCTACACTTAACCTCAAATCAGAGATAGTTTACGGCAACGATGGGTGTAAAATTTAAAAATGTTCCGATGTTCGACAATATGAAACGGAACGTTCGGATCATTATACGACGTATTATTTATTTTTAATAGCTCTTCCTGAATCAACATCAGAATCTGATTTGCAAAGTGATTCCGTGACAAAGTTGACTACTGACGAAGAAACAGAGGTACCACCGCCTCCAGGAACAGAGCCGTTACTTCCAATACCTGCTATTGGCAGCTCACCGGAAAGGGACAGAGAAAGAAGTGATCCTCCGTGTCGTGAAAAGAAAGATCGTGATAATGAATATTTGGGAGAAAGACAACCGAGAGAACGCAGACGAAGCTTTAGCAGAGATGGTCATCGTGACAGGTAATAATTTTCTACCCAGAACATCAAAGTATGGTAGTTTTATCGAGTTATTAAATTTATAACAATATTTACATTACGTAAAACATGCTTGGTAAAACAAGAAATAGGAATTTATGATTATGATTATGATTTTGGCATCGATCTGTATCGTATTATTTAATTTTAATTATATCATTCTTTAGAAGTGGTGAGCGTGGTCGTAGAATGGAAAATTTACGACCAGTAAGTAGAAGACGGTCCTTGTCCCCTAGACACTCTCAGCACAGCGACTACAGTTCTCAGGGAACGCCATTGCCACATTTAATGAACCCACCTCCGACAAAGAATTATCAAGGACTGCCACCCGATGATGGACATTATCCATCCAGTATGCATTATGATAGCGCCATACGTAGATCAACTGAAGATCGTCCAGGCACTCCGACAGTAAGTGTGAAATATCTTATAATAATATGACAGAAAATATAAGTAAAACATATTTCACTGCATTTGTTTTCAACTCTCAACTGGTACGATATTTTATTGTTATTCGAATGGTATTACGGATGAATTTTACACCCACACACACTGTAATTATAAATGAAAACTATATTCTCTTTAAAACACAAGTTTATCTATAGAAAAGTTTAACTAATCATAATTTCTCTCCGTTGAACTTTCACCCATAAAATAAAAATGCTTTATAGAGTTTTTAAAGAATGTTCCTAGAACGAGTGAGATTTAATTGGTAAATACCAATTTTCATAATTTTTAGGTTGATGAACCACACTTACATGTGCCTTCTTCTGGCAACCAGCCACCTCTTTTACCTTTCCCACCAGGAGAAGATCGTATCCCACAGCCAAGCTATAATCAGCCCCCACCTAACGTACAACCACATAATCCGCCTTTATTACCAGATCCATACATGAGTCATAGAATACCAATATATCCTCATCAACAAGGATCTCACTATGGACCTCCAAGATATGAAAGACCTCCTTATCAGCAACAAGGATACAGACCATCGCAACCGCCTCGGAATTACAATGGTCCGCCACGTCCAATCAGGGGATTGCATCATCGTAAGTAACACACAAACAAACCTATTCGAAACATGTAAATTACATTATCCAATGTATATTTTCAGTTAGTTATAGAGGATTACAACCACCGCCACCTGGATTGAGTAGAAATATTCATAATGGCAATCCACCTGGGTACGTTTCTGTGTTTTAGTAAAATGGTATTGATAACGTCATCATAAGTAGTTAAATAAATTTACTGATATTGTTATTATTTTTTAGTATAATTGATGATCCATTAGAAGCTTTTGAACGAATGCTCAGAGAAAAAGACGAACGCGATAGGCGACTTGGAAAACACAGAAGAAGAAGTAGAACACGATCGAGATCTCGTAGTTATAGCAGGTCTAGATCACGTTCGTTTGGCCGTAGATCACCATTTCCGGCTCGTTTAAGTCGATCTAGAAGCCCTCCTTCGAAGAGAAGGTCCTCGAGATCACCACTACCTCTTAGAGTGCGAAGCCGCACTCCGAAACGGAGATCGAGAAGCGGAAGTTTCTCAATTAGCAGGTAAATTAAATTATTTCTAATATTTGGAATTAATGTTTCAAATGTGTAATCATTTACAGATCTAGATCGTATTCACGTAGTCAATCTCCCAGATTATCTTTGTCACGAGATAGAGACAGAGACAGAGATCGGGAACGAGATCGTGACCGTGATCGCGATCGTGATCGTGACCGTGATCGTGATCGTGATCGTGATCGTGATCGTGATCGTGAACGAGAACGAGAGCGAGAACGAGAGCGAGAACGGGATCGTGAACGTGAACGTGATCGTGACCGTGACCGTGATCGTGATCGTGATCGTGACCGTGATCGTGATCGTGATAGAGAAATACTTTCTAGATATCGATCACCAGCTAGATCACCTCTAAGGTACGTATACATGAAATGATTGTTTTTATTAGTTTACTTAAATTGAAGTTAACCAAGTCTCTATATAATAATAAATGATATTTTCAGATTCCAAAGAGAGAGGGATCGTGATAGAGAACGACCAAGATCGCGCGAGCCTAGGGAAGGATATAATAGTTATTACAATGATTCGCCAGCGCATGATTATCAATTCAGAGATCGAGAGCGTGATTTACCTCCTAGAGAGAGGCCAATACCGAGGTATCCGATAAGGAACCAACCAACTCAACATAACATACCACCTTTGCTGCCACATCTAGTCACTGGAGGTCACCCACCGCCGCTTATGTCATTGGGACCTCCGCCTACGGACAGGAAAGACTATTATGATTCCTACAACAGGTATTTCCGCCTCAATAGTACTTTAATTCATGTACACGCTAAGCAGACAGTCTACCGTATCTTATGCCGCTGTCCCGGTTAAGACCGCTCCGGAGTAATGATGAATGTAAATGAAAGCGAAATGAGAAGATTTATGGTGTTTAAAGAAAATGTGTATGCAAATACGTTTCTTAGATAACATATACATATATGTATATATATGAACATATGTATACATATATATTTACACTACTTACACATGCACGCACAGAAATAGTTGTATAAATTACCAAGTTAGCACATTGCAGCTTCAAACGAAAATGTAAGTAATTTCTTCTTTTTTTTTTTTTTAATTTTAATATATCATAAAATTGCAATAAAATATATCGTGTAATATGGAATATGTTATTATTTAAAAGAAAATGGCCATTGAAAGAAATGTGTTAAATTTGTTTTATTACAAAGGAAGAATATAACATTTATGCAACTATTTAAAGAAAGTTAAATCTTTTGCCGTCGTAAAGTGATATGTTAATAATAGTGTGCTGTGAGATTTTCTATTATAGATTGATACGAAGATAATATTAGGATGTAAAGTTTTTCTTTAATTTTCCGTACATGACTGGGAACCATTTTAATTTCATGCATCTGCATTTCGATAAATTGTTTGATTATCTAGTAATAATATATTATTATGTTTTATTGCTAAGTATTTTTGGTATCAAGGAGTTTGTTATGACAAACTGATTACGATTGCGATGAAGTAATTAGGATATAATCATTAATTTCGAAATCAATTTATTTGATTGTAAATAATATAACGACTGTTTTATAGATACGTTATTAATTTTCAAAGCAGTCGTTATTTTGTTTACAATCCGGCTCATGGATTTATAAAATCATTGCTGACTTGTTTCTTTGTAATTGTATTAAATGTGCATAAATCACTCATTAAACTTGAACGAAGATCTCACTGGAAATATGACAATAAAAGAAAACGCACGTTAATACTTTTTTAATTATTTATCGACTTGACGTACATACTCAATGCAAGTTAATACAAGGAGTGTGTGACCGGGTGCGTGTGCCTCTTTTTATACATACAGTATGTGTATTTTCTGTTGTATTTTTTTCTGTATTTTTATTAAAAAATACTGTGTATATTATGAACAAATTTCATAAAAGTACTTAGATAATTTTTGAAAATAATATTTCATTTCTCTGGATGATTCTCATAAATTTACCACTCTATTCATAATTTACACAAACTTTAGTACAACGATTCTCATCGTTGATAATAGACTTCGATTTTAGTTGAAATTTTATATAAAATCATTTTATCTGTTAAATGTGTTTCTTTAAGTTCTCTTGAAAATCAATAATATTTTTTTATAAAGAATTGTAAAGAAATTTTTGATAATCGAAATTCAAGTGACTCAGATTCTATTACGTGTAAATTATAAATAGAGTTGCATTTATTTTTTACGAATAGGTCCAGTTTTGTTTCTGAATTGTTGAAGTCCATTTCCACTTTAATGTACTTAATATTTTAGATGTCTATATTGGCAGTTTATTCCGCTTTGATGGAAATGTTTAAAATATTTTTATCAGATATTATTGTGTCAATACTATAAGCACCTCTAGGAGAAATTTTATTTCATACATTACGATACCTATTAATTACAGATATATACTACAAAACAGAATTAATGAGTTAGCGTATCGGAGGAATTACAATTAACAATGAAAAGGCTGGTGATATACATTTTAAAATGATATGTGCTTTTTTAAATAACATAATAACTCAGGTTTTACATGTAAATTGGAAAACATTTAATCGAAAGGATCCAACGTCTATGAAAACTAAATAAGATGTTTACGTTTGTTTATAACCTAAATACATAATTTACACATATTTGTAATCGATTCAGTAAATTACAACATGATCTTGTAATCTGATTTGATGAAATGATCTTGTCTTTAACGATCCTTTCTAGTTTTATGTTCTTCGATATAAATTCTGCAACTGTTGTCAAATTATCTTATGATAAATGTATTAATTTGCATCATCATGATTTAGAAAACTGATACAACTTAGAATTAAATTAAACATTGTATTATCCGTAATAATTTATCAATCCTTACTTACATAACTGAGCAGATAATTGAAATAATTATAAATCTCATTAGATGTTTATAACTCATTGATATAAATTCATGTGGTAGTATCGTTGAAAGTATCGATAATTAAAAATGATGTGCAAATGATGTTACACTAAATATAATCAGCTTATGTAAGTACGCCATTAAATTAGAAAAATTTGAAACAATTTTTTAAAACTAGCCAAAGAAACGATTAAGTTATGTTGCGTTAATAGTAATGGGACAAATGCGAATAGACAATTATGTCTCGCATTGTTTAGGAAGCTGTGATATATTTACAAAATTCTATCAAATTAAAAAAAGAATTTATTAGCATATTTATTAATTTTTACTGTGATATTAACATTTAGATTTTCATTAAAAGAATTATATAAAGTTCATATGAAACTAGTCCGTCATATGTGTTAAACATAATCATCTCGAATCGCTGTGCTTCGAGGTAAATTGTTGCTTTCACCAAAATAGGTTGACAATATCCAGAAATTAAATTACGTTTATACGTTTTGATACCTATGTAAACGCTGAGTTTTATACTTGTTTATAGCGGGATAAGTATTTTTAATACTGTATTTCTAAATGTTACGTTTCCCTTTAATATCATTATTGTATAAATTTGCAAAGAATGTAATTTTGTATACGCGACATAAGGAAATACTTTTATGAAAATAACACGAATACCTTTGTTCACATTCTTTTTTTTTAATTCGTTTCATTTCTATGTTGTTGAATGAATAATTTTACCATTTGCATGCATATAAGATATTATTTGTATGTACATGATGATATTTACGTTATGAAATATACAAATAACCAAAAAAAAAAAAAGTGAAAGAAGAAGAGAGAAGCAAGGAAAAAGTGTATATGGGAAAGGACCTGCTTTTGGAGATTGTGGAAGCTACCCAGCTGATTGACAGATCTGCATGGTTTCTGAATCAGGTGAATTCAGGGCCAAATCAACATTTGTAACATAAAAAAATACATTTCCTTTTGTCTATTTTCAGTGCTTGAAGTAAAAAGTGTTACAGAGTACGTTTCCTGCCCAAAATCAAAATTTAGATATATATTGTATACTATATTTACTGATTTGCTAGTATTTATATGGTTTGGTAGCATTTTTGGTGAGTAAATTTATGTAATATTAATGTTTGGACGAATACAATCGGTATAATTCTATATTTTTCATTGTATTCAAAATGTAATTGAAGTTATAAATGTTGATTTATTTATTTTTCGTTTTTAATGATATATAATAGACAGTAACTTTAATCTGTTGCTACTGAGTAATTTTATTTATTCATCTTTTCAGCTTTAGTATAATTTTCACACAGAGGTCTCAATTTTTCCATGGCAGTTACTTGATAAGAAAAGAAATAGACAGAATAGTTAGCTTAAATTTTATTTCACAACGACGTTTAATTTAAAAATAATTGTAACACTTTGTATTCAGAATCAAACACAATTTACATGTAATCAAACATGAATAATATATTTTTACGAGTATTTTTATTTAAAAGTACACAAATCTACAAAGTAATAAATACATTTAATGTAGATTTATAGGGAACAAATTAAATGTATAACAACTTTTTAGTTTTATTTTAAATTTTAATGATCTATAAATTAACAAGTTTACATGGCATTCATTTTTATAGTGTAAAACTTACATAATGCTTTATATAGTGACTAAACAAATATATTAACGTTATTTTATGAATTTTTTGTCAACAGGTATCCTGGACCATCCACGCAACGTTTTGGCAGTCCTTTACGAGACGTGCCCCACAAAAAAAGATTTGACGACGTTGCCCCCCCTGGTACAGAGGGTTACTACGATCTTTCACCACCGGGCGTTGAACATTCTGATAGATCTCTGCGCGATGATCGTGATCGACGCGTATTAAGGGAACAGGAAGATCGTGAACATTCCCTGAAGGATCATGATGTCGAAGAACGAGACAGACTATCTATAAGAGATGACAGGTAATTGAATCACATACTATAATCATTTTTAAATCTAATTTTCAAACAATATTAAGAAATTAATGAATTAATAAAGTTATATGGTTATTAATTTTAAATAATATTCAATAGATCCATGTAAAATCTCGACCCTTAATAGGGGATTCCAGAGGCCAAAATAAGACGAAAATCAAGAATACCAATTTGTTGATGGAGGCTTCGTTAAAAAGTTATTAACAATTAAATTGAAAACTTTCGAATTGTTTTGGAAAAATTATTTTCGGATGCGGGGGACAATTATAGTCATTTTTGGTGAATAGACATATCCCCGAAATGTTGCGCATTTTCGAGAAAAAAATTCAGAAAGTGGGCAAATTTTTTGACAAAATTGAAAACTTTCGAATTGTTTTGGAAAAATTATTTTCGGTTGCGGGGGTCAATTATAATCATTTTTGGTCATTACGCATACCCCCGAAATTCTACGCACTTATGAGAAAAAAATTCGAGAAGGTGTGAAATTTCTCGACAAAATTAAGAAATTTCAAATCATTCTGAAAAAATTATTTGTAGCTAGGGGGGTTAATTACAATCATTTTTGGTCAATAGACATACCCACGAAATCCTATCCACTTTTGAGAAAAAAAATTCATTACCAAATGTCTGACCATATATGCCTGATTCCACTGAAATTTCATGCGAATCTTTAAAACATCATAACTTCTGAACGGATTGGAGGATTTTAAAGTTAAAAAATGCAAACAACGCGTATTTTGGTGCAGAATACGTATACATTTCAAGAATATTCGAAAAGTTACTCCTTAACCACGTAAAGTGTGGAAAACACCCATAAAAATGGTCCAGTTTTCAAATGGTCGTATCTCTTACAATAGTGAATATATTAAATTGAAATTTTGGGAGGAAGTAGAGTTTATGGATACCTACAAAAATGTATTAAACAAGTTTTCCGTAGAGCGTCAAACAAAATTATTAAAAATCAGAAACGAATTTCTAAGAGAAATTGACAGGGGGGTAGGTGCCTAAATTTTTCGGCGCATTAAAAAGTTTCAAACCATTCTTGAAAATCTCGAAGACGCTAGATTTGTATAACTGGTATTTGTCAAGAGTATGTTTTATGCTTAGGTATTGGGGAAAAAATTCGAGAACATGTAAAATTTTTCGACGGGAAAAAAAAATTTCAAATTGTTTTGGAAAAATTATTATCGGTTGCGGGGGTCAATTACAATCATTTTTGGTGAATAGACATACCCTCGAATTCCTAACCATTTTCGAGAAAAAAATTCAGAAAGTGGGCAAATTTTTCGACGGAAAAAAAAAATTTCAAATTGTTTTGGAAAAATTATTTTCGGTTGCGGGGGTCAATTACAATAATTTTTGGTGAATAGAAATATCCCCGAAATCTTGCGCATTTTCGAGAAAAAAATTCCTTACCAAAAATCTAATTAGGGAGACTAAATTTAACGAAAAAAATTTCAAATCGTTTTGGAAAAATTATCTTCGGTTGCGGGGGTCAATTACAATGATTTTTGGTCATTACACACAACCCCGAAATCCTACGCACTTTCGAGAAAAAAATTCATTACCGAAAATCTAATTAGGGGGACTAAATTCAACGAAAAAAAATTTCAAATCGTTCTGAAAAAATTATATTCGATTGAGGGGGTTAATTACAATGATTTTTGGTGAATAGACGTACCCCCGAAATCCTGCGCATTTTCGAGAAAAAAATTCAGGAACATGGACAAATTTTTTAGCGAAATTAAAAATTTTACAATCCTTCTAAAAAAATTATTTTTAGTTGCGGGGGTCAATTACAATGATTTTTGGTGAATAGACATATCCCCGAAATGTTGCGCATTTTCGAGAAAAAAATTCAGTACGAGCGGAACTTTAAATGTTAATAACTTTTTAACAAAGCCTCTATTAATAAATTGATATTCTTCATTTTCGTTTTATTTTGGCCTCTAGAATCCCCCATTAAAATTTTTCCCTGATATAAGCATTACGTGGACACTGGTTGGGCAAAAAGTAATAAAAAGAATTATTTTTTTGCAGAGGGCGTGAACGCGACGATCGTTTGCGCGAAAGAGACGAACGAGATCGAAGAGTTTTAAACAGAGATCGCGAAGATCGTGAGAGACCAGCGTTATCCAGAGATCATGATGACAGACCGCGAGAAAAGGATGAACGCGACAGAAGGGAAAAAGAAAAAGAGCGAGATGACAGGCATAATACTCGTGATCGTAGAGACGACGACAGACATCTCGAGAAAAAAGATTATGACAAAGATCGGTGGGTATCTTTCTTAAATAACATTTTATACGTCGATGTTATGTGTAATACTTAATACAGAATGTCTTAAAATCCTGTAAAAAGTCAAAATATTCAACTAGTCTCGACAAAATGAAAAGAAGCGTGTTTTACCATTTCATTTACACTTAGTAAGTTCATCAATGACTCACGTAGTAATACACGCTTTAAGCGTTTGCAAACTCTTATATTTATTGATTTCAGAACGCTACACGATTTTCGAACATTTTTTCATATCTCAATGTCATAGAAATATAATTTTACATTATCGAGTTAGATTGATATAATTTTGTTGTTTAAAAATGTCAAAAACTGCTATGTTATTTCAGTTACAGGGATGAAAGGGACCGTCACAGGCAGGATGATAAGAGTCGTACACGCGAGAAGGACAGACGTGAAAGGGATTATGACGCTGAGAAAGACAGGGACCGACACGAGCGTTACGAAAGACGCTCCGTGGAAAGGAAAAAGACCAGGAAAAGTCCAACTCCTTACACGCAGAAAGGTAGGACAGATGCAAAAGATATATCACCGGAACGCATAAAGAAAAAGGAAAAGGATCACGAAGAGAAGAGCGAGGAAAAGAAAAAGGAGAAGAAACTCAAAGACAAGAAAAAGAAGAAGGACGATGAGAAGGAGAAGAAGAAGAAGAAGAAGAAGGACAAGAAATCGGGCCAGAAAGAGATCACGAAAGACGAGCCTATTAAATCTGCTGAGCACGAAGACTTGATGGTAGAGAATAAACAAGAGGTTATGTCACCCACGAAAACCGATGTCGTGAAACCTGGCAGCGAGGATGAAAATATTGATAATAGAATAGATTGCCTTCCTACGGATGTTATTATGGAAGAGTCGATCAAAGAAGAATTTGAAGATAAATCTCTAGCTATAAATCCGGAGCCTCCAGAATTTAACGAGACCAGTCCAGAAAGAATCGATCACACAGAATTTGGAACGAATCCTCCTAACCCTAATTTCAAACCAATCCCAGAGTTAAAATCAGAAATAAAACCCATTGATAGCCTTTACAGCGGACTGGACGATGCAGAAATAAATACTGTGATCACAGAGAAGTATTCTTTGCTGTCAGAGAACGAAACGGAAGATAAAAATACTCTATTGGTGGAAAAGTCGCCCAAAAAGGATGAGTTTTTAGCTCCCATGCCGGAACTGTCTAAATGGGAAAGAGACGATACCATAGAAAAGTCAGACGAAGTGTGCGAATCGCCCATAGAAAAAATACAACTGGATGAACCCAAGTCGACAAAAGTAGTTACGTCGGAGGTGTTAAAACGAGCCGAAAACGCAATTTTCCAGAAAGCTATTAACGCCATTAGACCCATCGAGATTAAAAAGATTAGTGAGAGTAGAAAAGTATTGTATCAGAATCCAGAGCCGAAAGTACTTGAAATCGAACCTAACAGAGAGCCAAGGAAGAGCGTGAACGTCACCATAAACGTTGGACGGAATGAAAGAAATGTAGAAATTACAGAACCGGTGAAGAAAGCTAAATTGGACAGGACGAAGTTTAAACCAGTCCCTGAGACTTACTCGCCTACAAGGCTTTCTGCTAAGGAAAGGCTGGGTGAAAAAGTGGAAGAAAACAAAGAAAGGAAAATCAGCCCTATTAAAAGTTTCCTGGATAGACGGGAGACGAAAAGTGAAACTCAGTCTAGAAGTCGATCTCCTAGAAGTGGCAGAGACAAGAGAATTTCTCCACTTTTAGATAGACGCGTTGATTCGTCATTGTCATTGTCAGGAAACGAACGCAAGGTGTTCCTCGATGATCGAAAACGGGATAATAAAGATCGAGGCGATCGTTCGAAGGACAGAAACGATTTTCGAAGCGAACGTCATGATATGAGGTCCGAACGAGATCCAAGAATTGATTCTAGAGGTGACTTTAGATCGGGTCGAAATGATTCTAAAGGTGATAAAATGGACAAAGATAGAGAGAAGGAAAGAGATAGAGAAAGAAGAGGGAGAACGCCAACCTGCACGTTTAAAAGAAGCGAAATTCCAAAGGTAGGTCTTATGAAAGGTAAAGACGACGAGGATGATAGAAGAAGAGATAAAAAGACGAAAGATGATAAGAAGAGGAAGAAAGAGCATCGAAGTAGAAGTAAGTCTAAAGAACATAAAAAACGAAAGGACAAGAAGCATAAAAAGGATAAGGAGAAGAACTTGGAGAAGAAGCAAAAGCATAAAGATAGTCTTGCTTTGAAAGAAAAGCCAGAGACTAATGAAACTAAAATAAATTATGAGAATCCTGAGCCTCCGGTTATAGAGTCTGTGAAGAAGCAAAGGAAGAATCCAAGACTTGTTTCCGATCGTAAGCGCAGTATGCTCGACGAAGCTAGTTTCGAGCCTGATTATAGTGCTTCAGATTCAGAGTCTGACGGCGAGGATGGGAAAATAATGCCGCTACCTGTCAAGAAACTAAAAATTGACGAGCCAGATATGGACAAGGAAGTTGAAATAAAAACTTTCAAGAAACGATCGAAGTCTACGAGCAGCGAAGATTCGTCCACCAGTTCGGACACTTCGAGCACCGATTCGGACAGTTCGGACGAGTCGCACAAGAAAAAGAAGAAGAAACACAAGAAGCATAAGAAAAAGAAATCTGTAAAAAGGGACAGCAGCTCGGATTCCGATTCTTATTCAGACTCGTCGGACACGAGTAGCGACGAGGAGAAACACAAAAAGAAATCAAAAAAATCAAAGAGTAGAAATAAACAGGCAAAGAAGAAGAAAAAGTCGAAGCACAAATGATATCGCTAAATGTCTGTGTTATTTAAAAGATTTAATTCTGAGAGGAACGTTTTTTTTTTTTTTTTGTTAATGCATTTTAATGTAAGATTCCCTACCAGAATTATTTAAAAATTATATGCACCAAAACAATATGAAACAAAGTAGATCTTATACCGTATTTATAATAGTTTAACAGTTGTCAAAGTTAATTTGAAACTGACATTATTGACTCATTACTTATTATTAATAGCCGGTACTTTTCGAATACAAATATTCAACAAAAAAAAGAAAATTATTTGCAAAGTGACGCGCGAACATTTAATTTGTTTTATTTAATTTTCAAATGTTATTAAGGCCTTTACGTATAATTGCCCGTATTTCAATTGCAACAATTAAACGCTGTAAGTAAATTTATTACAGTAAGTGATGTATATTATAGCATTCAGTAGATAATGATATCATTAAGCAATCTGGTACAATACTTTTAGACAGCAACAGCAGTTATATTTAAGATCTCCAATATCTCAGCATTATATTGTACTTTCGTAATGTAATGTCAATATGTAAGATGTCATGAAATAAAAAGATGAAATTCTTTTAACTTATTTTTATTCTTGTTGTATAAAACATTGTACACGTGTGAATGAAAATATGTGTTTAAAAAATTACAATTTCAATTAATACTTTTTAAATTTTAATTTGTAGATATAATTATACATATTTATGTATTTTTCAAACTCTTTATGGTTTCCAGTATGCTACAGAGCAAAGGTAAATCTTTGCTATTGTCGCTTTCCTGTACTCCTAGACTCTGTGCGAGTAAAGCTTTGTTGAGAGGTTGTTTTGACAAGTTGCATTCTAAAATACAACCATTAATTTTCATTTTTGTAATCTGTTGCGCAGCATGTTGAGCGGAAGTTTATAATACCTGATGTAAATACGGTGGAGCTATATTTGTACTCCATCCAATCTAAATATTCTCGCACAAGTTCGTTTAAAAGCATAATGTCTTGAGACGGCTTTGGAAGCTTTACTGTATTTCCTTTGTTCGAATTATCCAATAGTTTTATGACTTGCGTACACATCGCAGCTTTTATTCTGCCTAATTCTCCGTCGACTTTAAGCGATTCTCTTACAGCTACAGTGATAAATCGACTGATTGTAATGTTTCAAACGTTTTAAGGCAAACGATAAGTTACTTATTAATAATTTGAGGGAAATGTGTCATATATAGTATAATAATGAATATGTGTTGGTATTAATATTCAGTTTTTAATCCTTTTCCTCCTGTAATATTTATTTCATATTTTACGTTGATTTTATTAACTTAAATATGTACTGAATATTCCTTATTAAATACTATATAATTTAGATTCTTTTATATAGCTAATTGTGTAATAATAGAACTTGTATAGCGGTACTAATTACTGTGTAATCTAGAATTCGTTGGTTCCTAAATTATTTACAACAAAAATATTAATAATTCAGACATAGAATAGAAGTTTTTATATTTGAACGAAATGGTGTACAAACACAAATGAGTAATAGAAATTTATATGAACAAAATAACAAAACATCTCGCAATACAGACGCTTATAAATTACCAATGTTTAATTCATAGATACCATTTATTAAATCCTTTTCGGTCGCCATTTTTATTTCCAGATTTCTAGATAAAAACAAACTAAAGACGAAAGAAGTTAGACAAGAATAAATACGGGTAAATAGTGTTTGAAATGTTATTTTGTTTAAAATTGCATCATAAACAATACAAGATATAGATGGCTAAAAATTGAGAAATGATGGCGGTCGGTCGGGCAACTATTCTCTGAATTAGTATGATAGGCAAATAGGTTCTAATTGTGTGCAAATTATGTGAGTTGAGAAGTATGAATTATTCGCGTTTTTCTGTCGAGTTAAAGTTGTAAATAATTTGCATTAACTGTATAGTTCCATTTATTAGAATGAGAACTTTTTGTGTTTGGTTTTCCAGATCCTAATTTTGGAAATCAGGCCTCGATGTATCGTATGGTTGGTAATTAATTTGAATAATGTAAAAGTATCTTGATTTTAGAATGATATCGCCATCCATCAATATGATTCTAAAGTCAAGGCATTTACGTTGTTCTAATAAGTCTTTGTTCATTCGTTTTGTATCCGAGGCATCCCTCGGGTTCGAAATCCAAGCTTCGTGAAACTTCGGCCCTTCCCCCACTCCGCCGCCCAATTCGCGAGCGTTACCGAGCACAGCCGAAGGGCCGTCATTCGCGCTTCGAAAATTAACCTAGCAAGACGTGTCAAGACGTATCGGCGTCTCGCGACCGAGGTGCGTAATTCTAACCTGTTGATCGTTTCATTATTACTACTCGCGTTTTAATTACGATCTCTTGCAATACGACTTCGACTCAATCATTACTTAATTATAATAACCGTTTATATACTTTAATGCATCTTTATTTCGTTTCTGTTACAGTCTCTTATTGGAATTCGAAATACAAGACGTGTTGGCGTTTCGCGACCAACGAAGTACGTATTTCCAACCTTTTGATATTTCCTCATTGTTATCAATTATTGTTTAATTATGATTTAATTCGTATTCTATTTCTGTTGCAGTCCCTGATTGAAATTCGACGCCATGGGAAGTTTTATTGGCGCGTAAACGATACCATGATAGAGGGCAGGCAACTCGACAAATTTTGGAGGGAATATTGGTAACGTTTAAACAATTATAACAAAAATTAACATCCATATTAATATTTATACATTTTTATCGCTTAATCACGTTATTCGTTGCAAGCATGATCTTAATTTTTTAATCGGTCGTTGTTAAGATAAAATATTAAAATCATTAACAAACTTTTTATCTACTTCGATACATATCGAAGTATACAAAAATGGCGTCGGTAGATATGAACAATAAATTGGAATAATTTACATTTAACTGTATTCTGATCGCGATTGAATATTTCCGACTGTTATTTATTTAATTGATCGTTCATATTTCTTTATGAATTGTTGTAATTGCAATTTCCATATATATTTCGATACAAGTTTCAAAAAACGTAGCAACTGCGAAGTTGGAATATGCTATTCAAGCATAAATAACCAACGAACTTTAATTGTTGCAAATTTCGGAATATTCATAAAAATTACCGGATATTCTAACGTTCGATAAAGTAAACATAATCATGCTTACAACTCTAACTATGAAACATGGTGATATTTATAAATTGAGTAATTACTTGTACGTAATTATTTTCGTAGATAATATTTTATCGTTGAAATTCTCATTGAGAATATTTCGCCTTCGTGGCATTGAAAGTTTACGTGGCAAACAATCTATACAGTAGTATTAAGTAAAGCAGTATTTCTGTTGACGAACTTTAGTAAGAAGATGAAAAGAGAAAACCAGTAGGCTAAGCACAGGTGTGCTTGTTGTGTTTCTTGTTTCCTGTCCTTTTCTTTCCAGGAAATTTGTTGGCCGCGCGCAATGCGGCCCGGTAGATTCAGTGATTGTGCGTAGCAAACAAGTTTGTTTCTCGGGGCAATGTGACCCCGAGCACGTTATCGTTCACGGTGTTAGGCAAACGCGAGGATAGAAGCAGTGTTTTCCTACGCAAATTAAAATTATTTCAAGAGCATCGTGGCTCTCCTTGTTTTCTCAATCGCGATAATAGAGTCATTTGTTCGCCGATTTCAATCTTCGGTCGCGGTAATCTAACTTAATACTTTCCAATCGAATTAATTATTTTTTCAATTTGAAATTTAAACTCATCGTTACCGGAATTAGAGTCAGTGCATCACCGAAGAGGATTATTTGACGATGCTTCACGAGCAAACAATGTAAGTATAAATTTATACTTTGAAATTTTTAATTTAAAATCTCTACAGTTTTAACAATTGATTCTAATTGTTTTCTTATAGTTTTCTTACAGTTTCTGAACATGATCCTGGGAACCAGTAGCAGTATCCGGGGGGGTATCGGGCGGTGGACCACGAGCGAACAACGTAAGTATAAATTTATACTTTGAAATTTGTTAATTAAAAATCTCTATAATTTTAACAATAGATTATAATTGCTTTCTTATTCTTTATAGCAGGACCATGCAGGGGGCTTTGATGACTTCCACTGGGCAGCAGCAGCATCATTATGCAGTCATCCCAGAGGCACAAGTTCATCATTTGTGAGTCGCATGCTATTTGTGTTCCTCTGGTCCCCAATCATGTTGTAGGATGAAAGATCCGAATCAACACGGGTGACCAGTTGTATACTTAGTATTTGTGACGAGTTAAGTGACCGCGGGTATGAAAAATACCCATGAGTTATATTTCTTTAGTGCAGGCTAGGGTCTTCTTGCACTCGCGTTTTTTAATGTTACCAATAAATATTACACAATTTTTATAAAATATATGAAATGTTTTTATCAACGTTATATGAATTATATAATTGAGTAGAATATGAATTAATATAATGTGAAAACATTATTCAGTAAAATATCTTACATTATTAGTATAATTATTAAATATTCGTTTTATCAATTAATACATCATATGATGTATTTCACGTGCAAGAAGGCGTTTCGCGACTGGTCGATTTTCAACTCAAAGGAACATGTATATTAATTTCATCTTTTAACAAATTTACTTTGACGACAAAATCGACCAAGGTTAATTTAATATTTTGAATAATAATTTAACAAATTCATTTCAATTTGCAAAGTAAATTATTTTGTCATGAAATCTTTATTGAAGTCTTACATTTCACACAATTAAATTTCAGTCACAAATTTTTCTTGAATAATAATATCTTTCAATATTAATGTACTCTGTTGTTGATATATTACATATAACAAGTCGAGTCATTTTAACTGAGAATAGATACCGTTTAGTTAATTATTAATAACCAGTTTTTCTAGTCAGGATTTTCAGGATACTTTTCCGTGTTCGTTGCCTAAGTTCATGCACATGCCCAGGTGTTATTTGCACGAGCGAAGGCAACGGGGCACGATGACTTAGTTTGTAACATTTATAATAATAATTTATGTGTGCGACTGACAATGCTAGTGTATCGTGCACGATGTACTCTCCACATATGTGTGTTTGTGGTTAGGATGTGGAAGTGCATCGTATCAAAAGTTTATTACAATTTAGATACAGAATTTTTTAACATTAGATTCATAACAATCATAGTAGTAATATTAAACTTATAGTTATTATTTACTTGGCAATTGTTCGTATTGCATATGCGTCAATAATATTGTAAAATGCATAATGAATTTTCAATCTTATATAATCATATATAGAGTATATTTTAACAAAGACTATATCAGATATATTAAAATGTTTTACATAAATAATAAAAGTACGCAATGGGCACTAGCTTTGTCAGTCGATTCCAGAAATGGTACGTACATTTAGAGTATGAATGAGATTGTGTCCGGGTGTCGGAGGAACCCCGGGGAGTCCTCTCTAGTTTAGGTCGCGCCCGGACATTGTGAATGAGAACCGTGGAGTGTTTGTTTGAGAAACTGAGTTTTGCATTTTTTTAAATATAGGGTTAGGTAGGTAGGTAACTTATTCTCTGGTGTGTGTGTTTTAAACCTAAGTAGGTAGGGTCAGGGCAGGACTGTCCACATTAGTTACTCGGGTAGGCGCGTTTTCGCGTGGCAGTTCTGTTCCTGTAGTTACGATTTCGAGAGTAGAAATTTTGCTGATTCAAACGGTGTACTTGTGCTGTTTGTTTCGGCTTTATTTTCGACTCCTCGAATCGCGCGACTCTTAAAGTCGCTCTCTCGCGTTCGCGGTCGTGATCAGGTCCCTTTCGAAACGTTCGTCCCCCTCGAGATTCACCACGTATGCTCTTGCAACAATTCGTATATTGTTGGAAGACTACGTATTGCACAAAATCTCGAGCCCGGTCTTAAGTAAGTTTCAGGCATCGGCAGGACCGCCGAAGAAAGAAAAGGCTCTCAATGAGCCGAAGAGGCCCTGACAAACTGTTTCAAGAGTGGGCTACAACAAATGGCTTTTCATCTTCATTTTTGGATGAGCATGGAAAGTCATTCCTATTACTACTTTGTCACTTAACTCGTCTGTAGTTGTAGTTAGTTTATTTTTCTGGCTGGCTCGCGTATGCATGTACCTGATGGTACATGATTGCACCATACATGCCAGCCATCCCTCCCCATAACTCGCGGTTATGATATACATAGAGTTGCGAATATCCAACAATCGCGTTTGCTTTTAGAGTTGCGAATTGTTATTTTTCGCGTTTCCTTTTCAGGGTAGTGTTGCGAATAATTACCATTCGCGATTGTTTTCATGCAAACTTAGGTACCGGGAGTTTGCTTTAAAAGTAGCGTTGCGAATTATCGATAAACGCGATTGCTCGTAGAGTTGCGAATTACCATTTTTCGCGTTTGCTTTTCAGGGTAGTGTTGCGAACAATCACGATTCGCGTTGCTTTTTTACTCTTTTATACATATAATGGACATCAACCGCGTTTGCAATTTTCATGTTATAAATTAGCGTTGCGATCTTGATCAATCGTGCGATTTTTTCTTTAGAGTTGCGATATTTTCAATGCCCAAATTCTACCCCAATTGTAGTAATAGAAGTAGTTAGTTTATTTTGTGGCCAGTACATGTGTATGTACATGTACCAACAGCCCCTGATTAAAGTTAGAGTTGCGAATAATATACAATGTTCGCGTTTGCTCGTAGAGTTGCGAACAAATATTTATCGCGTTGATATATTAGTGTTGCGA